CAAACCAATCACCCACCAGCTACCATATTACAGCTGAAGAAAAGCCTGCCTGAAAGCTCAGGTGAAGCACAACAATCCTGGGCACTCCCAGTATCATGGGAGGGTTGGCCAGACTGTACTCTGAACTGAAGTGGGGATCACTGGGAAGGAGTTATTTTGTCGTATAATACTAAATGAAATATGCAGTGCCAGATAGAAGACCAGGAATGTGCAACCTGGTAGCTCAGTAGCATGTCCCTCCCATGGTACCTGGAGTGAGAGACAGTTCAGCTGCACCCTGATCTCCATACCAGTTTCCCCTTCACAGAAATGCACTAGTTAATGGGTGATTGGTTTGTTTATGGTAGGATGAATGCCAGATTGGACCTCCACATCATTCTCAGCTCTCACAGTACTGATTAGTTCCAGGACACATGGGGCTTTGGTGGGGAAACAGTGCAGGAGATGACTGACAGCAGGTTTCTGAATCAACCAATGGTGCTGATAGCATATTCTATTGGTCATACTATAGTGTACACCAGCATTTGCTGAGGTTGCCCTGAGAGAATTTCCCTGACAAGCCAGAACAGTGATTTCTTGACTTGTGTTACAGCAAGGAGGCTTAGTGGTGCAAAATCACTGTTTGGCATTGTTTTTTTGTTGACAAATCATTCAGTAGACCATTAATACATTATGTAAGCATTGGTGAGCATCTCACCATGTTTTGTATGTGTTCCTAAGGACTACATCCCCAGTATATCACAAAGTTACATAATTGTCCCAATGAGCTCTCATTTTCATTTGGGTATTCCATCATCAGTTTCTATTCAAATATTATGTAATATGTCTCATCAGAGAGCCACGACCAGCTGCTTTGATCCATCCACCAATGCTTTGGACTCAGTAATGATAGTTCACTTGCTACACCATGATTAATGAAAAACATGCAAACATTGGGTGTCTTCTCCATGACTCTCAGACTCAGTCCTGGTCCAGTCTGGACCCCTAGCCCCTAACTCCAGTCAAGTCTGGTCCTAGTTCAGCCTAGAAAACCTAACTCCAGCCTAGAGAACACAACTCCAGTCCTAGATAACCCAGCTCCAGCCTAAATAACTCAAGTCCAGTGTTTTACCCCTATCTCCGGTCCACTCCAGCCTCCCAGCCTTGCACTGCTCCACCCCAGTCCTCCCAGGTCCATGTCCAGGTCACCTGGACATAACTCCGGTCCATTTTCCTTTGTTTGTACTATATTTAGTCTAGTCCCCTTTGCTGATCTTGCTTACTGTACAACCCTGTGTCCAATCCCAGTTATGCTGGTCACCTGGACTTTGACTATTAGTCTCAGCACAGCCTCTGTGGCTGTCCTCTTGCTAATCATCTTTCTAATAGCTTATCAACAAGTCTGGCTTTATGCTTGTTACCCTGGACTGGCCTCATGTATTTAACCCCTGTACATACTTTGTAGCACCCTCAGTCAGAATATCAATTTAGTATTACCCTCAACTCTGTATTACCCCTCAAGTCTACTCTATAGCTAAGGCCAAGCCTTAAACTATCCCCAGCTTGCATAAGGGTACAGCACATAAGCTGAGACCAAGGGAGGTAGATCCAACGCTGGACCAGCTTCCCCCTGTGCACACTCCAAGACTGGTCGGTTTCCCATGCTACCAGCCTTGTTCCCATGCTCCTGGTCTTAAGTCTGGTCCTCCAGACTTAGCCCCTGACCTCCAGCCTTAACTCCAGTCCAACTGGACTTGGCCCCTGTCTCCTGGCCTTGACTTTGGCCACCTGGACTTGGCCCCTGTCACCTGGTCTTGAAGCCTGGTCACCCAAGGGTAAACCTGTACTAAACATTGGGACAATTTTGTGAGCCACTGTACTTGGAAGGCTCTGCAGTACCAGTTGATGTTGTCACCAATCACAAGAACCTGGAATACTTCTGCACCTCAAGGGTACTGACCCAGCACCAAGTGCACTGGTCTGAGTTTCTGTCACAATTCAATATGGTTATCTGGTTCAGACCCAGTAAGCTCAGTGCTAAGCCTGACACCCTAACTAGATGATGGGATGTCTACCCCAAAGAGGGGGATAGTGACTACACCCAGGTCAACCCACAGAATCTCAGACCAGTCTTCACACAGGAACAACTAGCCACCTCCCCACATGCCACCTACCTTGAATACCTGGTCCAATGTGCTATCCCCTTGCACAGTCTCAGCCCTTGTATTTCAGAGGGGGAGTACAGACAGACAGTCAGAGGTAACTCCAACAGGCAGAAGATGGAGACAGAGGGAGTAGGAACTAAGTCGATATTTGTACTGAGGAATGACAGAGTATGATACATGCTTTTATACTACCATGGAGGTACAGTAACTGGAATCAGGACTGACATACAGAGACCCAGCAATTTTCAAGTAAAACTTCCTAGATGATGAATGAAGGGTAGACAGAGGACATACAAATGGGTAACATAGAACATCCAGAAAAGGAAACAGTCCAGGTGCTGGACCATGTGGTGCATGTGCTGTGGAGTACCTGACTGTGAGCTGTCAGGGAGGAGTCCAAGGGTAGTCACATGACCCCTCAGAGAATGGTCTGTTTGGTCCAGTAGGAGAGCAGTACAAGTCCAACAGCAGTCAGAGTGGAGACAACTCATAAATGTCAGGGGTTGGGTGGAGTTGGTGCAGAGTGAGTGAATGACTGGCAGAAAGGGGTGTGGCATGAGTGAGGACTTAGGATGAACACACGACCATGACAGTGCCCCCCCCTTAGGGCCTGAACCCCTGAAGGCTGCATGTACAAGACAAGATCAACATGAGTCGATCATTTGAAACCATTTTGATGCCTCAAGGATAATGGCTTTAGCCACAGCAGAGCTCCATTGGAGTCTGAAGAACTGCTTAAAAACACATGTTAGGGTACTGAACCTTTGTCCTCTCTCCCCATCATCATGTCCTCCCAGCACCAGAGCAAAACCCCCCAGCCAACCCCCAGTCATGTCCATGACTACTCCCAAGTTGCGGACGATGAACTGGTCATCCTTACTGATGACTCCACCAACACCAAGTGGGAGAAGTCCATGGAGAAGGCACACTGATGAGAGGAGACTGAGCAGAGAGAGAGAGAGTGCGAGGCAGAGCACAAGGCCAAGCACAAGGAGGCCAAAAGGCAGAAGGCAGAGGAGGAGAGGTTGGAGGCAGAGTGGAGGAAGAGAGTGGAGGAGGAAGAGGAGGCCTGAAGGAAGAAGGCAGCAGAGGAGGAGGCAGAAAAGCAGAGGCAGAGGGCCTGGGCCAGACAGGATGAGGCCACACAAAGGTGAGTGGCAGAGTACTATGAGTCAGGCAGAGCTGACTCACAGCTTTACCTTCCTTAGACTATGCAGTGTGGTGTATGATGTCAGCACTGCCCAGAGGGTCCCTGGGACCTCTGTGGTGGTCACCATGACCAGGCAGCCCCCCTGTACTTGCTGTGTAGTGAGTCTGACAGCAGGGCAGTGCAAGCCAGGACAAGACAAGACCAGGGCCTGCATGCCCTGCCAAAACAAGAAAAAGGTGTGTAGTTGGATGAAAGAGGATGAGGTGGCAGGACCCTTGCAGAAGAGGGCAGGGACAGGAAGTTCCTGAGGGGAGAAGAAGAAGAGGTTGCGAGGGAAGGGGAAGGAGAGAGCAACAGAGATGGAGGAAGTGGACAATGAGCAGGAGGTAGGTGGTGTGGATGAGGAGGGGCTAGAGACACCACATGAGGGACCCTCAGGAGCAGGGGCCTCTTCCTGATGGGTGGAGTGGGAGTGGGAGTGGCAGCTGCAGGCTGTGGAGAGGTACATGGAGGTGCATGAGAAGGCTGCAACAGCCTTCAAGAGGATGGCAAGAGCAGTGGAGCAGATGGCAGAGGCCGCAGAGTGGACAGCCAATGAGTGGGGGCTGTACTGCAAGTGGGCAGAATGGGTGGAGATGAGGAGGAGGGAGGACATGTGCAAGGCCAAGATGGCTGAGTTCAAGTGCACAGGAGGAAGATGGAAGAGGCCTCAGTCAGAGGTGCCAGAGGACAGGGTTCTGAACCACATTAGGTTAAATAATAGAGCACACCATCACCTGGTTGGGTTTCTGCTATGACCTGTTGAGCACATTCTTGAGGCATATTGATCCTATAAATGAAATAAGAACTGAAATATGTAGCATCTTAGTATGGATTCCACCACAGGGTCAATAGAAATGTACCCAGGAGATAAGAGGCATTCAAAGGGGGGAGGAGTTAAATAAAGCAATACAGCTATAGTAGAACTGTTGAAGCATGCCCTGGCACCAAGTTGGAGTACCAGCCCATGAAATGGAGTCGCATCATCCAACATTCCTCCAACAACACTAGCATTGCTGATATCTGTGAGACTGTCAAGGGGGAGATAAATGAGAAAAAAAATGGATCACACATCTGTACAGTATATAGAACCTTGCACCTGGTGAATATTTCATGCACAGATGCCAGGAACACAGTCTTCAACACCCCAAGTTGTGCTATGCAAGGTAGCACCTCCATGAAATGGAGTCTTGTCCACATGACTGGTACCACGAGCATGCCAAGTTTACTGAGATAGGCACCAAACCCTTCAAATCCTGGTGGAGGAATGCACCAAATGTTCCTCTCTGTGACACAAATTGATAAAAAGAAAGACAAATAAAGAAGGTACTCACTGAGATGATACCATGAAGGCAGTCATGGATTAAGACATGTGGATCATTTGAAGGGCTTGCAAAAGAAGTGTGACAAGTGCAGTGAGCACATGATCATTACTGCATTAAGTCAGAGCTGACTTAGCATGAGAAATTTGCTGGTGGTGGTGGTGCTGTGGCAACAATGTGATGCTGCCAGTATGCAGTCAGGTTCATGCATGCATGGCAGGCTAATTGGTGCCTAAACCTATTATATAACATATGTTGTAATGCCTCCCATGTTCTATTCAAACCACAGTCCTGGAGGAAATACTGACAAATTAATTGTCATAGGTGTGTACTTAGTAACCAAACATGCACAAGGTTGACACATTTGCACACCTCCCTTCCTCACTCCACTTCTACTCTCTCCTCATTAATTCTATGCCAGGGGAATGCTTGGTGCCCTTGATGGCTCTCGAAGGCCTGGAGCCTTCAAGAGTTGTCTTGGTATGGATTGGCTGTTGGTTGCATGGACAAGACTCCATCTGATGGAGGCACTACATCATATAGCACAACTCAGGGCATTGAAGACTGCCAGCTTTCCTTGGCTACCCTGGAGTCCATCTTTTACTTCCTAAAGGAGACTCAGCTGTTCATGTTACCTGCTGGTGAGTTCAAGGCTTGTGTCTCCCCTGGACATTAATCAAGTTTCTCTTTGCTTTTTCAAACTTCCTGATCAATGCTACATTCTCTCTGTCAACTGTTAAGGCTGACATTTCTTGGCTGCCCCCATCTCTGCCATCTCTTGAAACAAGACTCTGTTCACTTTGCCTGTTGGTGAGTTTGAGGTTTGCATCTCCCTTCCTTGGCTGATCTCCAATTATCTTTGTACAGGGACACTGATTGGGATTCTCTTGCTCACTTTCTTACTATCCTGGTTAACACAGTGTTCTCTCCATCATCTATTAAGGCTGATGGTTTTCTGTGGCTACCCCCTGGCTCTGCCTTCTCCTTCTGAGACAAGACTCCATTCACTTTGCCCACTGGTGAGTTTGAGGCTTGCATCTCCCTCTTCCTTTGCTGATCTCCAATCGTCTTTGTATAGGGACACTAATCAGGATTCTCTTGCTCGCTTTCTTACTTTCCTGGTTAACACAGCATTCTCTCCATTATCTATTAAGACTGATGGTTAGTTGTAGCTACCCCCAGTTCCATCTTCTCCTTCCAATACTAGAGTCTCTTTCAATTTGCCCTCTGGTGAGTTCAAGGCTTGCATCTCCCTTCCTTCACTGATCTCCAACCATCTTTGTGTGGAGATGCTAATCAGGTTTCTCATGTTCACTTTCTTACTTTCATGGTCAACAGTACATTCTCTTTGACATCTATTATGCCAGGGGAATGTTTGGTGCATCCCCTACCAAGTGCCAGGGGCTTGGTGCCCTTGGCAGCTCTCAAAGGCTTGGAGCCTTCGAAAGTCATCTTGGCATGGATATACCCTAAACTCTACCTTTTCATTTCCTGAGGATATTCTGTTCATTTTACAAGCTGGTGAGTTCAAGGCTCACTTGTTTCCTCAGTTCCTGATCCCCAATTACTCCTGTGTAGGGATGCTAATTAAGTCTTCCCACCCTTCCCAGTGTTGTCTCTGCTTCCATCATGGTGAGCCACAAAGGAGTAAGTGTTTAGCCTTTGCATCTATTCCATTAGTTATATTCTTTACCTGGGGCATACAATGATCCATTTAATGAGAGTGCAGTTACAACATTCCTACAGACCATGCATGCAGGATTCACCAAGGCAGATCCTATGTGTTATTCCATGGCTGCTAACAATTGGGGAAGAAGAACCTTCTGTTGGAGATCTGCCTATTGACTTACAATATTGTCTGTGTTTCTCTCCCTCTCCCTTCCATTCCTTGTCTCACTATGTGCCAGCCACCCTCACTCAATAATGGGCAAAGCATAAGTGCCATCAACCTAAGTGTGTGATTTTCCAACCACTGTCTGATAGCTAACATTCAGGGATTATGCAGTTATGCAGGCACTTTAATCACAATTGTTTTGCATCTTGAACTGAGTGCAGTTGATGCTGAAACCCTTGCTGACATCTTACTTTTGAGATCCTAGCATGAAGGTGGGCAATTTTCCAAGACTTTTTTTCCTTGACAGTAATCATCTCCCATAGCACCATCATTTCCATCAAGTTCAGCTCCCTCAATGTTGTCATCCTGTCAGGAGGGTACTGCTGTGGTCCCTTTCCTCCCCTTTTCCCCCATTGGCATGGAGGTCCCCACTCCCCCCATATCAATACATCTAACATCTGCTGACACCCCTGACTCCACCACTGTTCTCATCTGCAGACATCTGGACATGGAACCAAGGGATCTGTCCCTGGCAGATGAGTGTTGACATACTTTGACCAGAGTATTTTTCACAGTGACCATGTAAACATACCTGCTTTGTATAAAGTTTTGCTTTTTATATTTTATTTTTATTTTGGCTCAAGTGTAACCAATAACTGACTACTAATGGATTTTCCACCTGGTGCAGGTAAGTGGAGATATCGCAAATACAAAGGTTTCAAGATCAGGATCTTTTTATCATGTATGTGTTATTACTGACCTGCATCCATTCTCACCTTGACCATTTGGTGTGGTTGTCCACAAGAGTTGAGGGCTTGGTGCCCTTGGAGGTTTGGAGCCTTTGAAGGTTCTCATCAATTGCATCTATGAGACCCTCAGGAACAGAGTCATGGCATCATTTGAGCCTTTCCATTCACCATCATTGCACACATATCATATTACTAAGTGGTATGTATTCCCTTTGTCTTGGTTATTGCATCTTCCTTACTGTTCTCTTGCTGTTCCAGCATTTACTGATGTTTCATTGTTGATCACATGCATAAAACCCACACAAACAGAGCTCATCTTCTGAGGCTCTCTGTTTACCACCATTGCACATGTATCCCATTACCAAGTGGTATGTATTCCCTCCATTTTGGGCATTCAGGGCTTTGAGTCTCTGCTTATTAGTGATGTATTTCCTCCATTTTCATTATTACATGTTCTATTCAGCTCCTTCCCCTGTCTCAGCATTCACCATGGTTCATTCTTGGGGGTTTTGGCCCTTCAAGGGTTTGCTGTGCAGGTTCATTTTTGATTGCATGCATGAGGCCCATGTGAACAGAGTCTGAATTGTTCAAGTCTCTGCTCACTACTGTTGCATGCATGTGTTACTATGAAGTGGTACATACTCTCTGTATTGGTTGTTGCATATTCCTTATGGTTTGTTCCACCTGGTATTTATCACAATATGGCATGACACTGACCTTCTTTTCTGATATTTTCCTTTTGTTCCACTCACTACTCATGTAATAACTGCAAGTGTCATTATTCCATTGCAACAAGCCACCATTTTACCAAATAACTCCATGGGTTATTTTATGTCAGTAAGGCATGGCTTTACTTAAATACCTCATCTTACTGCTTTTCCCCTCCTCCTCCATCATTATTGACATGCCTCATGTGCTGAAAAGTGTTGACCAAGTCACAGACGACTCTACAGATTTGCACACCCAGGTTCTTCAAAACTGAAAAATCCCCACCACCAAGATGGCCCCTCCACCAGAGGTATGCTATCTTGTCACTGTCAATCCCATCTGACCCCCTGCCTTCACAGATCAAAAAAGACAAGCCCAGGCCCCAGCATGCAGTGCAACCACCTGAAGGATGGGAAGGACATATGTTTGGTCTCTGTGACAGGAGGAGATCACTCATGCCTAGTGTCTCTGTGTCCTCCCAAAATTCTACTGCCCTGATCTTGCAGGAAGACCAGGTTGAGGGCACTCTGATGGACAAGGATGCTGGTGATGCTGAGGCTGAGGAGGTTGAGGTCAACATTCTGGCTGACAAGGGCAGTCAATGTCTTGATGATGGGGCTAGTCAACTTCCAGATGATAAAGGTTTGTTTTTTTTTGAGTATTTTTCTCATTCTCTCACAGTTCTGTAGATGTTGCATTGTTATATTCTTGACTCCAGGGTTTGGTGCCTCCCCCCCTTCTCTCATATGACTGTGGGTTTGGTGCCCAATGGTCTAAAGCTAGGCACTTTGGATCCTCATGAGAGCTGCCAAGTATCCTGTGTCATTTTCACTTTTTTTTCTAGACACTTTGTTATCATTTGATGTGTTTCATGTTGTACTGCAATCCATTCTCTTCTGATATTGACATGTTCATAATAGATGATGACAGTTCTGAATCTTCGCTTCCTCCATCTTTTCCACCAGCTGAAGACTCCAGTTCTGATGCCAAGGATGAGTTTCCCCCACATTGTCCTGGTCACCATGTGGAACACAAACCTAAAAGCAAGGGCAAAAGTAGGACTATGGATGTTGACAACAGTGATACAGTGAGTCAGGATGATTGTGAACATGCCCAGAATGTGAGATTCAAGAAGACTGGGAACTTGTCCCATGCCACTCTTGATGGGATACATGACTTCACAACTGAAGTCAAGGCAAAAGCAGAAGAACTTGGATGTCAACATGGCAAGTCTCCTTGTGACATCCTTGTCACTGCTGGGATCAGTGTCAAACCATCTCACATGAAGCTCAATGAGGCCAATCTCTTCTGCTTGTGGTATTGGGCCACCCAACTGAAACCTGATGGCAGTATGCATGCCCTTGTCACAGAATTTCTTTTATAACATTCTTCCCAGCCAACCAAAACACAGTCAACAATATCATTATGGTGGAGTACAACCAACTCATGAAAGATATCCCCAAAGTTGACACCACAGCAAGAAAGGAGAAGTTGAAGGCCATTTATGAGTGGAGTGAGAGCTCCTCAGCAGTGCCTGCTAACAAATCAGTCAAGTCCATTGCAGTCAGAGTCCACAATGCGAAGACACAGTTCTCCAGATTGGTGAGTGGTTGTAGGTGGGTGGGTGGGTGGCAGATCTTACTGTTGAGCAGGCTGAGGTGCAGTCAACTCCTGAAGATATTGAAATTGCTGGAGGTGTGATGTATGTTGGACAAGACCCTGCAGAATGCCAGACCTCTGGCATATTTGGTGGTTCCAATATCATAAAGTACATCAATGAGCATGCCATTGATGTTCAGGGACTTATGGACAAGCACACTGCAATATTTAAGTAAGTGATGTTACACATATCTTACTTGGACTCATTGCAATTAGGTGTCTCAGGGATGGTAATGGTACTGAGGCTGGATTATTAGGGACAAGTGCTTCTGCCAGTTCAGCTGCAGCATTGGAGTTGCATTGTTGAATGAAGGAGATACCAAGAGATCACAACTGCCAGGTATTTGGATCTATGATGAAGGAAAGGTGATAATGGTGCTCAAAGATCTTTGCAGTAGGTATTTCTGGTATTCCATATATTCTCTTCTAATTGTCTTTCCATAAGTGATGCATGGGGTTGAAGTTGGTGATCCCCAGAAAATCATTTGACAGTGGCTTCTTGAGTTCATTAGGAGGAACTCTCTCATCATAATCAACTGGCCACTTGGGGTGCATATCACTGGTATTGTATTCTGGAAACATCCCTTGATGAATATGTCCAACAACAACTGCAAGAATCTGCTAGTCCACCATCAAACATCCCTTCTGCAATCCCATTGCCAAGTTCCCCAGACAATGATGTCCTCAGTTCAAAGATGAGGCCATCAGAATACCTATGACAGCATTGTCCTCTATGCTTTGGTGGCCAGAGCTGGCAGAGCAATAATAGTGAACATGGGTATGTCACTTGGTGGATATAGTTTTGTCAACTGCTAAAATTTCCTTTGTTCCAGCTTTTCTGATGTTGATGCAATTGTTTGCATTGATGCTTGTTTTACTCAGAAGCACAGAAGTGGGCATCCAGATGATCCAGTAAACCCTACAGCTACAGTCTTTCTTTCACAAGAAGATATTTGTGCTATGGAGCATGAGGTTAATGAGTTGTCAAAGTCAAAGTCTTCAACCCAAAGGAGGAGTGGACAGGCTTTGAAAAAGAATTATCTTGGTGATGGGGAGGATGAGTTTGAAGAGGGAATGAGGATAACAATGTCAGTGCTGAAGGGTTGTAATGAGTCCTTTACTGCAGCTGATGAGAGGCACCAGAAAGTGAGTCTTAATCATTTATTCTGACTCCATTGGTCTGATGGCAGTGCAGGCAAGTACCCAGTTCTTTTCAGATACTGGTGTCATGGCCCTACTCTGTCATCATGATCATGTCATTTACCTTGCAAATATGACTTCAGCTGGGGAGAGGCAACATTATGCACTTGCCCTCATCAAATCTTTTTTTGGCCATCTCCCAGATAATTTTCATATTGGGCTGTTATATGACATAGTTTGTCAACTGGAACAGAGCTGCAGGAAGTGGGGTTTTCTCAAGTCATTTCTGCCACATATTTCTTTTGCCATCTCAGTATTTCATGCCTTTGGTCATCAATGAGCATGTCAGCTTATCTATCACCCCTGAAAATGTGAAGGATTTGGACTATCTGATGGAGAGGGATGTGAGTGTTTTTGGAGTTCAATCAAAGGGCTGATACCATCTCTTCATGTTTCTGGGGTATGTGTGCAGTATGCCACATCTGTTTCAAGCTAACATATTATTCAGTATCATCAATGCCTCTTTGCTATTGACTTCCAGGTGTGCCACCTGGACATGAAGAGTCTCACTGGTTTGGGCCAGTGGCTTTTGTGTCACTGGAATAATTGCCAAGAAAAGAAGGCTGCTGCAAACAGAGGCCTAGGGAGATGTGGAGTTGATATCTCAACTCTTCAAGCTGAATGGGTTGCTCAAGTCTCTGCACAGACAAAGCCAGCTCCTTGTAAGCTGCTGATATAAATAATGACTCCTGCTCACCATCAAATTAGGTCACAGCTCTAAAGCTGCTGAGAATATGATATTGCAAATCATGGCAACTCAGAAATCATTGGCAAATTATGAGGCCAAGCTAGAAGTGCTGGAGAAAGATCTTCTCCATGGGGTTGCTGACATGACAAGCTTGAATATCCAAATTGCAGAGTGTCATCAAAAGGTTAAGTGTTTTAAAGAAGCTTTGCAGAACCAGAGGGCAACCCAAGGCATAAATGGGCATTCAAATCTTGCTAGTATCCAAAAGAGTGCTTATCTTCAAGTTAGTGGCAGTGTATTTTCTACATAGTTTCATCTAATTGAGACCATGTTCCATAGCTTCACATGCATGCATTAGCAATCAAGAAACGTATCAGAGATCATCTGTGCCAATGAAAGTTTGAGTTGGAAAGACTGGAACGCTCATATCAGCAGACTCTCAGTGGTAAGAGGTCATCATTCATGAATACCCTTGTATTTGACTTGCCTTGAAGAACAAAGACTTCAAAACCACACAGAAGCATCTGTGAAGCAATGAGAACCAGGAATAGCCAAGCTTGCCAGTAGCTACAATAATCTGTGTCTGCAAATTGTAGGCCTCATACACAAGGGAAAAGCTCCTCAGGGGTCAATAACCCCACTCCTGATCCCAAGGGACTCTTTGTTCAAACTGGATGTGGATGATGATATTTGGCAGGATATTGGCCTTGGGGATGATTCAGATGAGTTACTACCCCCATGGTTAGCTGATGAAAAAGTGCACTCAGGGATCAGATCACTCCTTGAGCTGAGGTATTGTGAAGAAGAGGAAAGGCACCTGTTGCAGGAAAGAAGAGCTTTGACAGAGTGGTTTTCTGAAGAGTGGGGTCATGTGCAGAAAACCAGACAGAGTGCTGGTAAGAGACATGTGTCATTGCATTACCATAACTAACACACATTGCAGATGTTGATCTTGCATATGAACTTGACTGCAGAGCATTGAGACTAGCAGGTCTGTGCATCTTGTGGAAGAGGCAACTTAGAGGCTATCCTGGAACACCTAATGAGAACTGGGGTCCAAGTGATGAAGAACTGCACAGCATGGTGCAGGGTGGTCATGTTATATATATTGATAGTGATAATGAGGAGAGGTTTGATGGATTGGAGTCAGAGGGTGAAGAGGATGAAGATGAAGTGATGGATGATAAGTTGCTATGTGTTGCTGAAGAATTTGCCCTAGCAGATGAATATCACCAACAAAGTGATATGCCATTGGAAGAATTCTGTTTGGGAGAAGAATGGGAGAATGACCTACTGGATATGGATCCACCATCATCTCCAAGTAAAAGAGTTCAATACAGATAAGGGTGATAGAGACATATTATAATCTATTTGGTGTGTTTAAATATAATTTTTTTTGAGCATCATGTTTGCAAGACATATGCATGGGTAAAATGTAGAATATCCCACTGGTTGGCGGAGGGGTAGGTGGGATGTCCCAATGTAGGCTTAGAGGCTGTTGTGGGACATCCCACTGCTTGACAGAGAGGGGGTGGGATGTCCCAATGTAGCCTTAGGGGCTGTTGTGGGACATCCCACTGGTTGGCAAAGGGGAGGGTGGGATGTCCCAATTTAGCCTTAGAGGCTGTTGTGGGACATCCCACTGCTTGCCTAAGGGGAGGGTGAGACATCCCAATGTAGCCTTAAAGGCTGCTGTGGGACATCCCACTGCTTGCCAGAGGGGGGGAGGGATGTCCCAATGTAGCTTTAGAGGCTGTTGTGGGACATCCCACTGCTTGCCAGAGGGGGGGAGGGATGTCCCAATGTAGCTTTAGAGGCTGTTGTGGGACATCCCACTGCTTGCCAGAGGGGGGGGAGGGATGTCCCAAAGTAGTCTTATGAGGAAAATGTGACCAGTCCTAAGATTGAACCAGTGACCTCCCAGGTGTTTACCAGGTGCTGCAACCACTGAGCCATATGGTCTGGGTACTAGTGTCAGTAGCTTGGGGGCTTAGACTAGCACTGTGGGAACATATCTCCTTGAAGTTAATGCACAGATGCACCATCTCCAATGTGGTCCCTTCATCTGGCCACTTTTGGAGTGCAAAAACAGTGCACACCCCCTAGGGTCATGCAAATGGTCTGATTGCCTTTTGACCTTGTGTCATGTGATGGATCAGGATTTACTGCTATGTTTCCAGGAGGCCTACTATCAGTCACATTGTGTCCATGTAACTCACATGATCTGGACTTACTAAGGATGCTGCATGACCCATTGTACTGAGCATGCATGGGTTCCAGCTGCAGCTCATAACCTGATGAAAATGTGACCAGAGCTAGCATCGAGCCAGGGCCCTCTCAGTGTCAAGCAGCTGCTCTGACCATGGAGCTACCTTGCATTGGATTCTCTATGGTGCTTGTAGGATTAGTGCAGATTACTACTTCAACACCTTAGAGGCTGCTTTGGGACATCCCTCTGGTTGCCAGAGGGGGGGGGTGGGATGTCCCAATGTAGGCTTAGAGGCTGTTGTGGGACATCCCACTGCTTGCCAAAGGGGAGGGTGGGACATCCCAACATAGCCTTAGAGGCTGTTGTGGGACATCCCTCTGCCAAGCAGAGGGAACAGTGGGATGTCCCAATCTAGCCTTAGAGGCTGTTGTGGGACATCCCACTGGTTGGCAAAGGGGAGGGTTGGATGTCCCAAAGTAGCCTCATAGGCTGCTGTGGGACATCCCAAGTCCCCTTATGAAAGTCAGTGGGATGTGCCATCCCAGCCTCAGGGGGCTATGATGGCACATCCTCCTAAGTTACCTTTGCATACCAGCACAATGCCCCATGACAACCTCAGAGGCTCATCTGGGACATTCTGCCCTCTGCAGATGGTGTTGCAAAGGTGACCAACACCATGTTCTGTGTGGGGGACTTTGAGATATTGGCTTGTCACACAAGTGCTCAAAAACTGTTTACTTCTTCCTTCATACAGTACAAATTGCTTAAGGTATAGACACAAATTGATTGAATTTATTATTGCAATTTTCAAGGCAAATGTGGAGGGCCAGGTGGGTCATCTCCCTGGCAACTAGTGAGATGTCCCAATACAGCAGAATCACATTGCAAAGATGTACATGAAAAGTACTATTGTATACTACTATGCATGGTGGGATGGGAGGGGATGTATAGGTCAAAGGATACTTTGTGGATTAAATCTGTCAGAGGAGCAAGGGGGCTAGGATTTCTGCAGCTATTTCAATGCTAATATATGCTGCACTTTCAGGAGTAGGGACCCCAGTCACCCAAGGCAGTCTTGGGACATCCCAAATAATTGCATTTGAATGGATGGCTATGTGGGAAATCCCATCTGTCCCAGGGCCTAAAAATCTGCATAGCCCTGGGACATGACCAGATGTCCCTGGGCAGACCTTGGTCTGGGAGGCTATTAGGCTGGATGGTTTGGAGAAACTATTCAGCCTAAATGCTTATGAAAAATGGTTACCTGAAGTGGGTGCTTACTGGACTGTTGAACCTCCTCTTTGCATTCCCAGTAGTGCAAATCAATTTCCTGGGCTAAGTGGTGAAAGCTTGTGCAGGGTCCTAGGTTTGCCAACCCAGCAGACCTCATCTTTGATATGGTCAGGGAGACTGGTGTAGAAGAAGTGGTGCAGAGTGCCATCACCATATCCCTGGACTTGTGAGGCAAGCCAGTTGAACTTGACCATGTACTTGTTGACCCAGTGATTGTCTTTCATCTGAAGGTGGTCTAGCTGGCTTTCAGCATTGGCCACCAGGTTGTGAAGTCCAAAGGTGGTTTGAAGTTCTATGATGAACTCATTCCAAGAGTCCATCCAATAAGGCCAGTCCTCTGGGTCTTCAGTTCCAAGTAGGTCTGGTTCAAACCACTCAAGAGCCATCCCTTTCAGGAATGACTGCATGAAAGTGACCTTGGCTTGATCACTTTGAAAGGCCTGGGGCCAGTCCTGGAAGTTGAGTTCACATTGGATAAGAAAAGCACACAGCTTCTTTGGGTCTGTCCCATCAAAGGTGTCCAGTTCATGCAACTTGGTTCTAGAAGAGGATTCAGAGCTGGTGCAAGCATTGCATGCAAGATGCTCAATGGCTTTAGTGAGGTTGTCAAGCATGGTTACACCAGGCTCAACATCATCTTCAGGGAGGGGTTCTTCATCATCATTGTCTGGTTCATCTCCCAGCCTGTTGTCACCAGGACCATCATCACTGGGGTCATCACCACTGGGATTGAAGTCATCTGGTTTGTCTGGGTCCAGTTCATCATCCAGATCATTAGTGGGTGCAGGAGGTTGATTAGAAGTGGGAGTGGTAGACTTGTGGGCTGAGAAGCCCCTGAAGTTGTTGACTTCACTGGGCAACCTTCTGGCTGTCCCTAAGGACACTAGGGCAGCAGCACAGTGTAAGTCAATAGCTGAGGTGGAATCTGGATTGGTGGTAGCACATGCCTGTGCTGCTTGAGTTCTGGTCTGGGTAAGCATGCTGAGGGTGTGATACTGAGGTTTGGACAGAAGGGTAGTGACCCACACAAGTGTGAGTCTGAAATACTGTTAAGTCCAGTTCATCACTGGTCCAAAGTTGGTCCAGAGTCCAGTTGGGGGTCAGAGGATAATATGAGATACCAAGGGGTTTGGACTGTTGGACTTAGTGACTGATGGTGCAGTACTATTCCCTTGCATGGGCCATAGTCCAGTCAAGAGACAGGAGACAGAGAACAGAGGGGACCAGGTAATGATGAGACTAAGTTGATTTCAGACTGCAGCTAAACAGATTATCCTATGGCTTAAATACTAGAGGTAAACTAAGTGTAACATAGCACTGGAGACCAGTCTATGCTGGTACAGCAATGATTGGCAAACTGATTGGTAAGTAATGTTACAAAGAATATTATCAAGCAAGACTATGAACAAAGGATATACTGGGAGCCATGGCAGGACTTGTGGCTGGGCCAGGTATTACACCAGCCTAGTACCAACTGAGCAGACAACTTGATTGGGCACTGCCTTGCAGCGCCTCATGAGCTAACATGTTTCTGGGTTGAAGAGTTGAGGCTGGGACCAGGGCAAGGGTTGGTTGAGACTGGTTGAGACTGGGGTAGAGCCAGTCTAGGGTGGTCTAGACATGGTCATGACAGTCTCCTCTGTTCTCTGTCTTCTGCCTCTCAACTGGACTGTGGCCCATGCAAGGGAATAGTGCTGCACCTTCAGTCACTAAGTCCAATAGTCCAACACCTCTTGTACCTTCATCTCCCCTCTGACCCCTGACCAGACTCTGGACTGGCTTTGGACCAGTGATGAACTGGACTTAACAGTGCTTCTCCTTACCATTTGTCCTCACTGTCCTAACCTGCTACTTCATGATGCTGTGATCTATCTTCAACTTGATGACCTCATTCCTGCTCTCAGAGATTTCTTTTCCAGTCAAACTTATATTGCTTGTGGTGGTCATCACTTCTCTACCTCTGACTGCTCCCTGCCTTTTCAGGCTGTGAATGTCTGGGAGAAGTTCTGAATTCAATGCCAGTCCACTCAAGATGTGCAAGCTGTTGCACCCACTCAAACAGTCCAGGCAGTGCCTCCAAGTGAAAGGCAGTGATAGATCCTCTGTTTTCTTCATATGTGTTTCTATCCATGATGCTATCCTATGCACAATCAATACCAGACTGTTGTTGATAAGATCTGAGGACTTTATCAGACTTGTCAACTGCATCACTATGATAAGGTGTGCATAATAGATAAACCCTTTTCAGAGACATTGGCTGACACAAGATTATGCTGAGGCCAATATCTCCCTAATGGAGCTATACATGGTTCTTGGCCAGTAGAATCCAGCCAAAGCTGGTTGCTTGGCAACAAAATGGTGTTTTCTGGTTTCGTTGGCTACTGGTTCACTGATGATGGCTGAACCCAGAGGGACTTAAATCCACGTGAGTAAACGTGCACATGGAGTGATAAGCCCAAAGTAGACAGACCTCCTTGGCATCCTTGGATGCAGGTACCAAATGTTGCACGTCTGCTCGCTAGTTACGATTAAACTAAGGTGGCATACAAGTCTAGCTGCTCCTAACGTCGATTTTTAATCGTGTCTGGTGGACGTGGGCAATGAGCGAGGGCAGAAAGGACGACAGTAGTGAAGAGATATAAGCTGGAGCCAAACGGCTTGTCCACCGGGGGCTGGGACCCCTCGCCCTTGGTGTTTGAAGACACTCAACGCCGGGTATTAGGCGCAAGTTGAACACGCAGTCATGTGGCCATGACGTGGGTTTGTGTCATGCACGTGACAGTCACCTTGTATGCATCCCCGTTGGATGTACGGTACCTCAAATTGCCAACGATAACCTGAGGACAACGGAGATTAGGTATGGCTTCTGAAAGCGTGACTCGGTGGATCGATTGAAATTCTGGAGTGATCTAGCTGCAAAAATGCGACCATCTACTTCTGGGAAATTACTAAGCATAGCCTGTTGTCGAGGTATCTTTTCGGGGTACGTGGGTCCTATTCCCTACGACACTGTGAAGGAGAGTTATATGTCAAAAGGGCGTGAAAGAAGGATGGGGGGACGCCAATGGTAGAGAGGGACGCGAGTATGGCGACGACTAGGCACCGTTCCTTCAATTGCGACACAAAAGTCACAACAGATATTCGTACAATGACATACCAGCAAATATGACAGAAGTAGCCCTTGGCGTCGCGTGGCTTCCTGACAGGCCCCACGCAAGTAATCCAAGGATGGCTGGGCGACACTGTGAAGAGCGGAAGTGAATAGACCTAGCCAGAGCGAAGTTCTCCCCAGTCTAGATACTATCGATATCAGCCCAGGAATGCCGGGAGACAGGTGAGACCAAGCCCTCCCACTTTTGTGCCCAATAGCGTATTAGTCCTCGAAGAGGAAGCCGTAAATTCAGCGGATGGAAAGGAATAGGATCGAATCCTGTAGAATATCTTAGTGTCCATGTAGTCATCCAGCATGATGTAACAAATACTACTCACTGGAGAGGTAACCGATCCATATCTCGATGAGAGCGTTCAGGGCCAGTGCGTTGCTAGGGAGGCTGCCTTATCAAGATGGTCTGAGCCGATCGGAGGACAAGTGTTTGGATGTGCACGGTGCTTTTTGGACTGCGAAACCTGACATGACGCCCACCTGGGCACCAGCTGACCCAGAAGACAGCGGCAGGGGCAAATGATAGGTAGCAGGACAGATCGTAACGAGTACGAAGGACATCTCAACTTGGAAGTTGCATCATGCGTGTACATCCTCTGGTCAAATCAACAATACTACGAGGACATTGAGGTAGTTGTGCGATCGTTCGGAGGATCCAACCAGAGTCTCTTGGTAATTCGACCGAATACAGATCGTCAGGACTTGAGGGCAGCTGGCTAGATTCTGGGGGAGTTGAGTGCCGTTCGGTAGGCCTGCAAGACCACCCTTGAAGCTCTTGAAGAAGGATTGGAAGATATAGCAAGTCTCGGAAGAACCAAGCTTCCATGGCTGCTGAAACGCAGTAGGAAGACCACAGAACGTCGCAGTAATTCCCACCATTTGCGTGAGAAAGGGATTCTGAAAGAGTCGCTCTGTGTAAGTACCGTGCTTTACGTTCTTGGTGCACAGCATGCGTCTTATGTGTGGCAGTGTACATTTCGGCTTGTCGATGGGCGCTCTTCTTATCGATCCTACTTGACTATCTCCATCCCCCCACAACCATACACTTACTGCTTTCCAGAAAACTTCAAGTACCCTGTCTTTGCATTATTCATGGCTCTTGGGTGTTGTAGCGGATTATGGACTAAATTTACGGCCACTGCGTTCTCGGGCACGGAGCAACTACACAACAGTGGTTGCAGCGAGCTCCCACTCCCACTGTGGATACCTATCCAAGTACGTCCTATGCTTTGCACGATGGTTGCGTTCTTGTGTCGACTGAAGTTATTACTGTCGACATTCTCCTGCATGCAATACGGATGTCGGCATTGTTGCGCCGATCGATGACATTTGTCAACCTATCACATATGCAGATGTTGCCCCCCAAGGTGGTGTGGATATTCTTGTTACTGCAATTTCACGTGTCCTGCTGAAGCTGCTTGCTCAGATTCTTTGCCAAATGGTAGAGGCACCCCTACTCCTGTGTTCGCTGATGGTCAAACTACGCGTTCACATTCTCTTTCTGGAAGTGCTGGAGAAATACTTGCGGGCAGGTGTTGTACTTGTGACGATTGAGAGAAGTCTAACATCCGTAACCAGAGTTATCCTCTTCCCAACTTGCCTATCGACTGGAGGATCCTGCTGAAGCCAATCAACCTGGTACGCCCTCCAGTAATGCATGCATTTGCATTCTTGTATTGATGGCAGCTACTGTCCAGACACTCCTCCAGGCAATGAAGATATTCGCCCACAATCTCCATCTGGCTGTTGCATCACGGACAGTTCCTTTTCAGATGATACTCAAGGTGATTGCATACACTCTCCTATCCACTTTGAGATGTGTCTACTGAAACTATGTGCCTAGGTTCTTTACTGGGCTGTACAGATCCCCCCCAAGGTGATGTGAGTATTCCTGTTCCTGCAAGCACGGGGGAAATATCTTCGAGTGCAGTATTTTACTTGTGAACGGGTGGGACAAGTGTAACATTAATAACCAGAGTCACCCCCTTCACGGCCTCTCATCCTGCCTGAACCCTGTAAAAGCTAAGGAGCATGTCGATCGTATTCATCGATTTCGCATTCTTGTCATGGGCAGAGCAAATGCAGGTAAAACGACAATCCTGCAGAGGGTCTGTAACACTACAGATCAACCAGAAATTTTTAATGGAGAAGGACAGAAGGTATGCAATATGCATTATACAAACTTCAGATTATCAATAAGTTGGGTTGTATTCAGGTTGATCCTACTGTGGTGCAGGGTTCGTCAAAGGTGAGGCCTGTGTGGGCAGTCATACAGCAAACTGTTGAATGTATCCAGCGTGGCTACCACAACATTGAGGATGAGCTGGTCTTTCAGAACAATCCATGCTATGTATTCCATGATTCAAGGGGATTTGAGGCTGGAAGTGAAGAGCAGTTCGACATGATGAGGAAATTTGTGATGGATCAGTGCGAGTACACCGAAACTAGACAAGAGAATACATGCCATTTGGTGAGGACATCATGAGTGATGTGACTTGCATACTGACATGATTCTGGTGATTGACTTAGGTTTTGCATTGCATTGACTGACATCCACAGGATGGTTACAGCTGCTGAGAAAAAGTTTTTCCAGGAGTGTGATACAGGGTGTGGTATGCATATATCTTCATATACTTCATGTTTGATGTATAATTTTTTGGATTTCCATAGTTCCTGTGATTGTGCTGCTAACAAAGGCAGATAGCTTGGAGTTAGAGGCGATTGAACAGCTTGAGGACCAAGGGTTGACTGTAGATGCCACAAGCATAGCAGCACTGGAAAAAAAGATTCTGGATGACAATATTGCAAAGCTCAAGAATTGGTTGAATGAGTTCAAATTTGCACCTCATGACTACTTGGCACTTAGTGGTAAATACCAAACACATTCTATGTACATAGAATAGCTAACCAACTGAGAAATCTCCACAGGGATGCATGAAGAAGGTGGAGAGTGCACATCCCTACTGACATGCACAGCAAATGCTTTGACAGGGGAAGGGTTACAGGAGCTCCTTGTATCAACACAGCAGACCAACCTTGGACTGTGTATTGAATTTGCTATATTGAAGTAAGTAGTGAAGCTTACTAGCTTGTCATTGAGAGAGTAATGAGAGTGACTAGAACATTAAAGGTGTACATGAAGAGGAGGAAGATAGATCCTAGAAAATTGGAATTTAAGCTGTCAAAATGGTTTCCATATGTGAGGAAAATTCATTTTGACTAACCATAATACTAATTGATGATTAGAAAGTGTGTGAAATGCAGTATATTGTTGTGTTGAATTCATGCTCAATGTTGTTGTGGCCTTACTGTCCTTCTTCACTGCTGCTCTGTTGGACATGGGTTCATAGAAAGTGAGTGGAATGATGGCAGGTGGTAGTGGATGCTTGCTAACCATGTTCACTGCCACCTGTTGGACTTGGGTCCATAGGAAGTGAGTGAAGTTCATGGCAAATGGCAGTGGATGTGTGCTGACCACCTTGACTGTCACTCTGTTGGACTTGTGTTCATAGTTGGTGAGCAGGGTCATGGCAGGTGGTGGTGGATGAATGCTGATTATGCCATCTACCACTCTGTTGGACTTGGGTCCATAGAAAGTGAGTAGAGTCATGGCAGGTGGTGGTAGATGCATCCTCACCACTTCACTGTCACTCTGTTGGACTTGGGTTCATAGGAAGTGAGTAGAGTCATGGCAGGTGGTGGTGGGTGCATGCTGACCATCTTCACTGCCACTATGTTGGACTTGGGTTCACAGTGGGTGAGTGGAGTCATGGCAGATGGTGGTGGATGCATGCTGACCATCTTCACTGCCATGCTGTTGGACTTGGGTTCATAGGAAGTGAGTGGAATCATGGCAGGTTGTGGTGGATGCATGCTGACTATGTTCACTGCCACTCTGTTGGACTTGGGTTCATAGAAAGTGAGTGAAGTTCATGGCAGGTGGTTGTGGATGCATGCTGACCATCTTCACTGCCACACTGTTGGACTTGGGGACATAGTTGGTGAGTGGAGTCATGGCAGGTTGTGGTGGATGCATGCTGACCCTGTTCACTGCCACTTGGTTGGACTTGGATTCATAGAGAGTGAGTGAAGTCATTGCAGGTTGTGGTGGATGCATGCTGACTATCTTGACTGCTACTTCATTGGACCTGGGTTCATAGAAAGTGAGTGGAGTCATGGCAGGTTGTGGTGGATGCATACTGACCATCTTCACTGCCACTCTGTTGGTCTTGGGTCCATAGGGAGTGAGCAGAGGCATGGCAGATGGTGGTGGATGCATGCTGACCACTTGACTGCCACTCTGTTGGACATGGGTTCATAGCCTGTGAGTGGAGTCACAGCAGGTTGTGGTAGATGCATGCTGACCATGTTCACTGCCACTCTGTTGGACTTGGGGACATAGTTGGTGAGTGGAGTCATGGCAGGTTGTGGTGGATGCATGCTGACCATATTCACTGCCACTCTGTTGGACATGGGTTCATAGGAAGTGAGTGGAATCACAGCAGGTGGTGGTGGATGCGTGTTGATCATGTTCACTGCCACTTTGCTGGACTTGGGTTCATAGGAAGTGAGTGGAGTCATGGCAGATAGTGGTGAATGCATACTGACCATGTTCACTGCCACTCTGTTGGACTCGGGTTCATAGTTGGTGAGCAGGGTCATGGCAGGTGGTGGTGGATGAATGCTGATTATGCCATCTACCACTCTGTTGGACTTGGGTCCATAGAAAGTGAGTAGAGTCATGGCAGGTGGTGGTAGATGCATCCTCACCACTTCACTGTCACTCTGTTGGACTTGGGTTCATAGGAAGTGAGTAGAGTCATGGCAGGTGGTGGTGGGTGCATGCTGACCATGTTCACTGCCACTCTGTTGGACTTGGGGACATAGTTGGTGAGTGGAGTCATGGCAGGTTGTGGTGGATGCATGCTGACCATATTCACTGCCACTCTGTTGGACATGGGTTCATAGGAAGTGAGTGGAATCACAGCAGGTGGTGGTGGATGCGTGTTGATCATGTTCACTGCCACTTTGCTGGACTTGGGTTCATAGGAAGTGAGTGGAGTCATGGCAGATAGTGGTGAATGCATACTGACCATGTTCACTGCCACTCTGTTGGACTCGGGTTCATAGAAAGTGAGTGAAGTCATGGCAGGTGGTGGTGGATGTGTGCTGACCATGCTCACTGCCACTCTGTTGGTCTTGGGTCAATAGGGAGTGGGTGGAGTCATGGCAAGTGGCAGTGGATGCATGCTGACCATGTTCACCACCATTCTGTTGTTCTTGTGTTCATAGTTTGTGAGTGAAGTCACAGCAGGTTGTGGTGGATGGTTGCTGACCATGTTCACTGCCACTCTGTTGGACTTGGGGACATAGTTGGTGAGTGGAGTCATGGCAGGTTGTGGTGGATGCATGCTGACCATCTTCACATGCCACTCTGTTGGTCTTTGGGTTCATAGTTTGTGAGTGGAGTCATGGCAGGTCTGTGGTGGATGAGTGCTGACCATTTTGACTGCCACTCTGTTGGACTTGGGTTCATAGGAAGTGAGTGGAGTCATGACAGATAGTGGTGGATGCATACTGACCATGTTCACTACCACTCTGTTGGCCTTGGGTTCATAGGAAGTAAGTGGAGTCATGGCAGGTGGTTGTGGATGCATGCTGACCATGTTCACTGCCACTCTGTTGGACATGAGTTTATAGCCTGTGAGTGGAGTCACAGCAGGTAGTGGTGGATGCATGCTGACCCTGTTCAATGCCACTCTGTTGGTCTTGGGTTCATAGTTTGTGAGTGCAGTCATGGAAAGAGGTGGTACATGCATGCTGACCATGTTCACTGTCACTCTGTTGGACTTGGGTCCATAGGAAGTGAGTGGAGTCATGGCAGGTGTAGGTGAATACATGCTGACCATGTTCACTGCCACTCTGTTGGACCTTGGTTCATAGTTGGTGAATGGAGTCATGACAGGTTGTAGTGGATGCATGCTGACCTTGTTCACTGCCACTCTGTTGGAGTTGGCTTCATAGCCTGTGAGTGGAGTCATGGCAGGTGGCAGCAGATGCATGCTGACCATGCACTGCCACTATGTTGGACTTGGGTTCATAGATTGTGAGTGGTATCATGGCAGGTGGCAGTGGATGCATGCTGACCATGTTCACTGCCACTCTGTTGGCCTTGTGTTCATAGGAAGTGAGTGGAGACATGGGAGATGCTGGTGGATGCATGCTGATTATGTTCACTGCCACTTTGTTGGACTTGGGTTCATAGCCTGTGAGTGGATTGATGACAAGTGATGGTGGATGCATGGTGATCATGTTCACTGACACTTGGTTGGACTTGGGTACATAGCCTGTGAGTGGCACTGTGGATGTTCATGGTGTATTGAAACTGATCAAGCTTGCTTGGTTTGTAGTCAGTGAGTGTATCCAGGACCAATGCCATTGGGTGCATGCTTACTATTTCCTATGTCACTCTGTTGCAATCATAGGAAGTAAGTTTCAATTGCTCTCAGTGTTCAATTACTAGATTCTACACATTGCATAGGTGGTGAGGTTAATTAATGCAAGCAGTTTGGGTTTCTTGTTTAACCTGATCTTCTAGGATGTAGGTTCTCCTTCTATGCATAGCATTTTGATGCCTTTGTCCACACCTATATTTTCCAGCATGTTAGTACTCATGATTATTCCACATCCTTGACAGGTGCTGATACATTTCATGTAGGATGTAGTTGTCTTCATCTAAATTTGTTATACAATCAAGACTGATTAGATTGAAAGTTGGTTTGTGGCTCCATCACTTTACCTCACATTTACTTTCATGGTTGTTGTGTAGGTTGTAAGTTTCAGTTCCTTATTCTTCTTCCACCATATATGTATAGAGAAGTTAATGTGCACTGTCATAGCCTTCCATTCATCATCATGATGCAATGCCTCGAATGCCTTTCTTGGCCACCACACCACAATCTTCAATGAAACACATTGTAGAGCATGCAATTGGTAAATGACATTTTCATGTGGTGTCCTAGATTTACCTCATTGCTTCAGGTACCTTACTTGTGTTTGAATATTTATACTTCTTGCTGCAGGCAGACACAGGCAGGACTTTGGAGCAGGATTTCACATTTGCTCTCCAAGAATATCAAACATCAGATGTCAAACCTAATGTTCACCAACTCATAGAAGCAGCCTTTATGGAGCATGGTGAAGACATTGGAATTTTATGCCCCATCCTTGTGGATATTGCAAAGGAGAACCAAATGTGTATGACACTATTTCCTCCACACTCATTAATACCTTACTATGGATCTTGTGCAGCAAAGAGGGGGAAGATGGTGGTTGACAATTTGGTCATTCAAGTAGTAGACTGAGAGAGTAGGTTACCCAGTTTCTCATGTTTGCACCTTTTTGAAGGTATTGTTTCCAGCATGCTGATTATTTGAAGTTCTCATGTTGGTGGCAATATTTTACAAAACAAAGCATCCATACTAAGGGAGGAACAGCTGGATTTAACTTTCCAAGTTGTACACATACCCCCAGATGTTGTGCATGTGATTGATCCTAGTGTCCACTTTGTCATGAAATTGTTACAAAATGATGTAGTATACTTTTGTCAAGTATGGGTTACCCTCAGGTGACTGGGCTGCAAGGCAGCAAAAAACTGAGGAAATGCAGGAGTGTATCATACTGCTTATATACCTCTAAGTGGCAGAATACATCCTCTAAAGTATTCAGCAAAGCATCACTAAATAGGAGAATAAATGATCATATCACTGCATTTCAGCAATAGGATCAATGAGGAGTGAAGGGGGATTGGAACAGAAGGGAAAAGATCATAAATGCACAGCATGTGCAGTAAGTATTTGCAAAGGATGGTCATAAATGAGTCAAAAGGTAAACATACAAGCAATTTGGAGATGGCACAGCCATCAGGCTGTGGAATGTGGTGTCAGATGATGTATATCTATATCCCATGTGACTTCCCAAATGATTGCAACAGTAGTGATGATGATGATGATGATGATGATGATGATGATGATTGTCAAGCCCAGACCTACTCTGACCAACTCTGATGCTTCACAGCATCTGGGGAGAGGTGCAGTGTCACACACCAAAGGTGTTGTGGACATGGTTGCAGCTGACTCTGCCTAACTCATCAATGAGTTGTGCACAGTGCCATGGATGGAGATGAAGACTACAGTCCTCATGTGTAGAAGGACTGCTGGGTGTTAGCAGTCATCCTTCACACAAGAACAAGTCATCAGTGCTAGAGAGAAAAGAGGAAGTGAGTTAAGTGCCCATTAAAAGTTTTAGCACCCTTGTATGGTATAAGGAAAGTCCAAGTAGCTGTATAATACAAGCTAGATGGCTTAGGTAACAACAAATAAATGAAGGGAACAAATTGCTCATCCCAAGGGATTCTGGACTGTCAAAACTAGAAGGTGGGGCTCAGTGATTCAGTAGTGGTTGTGTTTCATGGTATATGTGGTGTGTTCTGTGGTGTAGTACTGGCTGTTATGCTAAGACCAAAGTCAAGGCACAAGGGGAGCTCAGCCACAGACTTATGGTTTCTACTGAGCAATGGCTGCAGTAACCTCTGTAAATGACAGAGGATTTAGGCAATGCTGGTAAGAGTGGTCCTGGTTAGGGACACTGAGGGCAAAGTTCTGAGAATGCTGTGTATGATTGAGCAGCTCAAGTCTGGGTTTCCAAGACTTGAGCTGGCAGTCTAAATGCTACAAGAGAATGGACCATGAGGTGTCTACATGTAACAAGGTAACTACACCATTGGTTGAACAATGATGACACATGTCCTAAGCATGTTATGAGTCATTAACACTAGTGGTGGGAATAGAGGGCTGTCAGATCAGAGAGAAGATGGCCAGAAAAGGAAAGTAAGTCCAATGGAAGGAAACATGAAGTAAACATAAGGTGAAATGTAACATTACCCCCTCTTTAAGCATTGAAGTCCCTGACTTCAACTACTCTCCATAAGGCTCTCTAGTCATGTTACTGATGGTGGAGTTGTTAAAGTCAAAATCATTATCATACAAATCATTATCCTTGCTCCTGACAAGGGTATGATCATCTACCAATGCAGTGTCACACACCAAAGGTGTTGTGGACACAGCTACAGCTGACTCTGCCTAACTCATTGACAAGTTGCACACAATGCCCATGCTATGAATGCAGATGAAGACTAAAGGCCTCATGTGTGGAAATGCTGCTGGATGTTAGCAGTCATCCTTCACACAAGAACAAGTCATCAGTGCTGAAGAGAAAAGAGGAAGCAAGTTAAGTGTGCAGTTTTTAGCACCTGTGTATGGCATTCTGGTTTTCATCATATCTCCACCATTTCCAAAGATATTGACTGCATTCTCATGCTCACTTAAAGTGCTCAGCCATGCTATCCTGACTTCTAAATTTGGAGAGGATCCTCACACCCCACACATTTCTACAGCACTCCATCCATCAGATGCTCATTCTGCTAAGTCCACCAGAAATCACCACCTCTTCATTGATCATCTTGCTTGTCTCATTTGCCAGAGACAGTGGCTATGTATATCTGCCAGATGTTCCCACCAGCTTCTGTCCTGAAGCCCCCTGGTTCATTATGTCATCATCAGCCCCATCCCATCCCATGCAGCCTGGTCTGTGTGTTCTCCTTGTCAGTATGACTTCCAGAAGGACATTCTTTGGTTGCCTCAGGTCTGTCACTCAGTTAGAAAGGTCTTATGTAGTCATTTCAGTCTCCCCACTTGCTCCCTGCACTGTCTTTATTCCAATCTTGTCCATCATTCTCCCCACATTGTGACAGCTGCAGCATAATCTACTGTTCTCCAGCCTCCCTGATCACATCCATGATGAGTATGACATGCATCTTGCCTTCTTACTGCAAGATTCAGCAGAGGATGTCCCCCCTTCTTCTCCTCCTCCATCAGAGCCCCATTCATGACACTTTTGTTAACTTTACTGAGAGGATGAAAGGGTGGGAGACACAATTGCTTATGCTCCCAGTGCCCTACAGACCCCCAGCACCCTAGCCCTTTGATGCCTGACTCATGCCCTTCAATTCTGGAATTAATACTTCCCTATCTGGAAACACCATCCATCTGTCATGCCATCTTTGGATCTAGAGATGTCTCCACCAAGATCTGACTTGCATCACCACCCCCTAATGTGATATCAGTGTGTTTACTCAGATTCTGACATTATTTGACTCATTCTGTGATATTTTGACTATCCTTGACTCATTTATTGCCAATACTTACCAATCCTCTTTGCTTGCTTACTTTTCCTTTCTCACTTACTCATCATGATTACTCAGTCCTTACTCATTACTTACCAAGCATTTGTGCCTTGTTTGTCATAAGGCTGTGCTCCCTCCACATCATATAAACCCCCATGTACTTAGCTACAACCCCAAGTGAATCAGAGGTCACTCAAGCAGTCAGTTCAGTTCATCTCAGGCATAACTTGTCATCAACAGTTGAGGCTCATTCAGAAGAGTCTATCTGTCACCAATCATCATCCTTGGTAGTTGGGGCTCCATCAAGGGTCTATCTACCTTCATTCATTATCTGAAGAATTTGTGCTTAGTCAGCACACCTGCTTAGTCATTTATCCCCTCCTGCATAACTTGTCATCAACTTGTGCTAGGAGCATGTTTTGTCAAGATCCATTACTCCAGGGTAATTTTGGCTGAACACCTTCACTCTGTTCAGCATCCCCCATCCAGTCATCACTCACTTGTCTGCTTCTGCATAACTCATGGATGACTTGTGCCAGGAGCACTCCACTTGAAGTCCCCACCCCACATTAGATTTCTTCTGCCCTCCAGGTTCTGTGGAGGTACACCACCACTCATTCTATATTTGTCTTTTGTGTTGGTTTTGGTTGGTTTGTACCACCTTTCCACACTTTGACTCACAGCAGGAAAGTGTCTCAGGGGTCACCAGGTCTTTCCCTTGGATGTGTTCAAGTTGCAGATCAAAGTCTGCAAGATCAAGGAGCCAGAAAGCCTGGCAACAGTTTAGGTTTTGGGGTGCTTTGAAATAGGTCAAATTCTTGTGGTTGGTGAAGACCTTGACTGGAAATGGGGATCCATGGAGATAGTGTCTCCAGGTCTTCAATCCTTGGATAACCACTAAGAGTTCTCTATCATAGATATCATAGTTCCTTTCTGCAGGGTTAAATGACTGAGAGATGAAGGTGCAGGGTTGCCACTGGCCATTTGAGTCCTCTTGGAGGAGAACACCTCCAGTTGCATACTTAGATGCATCAGTAGTAATTGGAAATGGGCAAGAGGTATCAGGCATTCAGAGGGTTGGTTGGGCAATGTCTGAGTAGTAAGGTATGTACAGATCTTCAGTAGAAGTTTGTGAATGCTAAGAAGGATTGTACATCCTTTACTTTCCTTGGGACAGGCCATTCAGTGATACCCTGGACCTTGACAGGGTCCATGGTGACAGTATTTTCTTTGATGATCATCCCAAGGTACTCCACCTCAGTAAGGTCAAAATGACACTTTTTGAGTTTGAGAGGTAGTGACAACTCTCTCATTTGTTCAAGGACATGGCAGATTCTTCATTTGTGTTCCTTGGCATCAGTGGAGAAGATGAGAAGGTCATCCATGTAGACAACCAGCCATCCTTCAGTGATCATGTCTCTAAAAGAGTTGTTCATGAATCACTGGAATGTAGCAGGGGAGTTGCACAGGCTGAAGAACATGATGGTGGGTTCAAAGAGTCCTTTGTGTGTGATAAATGTGGCTTTCCACTGGTCTCCTTCCTTGATACAGACATTATTATAGCCCAATCATATGTACATCCATTTTAGTAAAGATAGACACCCCTTGAGTTTGTCAATGAGATCTGAGATTAGGGGAAGGGGGTATGCATCCTTCACTGTATTCTTGTTCAAATATTGGTAGTCCTGACATGGACAGAGGGAGCTGTCTTTCTTTCTGACAAAGAAGAATGGGGTGGTTTGAGGAGACTTCAAGGGGCAGATTTTCCCTTCTCAAAGGTTTTCTTTGATAAACTTTTCCACAGAATCTCTTTCAGGAGGGGAGAGTGGATATGCTTTGGCCACCTTGGGGGAGAAGTCCTCAACAAAGTTTATGGCATGGTCATAGGGTCAAGATGGAGGCAGCACTCCATCTGCAGGTTTCTCAAAAACTGAGGTGAACTCTTTATAATCCTCAGGGAGGACAGCCTTTGGTTTCTTCTTCACTTCTTCTTGTGCCAATTCAGTGGCAGTAGTGATTTTCCTGAGAAGGTTATTCCTGGGGTTGACCTTCTTTGCATCCTTGACAAGTTTTCCAAGTGCCATTATAAAGTGGGCATGTATTGTTTCATCTCCAGGCTCTTCATAATCCATAAACTTGTTAATCCCTTTTTTCTTGACAGGGGACACAAGGTTTACAATGGGTTCTTCAATGGCAACAAAGGAGACATTGCAAGACAGTTCCTTTGATCAATCAGTTCTTTCATTGATGGAGAGGGCTCCCATTCTCCAATCAATGACAGGGTTGTTTTCTTGTAGTCAAGGGAGGCTGAGAATCATGTTTTCCAAGCCACAGTTTATGACATGGAAGAAGGATCGATGGACAAGTCCTTTGACCTTGAAGTAGAGGGTGGTGGAAAACAGAATCTTTCCCTTGGAGTTTTGGGATCCATCTGCATTTTTTGCAAGGATGGGTTCAGTGAGTTGTTGAGTGGGGATTTGGTGCTTTCACACAAAACACCAGTCAATACAAGATATTTCTGCACTGGAGTCAACCAGTGTGGTGGTGTTGACAACTTTTCCAGTTCTTTCTGATGTGTAAAGGGTGACAGGAATTTGCATAGTATGATCTGGGGTAGAAGATACTAGTACAGGAGCAACAGAAATGGAACTGTCCTTTTTACTGGGAACATCTGGTGTCAATGCAGAGTTCCCTTCTAAAAATCCTTTCCTAATGCCCTAGCAATGTTTACTAAGGCAACAGAGGGTCCAGTGACTTCTTCTTCATTGTCACTTTCCTCAGCTTCCACAATCTTTCAGATTTTCTTGACCTGCTTCTGGGGGGTCTTCCCTTTGTCTGGACATTCATGTGAGAGATGTCCTTTATTTCCACAACCAAAACATCTTCCTTCTTTGATGTGTCAGTCCCTTTCTTCCCTGGAGAGTCTCACTCCATCCATATCCATGGCATTTGGATCTTTTTCTTTGGAGAGGTTGTTCTTTGGGTAGAGTTTCCTCTTTTCTTTCTTTCCAGAAAGCTCATTTACCTTTCTCCATTTGGCATTGAACTTCTGTGCATATTCATACCACCCATTGATTTTAGTGGGAGTGGTTTCCATCACATGGATTTAGTTCACAATGAACAGTTTGAGTCCTGGGGAGAAGAACTCCATCAAGGCAATGTCTTCCATGATGGTAGAGTCAGCAGCAGCAGTTCAGAAGTCAGTGATGTATTAGGCATGCTCAAAGTTGGGCAGTGTTTGCACCATGTGATGCACCAGATGCACCACACCACACTGCAACCTCCCTTTCTGGCTAAATATGGTAACTTATATAAGTGTGTGTATTGAAAAATATCATTTTTTTTCACTGTGAAATCAAAAACTCTTTATCATGGCTCACTGGACTCTCCATAAGCACTATCTTGCCATGCATCTGGTCTATATGATCCTCTGGTCTCTCATGCAACCTGACATGTCAGCTGAAGAGATGGCACAGGTCTTCCACCTTGATATTGGTATCATTCTTGCCATTTATCAAACTCCTTACCTCCAGGGTTGATCATCTGTCCCAAAGGCTGATACACTACAACTTGCATGGAAATATGCACAAAATGAGGCTGATCACCAGCACTTCATCAATATGCTTCACATTTCCCCCACTGTTTTTGATGTCTTGCTTGATATCATTCATGACCATCCTGTCTTCTACAACTCAAGCAATGGACAAACTCCTGTTCAAAAGCAACTTGCAGTCACCCTCTATCATATGGGGCACTATGGATATGGTGCTTCTTTGGAGGATATTGCACAGGTGGCAGGTATATCAGAGGGCTCAGTAGAGTTGTTTACAGAACAATGCTTTGAGGCAATTGAGTCTCCATGATATATTTGTCTGCTTTCCCACAGCAGAACAAAAGGAAGCTGAGAAGGTTTGGATTGATAGTCAAATTGGATTTAGAGGGACTTGGCAGGAGGGGTGGGTAATATATGATGGCACCATTGTGGTCTTATACACAAAGCCTGGCCTGAATGGAGATGCCTATTTTACTTGCAAATCCAACTATGGTCTCAACCTGCAGGTATGTGTATAGCCTTCATCACTATGGATGCTGATAATCTATTAGGTTGGCAATTTACCCTCCAACCTCAGGATTGTGGACTATGCCCATGGCCTGACAGGTTCAGCTCATGATGCATCTGCATTTGAACATACTGCTGCCACAGATCTTGGTTGTAAGACATCCTGGACTGGCAAATAGACATGTTGTAGTGGGGGACCAAAACCTGAGGTCAACCAGTCTTAAGTTCACTGGTTTTCAAGGTCAGACACCAAAATTTCATTCTCAGCATTGTCCTCATTGGAGCCTCATGGGCTTGGCTCCATTGGAAGAGGGGGATACTGTCATGACCATGTCTAGACTACCCTAGACTGGTCCTACACTGGTCTTGACTGGTCTTGTCCCACCCCTACCCTGGTTCTGGCCTTGACACTTCAACCCAGGAATGTGTTGGCTCATGAGGCACTGCAAAGCAGTGCCCAATCAAGTTGTTCACTCAGTGAGACAAGACCAGTATAATACCCAGCCCATCACTAGTCTTGCCCCAGTTCCTGGTAAACCTTTGTTCATACTTTGCTTGATAGTATTCTTTGTAACATTGTACTTGCCAATCTGTTTACCAATCACCACTGTACTGGTGCTATGTTACACTTAGTTTACCTTTAGTATTTAAGCCATAGGAACAATTGTTTAGCCTCAGTCTGAAATCAAACTAATCTTGTCTAACCCAGTCTCCCTCTGTCTCCTGTTTTCTGCCTGTCAACCAGACTATGGCCCATGCAAGGGAATAGTGCTGCTCCTCAGTCACTAAGTCCAATTAGTCCAAACCCTTTAGTATCTCATCCCTGCTCTGACCCCTGACCAGACTCCAGACCAGCTTTGGACCAGCGACAAACCAGACTTAACACATGAGAGATCTACTCTCCTTTGCTACCACATCCAAAACCAATGCAGATCACATCTGATGGTACCTTAAACATTGCCTTGACATAATCTGCAGCCCCTTCTTCCCTGCCACTGAAATACTTACCAACATGCTCTCCACATGTGATGTTGTTGTATCAGGTTGACAGCACTTCACATGGTCCTCCCAGCCAAAGCATGCAACTGTCAGACCTCAACATTTATGTCACACATTACAGCCAAGCACAACTATACAACCTTCTCCACAAGTATCACTATCACATTGTCTGGCAGAACCACACCTGCTGTGATGACTACTCCCCCTCCACCATCCTCACCATTACCACCTTTGGTAATGGGCACAACCTCATTGATATTGTCATCTCAAGAACATCCTCCACACTCTCCCCCATCTTTCAATTCCACTCAACAGCTGTTATGAGCTTCTTCAGCACTAACTCCCTATTCTGCACCTACCCCAGCCTCATCCTTTGACACCATGCAATGATCAATGCCAGCAGCCTCCAAGAGTGCACCTTCTCCCCCAGCCAAATCCAGGCTCTCCTCAAATATAAACAGCATGGTTTTTGCTTCATTTCCTGTGAAGAAACCAACCACCCATTGTTTGCCTGCAGAAGCCAAGTATATTCCCTGAATGACCACAGATGGCTATCACTAGACTTTGCAACTGTCCCCTGGTGACCATCCCTGCCTTTTGCTACTTTCTACTTGGGCACCATTGACACCATCTGGACACTGGGGGGACATGTCTGCAGTTCCTCCTTGTTATGCATCCCTTCCATCTTGTACATCATTGACAACTGCTTGTATGCCATTCTCTGCCTGAACATAAACCATTTCTGACACCTTTTGTCAAAGTCACACAATACCCCTGATTTCCTCTTAGGGTGGAGTAGGAGCAGGTTGGGCTGCAGAGTACAGGGGTCAAATTCCAAAGCAAATCCAACCACTGGGTGGTGAGATATGAAATGAACAAGGAGTGGAGGAGTATGGAGGGAAGTTTCAGAGACAGGGGTTGGAGTTGGAGGTCAGAGGTCAGATGGGGAGGGCATTAGGTTCATCTAGTGTGCTGCTCCCTGGTGCAAGCTCAGCCCTCATATTTCAGAGGCAGACTTCAGAGGAGTGGAGACAAAACTCCAGAGGGAACTTAGAGGGAGTTAGAAGTGGGGACTTTATTGTCAATATTTGTACTGATTACCCAGTCAATCAACAGATTGTAGCAGGTGAGCCAGTTGTGTCCCAAGACCATTGAACAGGTGGAATCCAATGGAGTTACATAACAGGAAACAGATGTGACATTGCCAGAGGCAAATTGGACAGAGAAATCTACTACTTGGGAAATGGTGGTCTTACTAGTGCCATCAAATGGGCAGAGAGTAGTAGGTGGAGAGGCATTTTTTGTTGGGATTTTATATTTTTTAACTAAGGTAGGGTCAATGAAACAGTGTGAAGAGCCTGAGTTGACCAGAGCAGGGAAAGTATCTACAGAGAGATCAGGAAGAGAAATGATCAGAAGAAAAGAATTAGGGTCAGAAAGAGCAGATGCATTGAGGTGGACTTCTGCACAGATGGGATCAACACTTCCTCCAGGATGTACAGGCACCCTGGAGGAGTGGATTAATTTTTTGACTTTGGCCTCTCCACAGATGGAGCAGTCAGAGTGGTGGCCTTGGCAGCATGGGAAATCAACTTTGGGCAATCCTTGGTGGAGTGGCCAGGCTCACCACAGAAGAGGCATAGCCCACAAGTAAGGCAGCAGAGCTGCTCAGCTGCTGGCTGTGAGCTTGCCATCTTTTCTGAGGAGATGGTTGATGTCAGACTTTGGTGCTTCAGCCTTTTTAGAGTCAGACTTAGGGGCAAAGGATGATGCAGAGGGTTTTGGCTTGGAGTCAGAGGTGCAGACTGGAGTCCTGTCAGCAGGCAGAGGCTTGGCAGAGTGGGAGACTTCTGACTTGTGCTCCCAGTAACATGCATCTACTGTCTGGGAAAACTTGTGGAGTGCATGAAGAGTGGTGGGCTTGCCAACATGGGACATTTCATCCTTGATGCAGTCAGGGAGACCAGAGTAGAAGTGGTGGCAGAGCACACCTTCACCATAGTCTTTTACCTGAGAAGCCCAGCAGTTGAACTCCACTAAGTACTTTGCAATGCATGAAGAGTCCTTCATGGTCAGGTTTTCCAGATGCTGGACTGCATTGGCAGCAACATTGTGAGGGCTGAAATTGGTAGTGAGCTCACAGAGGAACTTGTGGTGGTCATCCAGATTGAGGAGATCTGGTTTGAACCAGGCTAATGCCATGCTCTTAAGGTAGGACTGTGCATATGTGACCTTGGCTTGGTTGGAGCAGAATGCCCAAGGCTGATCCTGGAAGTTGAGCTCACATTGGACCAAGAACTCACAGAGTTTTTTAGGGTCTGCTTACATAAGCTGTTAGATCACACACATACACTAGTAAAATTTACTTAGCACAAGAAATTCACAGTGGCAGTGAAGCAGCCTTGCCAACCATGGCTGGCACATGCACATGACTTCTGAGGCCAGAAACCCTGTGATGTCACAGCTGTCAGGTCCCCCTCAGCCACTGTCAGCCACCTCAGCCCCATTGCCCCCCTTGCCAGCATTGTCAGCATGGCTGGGCATGCTGTATGTGGTTGCATCCCATTGGCAATAGCCCAATAAAACTTGATTGGGCTCTGTTGCCCACAGTAGAATTGTTGTAGCATTTATGGACTCACTGATCACTGGCATTACCTGATGTGACACTGTTTCAGGTCAAGCCAAGTATGTTGAGGGCAAGGTTAGGGCCTTTGCAACCAAGTTGCTCATGTTGCTGAGTTGTTGGCAGACTTCTTTCATGGTCAAGTGCAGCAAGGTCACATCTGCTGTTAGCAATGCATGGGCCATGTTGAGTGCCTTGGTGGAGGCTGGCCTGGTGAGTGCAGCTTCGCCTGCAAATGAACCATTGGCCTCATGTGAGACTGGTCACAGTGCATCACTGTGGTCATTTTTGTAACAGTGTAATTCATCAAGCAAGTGGCACATTAGCATATCACACTGTATTGGTGGTGTGGAACAAAAGAGAAGCGAGTATGACAGATGCTGATCAACTACTGCACACCAAGACAGGAAAGAGGGCAACTCACATGCTTGCCTTCTGCCCACCCTCCCCACCACCAGACCCATGTGAGGGTCCATTGCTGCCCCAGTGGGGCAAACATGAATCTGTATTGTGCCCTGCCCCAACAGTAACAATGTGTTGAGAATGTACCAGGAATCCCAGACTCCACTACTGCTTTGTTAATCCACTTCTGCACCATGTCATGGGAAAGTGGCTCACCTGGCTGCAGCACACCATTTACACCAATAGTGGGAAACAGGATGTCCTTGTCAGCCATCAGCCAGTCGAGATGGACAAGCTTGACCCACCTTATCCAGAACACAAGGCACAGGAAGGCATCACATGCCTTGTCCATATTGGGGCATGAATAAATCTTATAGTGATTACCTTTGGTAGGAAGAAGATCAGATATGCATCACCACACTACAATGAAGATAGTTGGATGCACTTCACAAGTCAGCTTCCCTCATCCCCTTGTCCAGCTCTTTCTGCCATCCCTTTTGGTTTCTCAAGTGGATCTCAAAGTAAGTGTTAAGCTCATTTATAGTGAGTGTGTGTTCCTCACCTCACAGGTATTTCATGAACATGGCATTGATGACAGTCCCATCAAGTTGGACATCTCCATGCTCCAATTTCACCAGTTCATAGTTCCTGTTGCAGATTGCTGTCAAAACCATTGTTAACATCAGAATTCTAGCACTTGCCTTGTCCAGAGTATGAATGCAACAACACCACAGGCCAAGTATTTGAGGTGCTGTGTGATTGTTAGCTTTGCCTTGTTACTCAAGCACTTGCTCATCAGCAGCCCTTGCAAGCCTGTCATTGCAAGATGAATATATTGCAATGGGACATTGAGGGGACATAGAGATTCTGACCAGGTGAGGATCCAATCCATGTATTCCTTTTTAATGGCTCCTGAGTGTGTTTGCTCAGCCCCTTCAGAGTTAACCTTGTGCCTGATAGATGCAATGACAATGTTGACTTCTGCCAAAAGGACTGGGTTACCTTGCCACTGGTGTCATGCATCATTGTGATGCCATCACCTGCAGAATGTTGTGCCCTCACTGTTGGGAGGAACAATGCATCAAAGGTATTAGTCAACAAGTACAGGGGTAAAATGAGTGGTCACAGCACACATGTCTCATCCCACAACATCTTGAACACTGCCTGAATTCCATTGACATGTGCCTAACTTGCTTCCTCTTTTCTCTTTAGCACTGACAACTTGTTGTGTGAAGGATGACTGCTCATGTCCAGCAGTCTTTCTATGCATGAGGGCTTTAGCCTTCATCTGCATGGCATGGGCATGGTGCACAACTTGTTGATGAGTTAGGCAGAGTCAGCTGTAACCATGTCCACAACACATTTGGTGCTGCATTTCCATTGGTTGGTCATCTGCAAGTGTTCCTCAGAACAACTTGCCAACGAGGCAGGCAATAGTCTGCTTGCCTTTTCCTTCATATCTTTCTCTGAGTTTCTTCCATGTCTCAGCAGCAGTTTTCACATATAGTACTCTGCTAAGGGGTTTGTCCTTGAGTGTGAGTGTGATTTGTGCACATACTTCCTGGTCCTTGAGGAGCCATTCCTCATACTCATCAGGATAAGTTTTCTGGTCTGGAGGTTTTACCTCCATGTCTGTACCAGCAACAATGGTCCAGAGGCCACAAACTATTAAGATTTTTCACTTTCAGAATTTCCACATTTGATAGTTTGAACCATCATCTGCAAGGGGAGCTATGTCATAGAGTTGACTCAAGCCTTGTGAGACTCTCATAGAAGTAGAGGCTGATGTATTCACACTTGTGGATGGGCCTAGAGCCTGTGACATTGACACTGAAGGTCCAGATGACATGTCTTATTGTATACTGTGGTACCACTTGGTTCAAGTTTGCTACTGTAAGGTTAGAGCTGCTTGGGCCTCATAACCTCTTGAAGGTAGGCCAAGATGAGGGACCTAGGAAGGAGACTACAGTAGTAAGTCAGTAAGGTAGCTATTAATTAATAAAGGAGAACAGTTACCTCAGGCTTCAGTTAGGAGAAGTCTGAGGTACACCTGAAGGAAAAACAAACATCCTAAGTGCGAAGATTTATTATGTAAGCTTGTATGATGTAAGCAAAAGTCAGGTAAAGGGGACAACACCCCAACAGTTCAAAACTACTACCACTCTAAGTTTGTGTTAAGTATGGGTTTACCCTCAGGTGACTGGGCTTCAAGACTGGGTGACAGGGGCTAAGTCCAGTTGACCAAGGTCAAGGCCAGGAGACAGGGGCTAAGTCTTGTTGGACTGGAGTTAAGGCCAGAGGTCAGGGGCTAAGTCTGGAAGACCAGACTTAAGGCTGGGAGTGTGGGAACAAGGCCAGTAGCATGGGAAAGTGACCAGTCTTGGAGTGTGCACAGGGGGAAGCTGGTCCAGGGTTGGATCTACCTTCCTTAGTCTCAGCTTATGTGCTGTACCCTTATGCAAGCTGGGGAGAGGTCTGGGACAGGGGCCAGGGATAGCTTGAGGCTCAGCCTTAACTATAGAGTAGGACTGAGAGTAGTATGGAATTGAGGGTAATACTATAGTGAGGGACAAAAGCATTGCAATGTTTGTGATGTGTGACTTGTTGCTGATGTTGCTCAGGATATTCTGCACAGATAATCATGATACCTATACCATTGGAAAGGGGTGACTCTAAGCTTTCCAGAGCACTAAGGGTTCAGTTCAAACAAAGATATACATGCTGAGATACACCCTATTCTTTCTGAAAAGTGCATTGCAATGGTTTTGTCCCTGACTGGTGAAATAGTGAAAAGTGACCTTTTGATGGGATTAAGGGCATGAAGGATGGGAAAATATGATTACATAATAGGCCACATGATCTTCCAGATGATTTGTCAGCATGTAAACAATGACAAACATTGGACTTGTACCATTAACCCTGCTTCTTTTACCACAACTCATGAAATCTGGGACTAATCAGTACTTGGAAGGCTGAGAATGATTTGGAGGTAAATCTGGCACTGCAGAACATGATGGACAAACTATCCCCCTCTCAACAAATTTGTTTACATGCTGACAAATCATCTGGAAGATCATGTGGCCTATTATGTAATCATATTTTCCCATCCTTCATCCCTTAATCCCATCAAAAGGTCACTTTTCACTATTTCACCAGTCAGGGATAAAACCATTGCAATGCACTTTTCAGAAAGAATAGGGTGTATCTTAGCATGTATTTCTTTGTTTGAACTGAACCCTTAGTGCTCTGGAAAGCTTAGAGTCACCCCTTTCCAATGGTATAGGTATCATGATTATCTGTGCAGAATATCCTGAGTGACATCAGCAACAAGTCACACATCACAAACATTGCAATGCTTTTGTCCCTCACTGTAAGTTGATATTCTGACTGAGGTGCTATGAAGTATGCACAGGGGTTAAATACATGAGGCCAGTCTGGAGTAAAAAGCATGAAGCTGGACTTGTGAATAAGCTATTAGCAAGATGATTAGCAAGAGTGTGGACAGCCATAGAGGCTGTACTGAGGCTAATAGTCAAAGTCTGGGTGACCAGCATGACCAGAGTTGGACACAGGATTTGTACAGTAAGCAGAGTCAGACAAAAGGACTAGACTAAATATAGTACAAGCACAGGAAAACAGACCAGAGTTATGTCTGGGTGACCCAGACATGGACCTGGGAAGACCAGGGTGGAGCAGAACAAGGCTGGGAGGCTGGGGTGGACCAGAGATAGGGGTAAAACACCAGACTTGAGTCACTTGGGCCAGAGTTGGGTTATCCAGGACCAGAGTTAGGTTTTCTAGGCCAGACTAGGACCAGAGTTGACTGGAGTTAGGGGCTAGGGGTCCAGACTGGACTGGGATTGAGTCCGAGAGTCATGGATATGACAGTTTGCACTGATGAGGAAAAGATTTTGAAGGGAGCACTGTGGGGCAAGATGTCCTCACAGAAGGCTTTGTTCATCATGGTGGGCCAAGGACAAATGGGCAGAAATGGAAGGTCACTGTGGTGACACCAGGGTCTATTGCATGGGTGGCCACAGTGGTAAGTAAATTGCTTGCATCAATACAGCACCACACATCACTGATTCAACCCCCATCATTATAGTGTATGTTTCTACTTTCACCTGACAAAAAGTTCCCAGGGAATGGCTGTGGACAAATCTCAAAAATTGACTACTATCAAGTGTTCCATGCATACAAACATGTGCTTATCACCAAGTGGACAGGTTGTCACATCCAGAATGTTGTCACAGAAATGAATCACTTCATGTTTGGGAATCCCAATGGGGCTACCAAGTCCATAACCAGTGTGATGGAGGACCTGTCTGTAGAGATCAATGCTGCCATGGCAGCAATGGATGCCACTGTGTTGTCAGATGATGATACAGATGAGGTAGCTGCCACTGATTCCAACATTCATGAAAGTAGCTCTGGTCTGTCCACCCCAGATTCAGTCTCAATCACCAATGTGAATGTTCAAATCAATGTGACATCCACACCCACTCCTGGCATGGGCAATATGTATATGGTCAGATGAGACCAAAACCAACAGGATTGGGTCAGATGGACAAGAGTATGTGTGGAAAAAGAAGGGTGAAGGGCTTATTTCCAGAGAGGTTAAAGGTACAGTCAAGTTTGGAGGAGGTTCACTCATGGTTTGGGGATGTATAGGGTGGAATGGTGTTGGGGTCTTGAGTGAGGTTGAGGGAAGGACAGATGCTAAATAGTATGTGGCCATTTTGCAGGAAGGGTTGCTTTAAAGCATGGAGGAATCTGGAATTCCAGAAGATGACATTATCTTTCAACAAGATGATGACCCCAAGCATACCTCTAGAAGAGCCCAGAAATGGTTTGAAGAGCAGGATATCAAGCTTCTAGACTGGCCTGCACAATCTCCAGACCTCAACCCAATTGAACACACTTGGAATTACCTCAAAAGATCTCTCTCAGGTTATGAGAGTGCTCCTACAGGAGTTCATCAATTATGGGAAAGGGTGGTAGTGGAGCAGGGGAAGATTTCTGTGGAAGAGTGTCAAAAATGGATAGAAAGCTAGGCTCCTACACAGCTATTCCACTGTGAGTGTGAGGGAAATCTCCAAGGGCAACAGCCAAAATTCAAGGCCAGCATAACTTTAATTCCCTCACACTCACAGCAATGGCTGCCTGAAAACATTTGTAAACAGCATCAGCCACAGTGGCATGCAGTGTGGAGTCCCAAAAAATATACACAAAACCCAAACTAGGGTTACATATTTGTGGTTAGGAATACTCCATATTCATAGGTATACATGTCACTTGTGACCAGTCTCCACTAGTGTACACACATGCTGTTGTTGCCAGATCCTAATCAGTCAGCCCTTCCTACTTTATCTAATATTGCAACATGTACACCAGAGGTCTTTGGCATACAACCATGTCAATGGCAGCTTCAAGTGGTAGAGGCAATAATGAAAGGAGGATGCAATGTCCTCTGTATCGCTGGCACTGGAATGGGGAAGACCCTGACCTTCTGGATGCCTCTTCTATTTTTGCCAGCTGGTATTCAGATCATCATCACTCCTCTGAACCTACTAGGGAAACAAAATGTAATGTCCCTGGTCAAGGCTGGCATACAGGCAATTTCAATTAGCTCTGAAATGGCCACACCTGCAAATTTTCAGGTAAGACACCTGTGCATACATGCCTTGATTCTTACCCAGCAGCAACCAGGCTATCAGCACCTTCCAGTATAGGGTGGGCATCATCAGTCCCAAGCAACTCATGCAGCCAGAGGGGGGTTTTGAGAAGTTGTTGAAGAATCCCCTATTTGTGTTGTGGATCATCAGTATTGTGATTGATGAAGTGCACTGCCTTACTGAGTGGGGGGAATTTTTCCCAGAATACCAAGAGCTTGGATGACTATGCTACATGCTACCATGTAGTGTACTTCTACTAGTTACATCTGCAACAATCACAAGGGCTGCACTCCATGATCTTATGCACCTTCTCCATACATGCAGTATCCTGGCAGGATGGTCACCATGCACCAGTCAAGTGACCAGCCTAACATCAAGATCAGTGTAAAAAAGATAAAATATGCACTGAACTCTTATGCTGACCTGATGTTCCTAATCCCACCGGGATTCAAAGTGAATGATCCTTCACCTCCAAAATTCCTTATCTTCTTCAACAATATATCAGACTTGATCAGTGCAGCATGCATCTTGTGGCATCAGTTTCCTTGTGAACTAAGGGAGAAAATCTGCTGGTTTAATGCTGACATGTCAACAGCCTACAAGGAAGAAGAGCTTGGAAAGCTCATAAAGTGGTGAGATGTGGGGCCTTTGTACAACTACATCATTTGGAATGGTATGTATGACTTGAAAGTACCTTGATAGGGGGTAAACCAATCCTCACAGGGTATGAATGTGCCAGATATCCTGCTGGTGATCCAATAAAGAGCAACCTGTGGAATAGCAGCACTCTGGCAGTGCTTTGGTCAAGCAGCTTGAGACAAGGGACTTACTGGAATGGCCCTACTTTTTGCAGAGAAAGAGTATTTTAATGATGAGAGGGTGGCTAAGGCAGCTAGGAAAGTGAAGCATGAAGAAACACACAAACAGACAGCAAAAGATGCTAACTTACCCAAGGCATCATGTCCCTTGAAATGGGTGGCACTGTCTTCACACAATGGAGAAGCTCAGGAGAGTTCCAGTGGAATGGTGCAGTATGGCAGTGGGTTGGTGACAGTCAATGATGGTTTATCTGACAATGACTCAGAGGGTGAAGACAATAGAGGAACAATTTCAGATGGGCCAGGAACCACTTCAGGTAACCATTTTTCATAAGCATTTAGGCTGAATAGTTTCTCCAAACCATCCAGCCTAATAGCCTCCCAGACCAAGGTCTGCCCAGGGACATCTGGTCATGTCCCAGGGCTATGCAGATTTTTAGGCCCTGGGACAGATGGGATTTCCCACATAGCCATCCATTCAAATGCAATTATTTGGGATGTCCCAAGACTGCCTTGGGTGACTGGGGTCCCTACTCCTGAAAGTGCAGCATATATTAGCATTGAAATAGCTGCAGAAATCCTAGCCCCCTTGCTCCTCTGACAGATTTAATCCACAAAGTATCCTTTGACCTATACATCCCCTCCCATCCCACCATGCATAGTAGTATACAATAGTACTTTTCATGTACATCTTTGCAATGTGATTCTGCTGTATTGGGACATCTCACTAGTTGCCAGGGAGATGACCCACCTGGGCCTCCACATTTGCCTTGAAAATTGCAATAATAGATTCAATCAATTTGTGTCTATACCTCATGCAATTTGTACTGTATGAAGGAAGAAGTGAATGGTTTTTGAACACTTGTGTAACAAGCCAATATCTCAAAGTCCCCCACATAGAACATGGGGTTGGTCACCTTTGCAACACCATCTGCAGAGGGCAGAATGTCCCAGATGAGCCTCTGAGGTCATCATGGGGCATTGTGCTGGTCTGCAAAGGTAACTTAGGAGGATGTGCCATCATAGCCCTCTGAGGCTGGGATGGGACATCCCACTGACTTTCACAAGGGGACTTGGGATGTCCCACAGCAGCCTCCAAGGCTGCCTTGGGACATCCCACCCTCCCCTTTGCCAACCAGTGGGATGTCCCACAACACCCTCCAAGCCTACATTGGGACATCCCACCCTCCCCACTGCCAACCAGTGGGATGTCCCCCAACAGCCTCTAAGCCTACATTGGGACATCCCACCCTCCCCTTTGCCAACCAGTGGGATGTCCCACAACAGTCCTCTAAGGCTATATTGGGACATCCCACCCTCCCCTCTGGCAACCAGAGGGATGTCCCAACACAGCCTCTAAGGTGTTGAAGTAGTAATCTGCACTAATCCTACAAGCACCATAGAGAATCCAATGCAAGGTAGCTCCATGGTCAGAGCAGCTGCTTGACACTGAGAGGGTCCTGGCACAATGCCAGCTCTGGTCACATTCACATTTTCATCAGGTTATGAGCTGCAGCTGGAACTCATGCATGCTCAGTACAATGGGTCATGCAGCATCCTTGGTAAGTCCAGATCATGTGAGTTACATGGACACAAGGTGGCTGATAGTAAGGCCTCCTGGAAACACAGCAGTAAATCCTGATCCATCACATGACACAAGGTCAAAAGGAAATCAGACCATTTGCATGACCCTAGGGGGTGTGCACTGTTTTTACACTCCAAAGGTGGCCAGATGAAGGGACCACATTGGAGATGGTGCATCTGTGCATTAACTTCAAGGAGACATGTTCCCACAGTGCTAGTCTAAGGCCCCAAACTACTGACACTAGTACCCAGACCATATGGCTCAGTGGTTGCAGCACCTGGTAAACACCTGGGAGGTCACTGGTTCAATCTTAGGACTGGTCACATTTTCCTCATAAGACTACTTTGGGACATCCCTCCCCCCCTCTGGCAAGCAGTGGGATGTCCCACAACAGCCTCTGAGCAAGTGGGGAATGGTGCATTGCTCTTCACATAGTCTTGTTCCCATGTCACTGGTTTGCCCCCATGTTACTGATATTAGTGCCTGGACAATATATATTTGCTCAACTGTTAGAGCACTGGTTATCACCTAAGAGGTTGCCTCAATCCCAGCTCTGGTCACATTTCCATCATAAGGCTACATTGGGACATCCCACTTCCCCCTCTGGCAGCTGGGGGTAGTGTTGCTGTGGCTCAGGGAGCTGTCCTCAGCCAAGGGCCATATCACATCTATATTATTGAGTATTAAAATAATTATTGTGGATTTGGTATGTGGCAACACAAGGCTACATTTTGGTAATAGTTGTCATAGTGACTAAGCTGCTTGTTGTTGAGCAGGTCACCCTTTGGAGCTGAGCCACAGCAACACTAGCTGAGGCTATGTCCCAGAACACCCTCTTGGGTTATATTGACATTCCACCCCACTCTCTAGCAGCCAGTGGGATATCCCACAACAGCCTCTTAGGCTATGTTGGGACATCCCACTGTCCCCCTTCTGAGACTGGTGTGGGGCATCCCACCCTCTCCTTTGTCACCCAGTGGGATGTCCCACAATACCCTCTAAAGCTGGCATTGGGACATCCCTCCCTCCCATCTGGCAAGTAGTGGGATGTCCCACAATAGCCTCTAAGGCTACATTGGAACATCCCTCCCCCCCTCTGGCAAGCAGTGGGATGTCCCATGACAGCCTCTAAGGCTACATTGGGACATCCCTCCCCCCCTCTGGCAAGCAGTGGGATGTCCCACAACAGCCTCTAAGGCTACATTGGGACATTCCTTCCCCCCCTCTGGCAACCAGGGGGATGTCCCACAATAGCCTCTAAGGCTACATTGGGATATCCCTCTCCCCCTCTGGCAACCAGTGGGATGTCCCACAACAGCCTTTCAGGCTATGTTGGGACATCCCATCCCCCCTTCCGGAAACCAGTGGGATGTCCCACAGCAGCCTCTCAGGCTATGTTGGGACATCCCATCTCCCCCTCTGGACACCAGTGAGATGTTATACAAATGCCACAGAGGCAAATGTTGGACATCCTACCCTGTATCTCTGACATCCACATTGCCCTCTGCCCACAATTGGGATATATATTGTCACATTGTAACAGGCTCAATCAATGGCACCAATCAGTTCAAGTCAGATCACCATGATTTTTGGAGATTCAGAATCAGGGAAATAAGACACAGGTCTGCCTTGCAGATGTCCACTTCACATATAACCAAGATTGTGAGCCCATTATTGCATAACTCTTCACACAAGATTCATATCCTTTGAGCCCTGTGTAATTTCTAGAGAACAGTACCAAAAAATATGTGCAGAGATGAAAAGTCAGTGACCAGATGAGCAGTGAGCAGTGAATAACTGCATTTGAGTGGGTGTAGCCATATGCATGAGTAGTTGCTGACATCATCAGGTTCACTCAATGCTGTGCTCCAAATGTCCTATACATATCATTGCTTGAAATAGTCATGGCACCCAAAGAATGCTATTCAAATTGTATCCAGCAATCATACTCTGCAGGTCTCAAGTGTTGTATTATTTCTCAATCTCATGTCCTTCTACTATGATTTTATTTGAAGCAAGTCTTGAGATGTGAGGCAAGGGGACACAGGTAGGGGGTAGCACATGATTGGTAAGCAGCCACCAAGTGTAGATAAGACAATACTAGGTGTAGAACTTCAGATCACAACAACACACTGCATAATTGCATAAAGTTTTGGTACTGTTCTCTAGATGATACACAGGGCTCCAAGGATATGAATCTTGTGTGAAGAAATATGCAATAATAGGCTTCCAATCCTACTCATACGTGTGGTGGACATCTGGAAGCAGAGGGCTCTCTACTGCCCAAAAAGCATTGAAAGCCTGCTGGACAATTGATGTATAGAAGACCACTATTGGTTTGCTAAGGTGTACAGATGCCTAGATCACTTGCAATTTTGATTGTATATGTGAAATCAGCCTATGCTTTTTCAGACTTATATAGTGCTAGAACTGGTCTAATTTTTACACCAGGACCTACATCTAATCTCCCTGATTCTGAATCTGCAAAAATTGCGGTGATCCGACTTGAATTGATTGAGATATCAAAGTTATAACATTTAGCTACTACATGTGTGTGATTTTGTTTATTTGGCCTTGCTCTCAGTTTTGAAAATAGCTGTAACATGAGGAACAACAAGGCACAAACACAGTAGCTAGGACTGCGGGAATTGTATATACAGATTGAGGCATCATGTACAGTGCCTAACAGCAATGGACATGTGATGGACATTGGTACCATATGTGATTTGACTCTGGACTGCCCCTAATGAAGAGTTGATAAGTGGCCAGTACTGAAATGTAACAGTAACAGCTGGGGCAACTGACACAAAACTATGGGATGCAGTAGAGGACTCCCAGGCAATCAGGGAGAAAGAGGGAAGATGCCAATTGGATCACCCTATCCTGAGGTATATGCTAAACCACCTCAAAACCCTTCAAACACAAAAGCAGGAATATCTCAACAATGAGCAAGCAGAATTGGGTGAACAAGGGCACCCTGGAAATGGGTCAGTGAGAGGGATTTGTGGCTCAAAAAGCGAGAAAAGCAGTGTGGATATGCATGAGGTATGATGAGAAGACCTCAAGGGGTGGGCCTTGCCACAAAAATGCGAAAATCTCCATAACTACTGCACCAATCACAATGATCTAGACATCTCCATGGAGTTGTAATCTAGTAGTGCGAGTCTGCAAAAAAGTGAGAGACATGTCAGAGAAACCACCAAGATACAGCCCCAAGATGATAGGGGTAACTCTGGGCAAGCAAACAAGCAGGTGACAACCTCAGGACAACAGCTGGGGTGATTGACACAGGCCTCAGGAAGGCAGTTGGGCACTCATAGATAAACACAGAAAAAAAGGAGCCACCATGATCAGACCATTGGATCCTGAGCTACATTCGAAACTGTCTCACCGCCCTCCAAACATGAAAATGGTGATATCTCAATAGCAGCTCCATGGAATTAGACAAAAGAGGCCCCCCCAGAGAGGTCTTGGCAAGGGGAACGAGTGGTGTGAAAAGCGATAGGAAAGGTGCAGGACTGAGTGGAGAGCCACAGACTTGTCCCCCGAATCTGATGGTAACATCATTGCTGACACCAGTGACATCGATATACAAGTGGCACATGACAAATATGTTGTAGGGGAAGCAAAAACTACACTAGTAGTAATCTTCACATATATACTCCTCAGCAAAGTCATCCTCATATTGTGCAGCATTACCCCTGTTAACCCAATGAGGTTCACCTGACTGGGTTGGAGGGTAGTATCATCAGTATATGGACTGTTGTAGTAAGGATGGTTGGTTCAAGATGGAATGTGATGGAATGCTTGGTGAGACAGAGGAAATTGATTGTGGTGGCCAGAAGGTAATGCCTAGAGAGAATGCAAGTCGATGGTGAAACCTCTGCAAAATCAAATTACTCACATGATATGGGATATTAGATGGGCCAGGATCATGATAGTTCATATGGTCACCCCAAGAATCCTACATAATGTTTCCTTAGTCTTGTTACTGAAGGTCAGAGACCTGGATACCCACTTGTTGTCTGGGAAAAGACTGCTGGGCTAGGCCAGCCTCTCACATGTGAGGACAGCTTGGAAGATTATCCCAATGTAGATCCTATACAATGCTTCATTAGTCTTGTTATCAGACCATAGGAACCAAACCCTACCCTGTATTGTGGAGGTCACTTCCAAGAGGGAAAAGGGAGTTGTTGCTGCAGTCATGGTTGTGGCTGTTGAAGGACCTCCATGCCTTGCTGCTGGCAATCCATTTCCTTGAGGGACTTCTGCCACTCTGGATCATCTGAGATCTGCTGCAAAACAGTACCATTGGTAACTTTGATGAGTGCAATCTCACCCTTCAAAGGGTCAGCATCCAAAATATCAATGGCCTCTACACAGAACTTCAGCATCCAACTGGATGAATAAAATAGGGAATACCTTTGTTCCAGCACTTGATCTCAATTTCCAGCACATCATCCAGACTATCTTGTTCTTCCTCATCATTGGTTTGCCCATCATACAAAAGACCCAGTTTTCTCTGAAGGTAAGGTACTACAAGTTGATGAAGAGGGCCAGCCTTGAGTTTCTTGTACTCAAAACCAGGGCCCAGTGGAGATACACCATGGGGCCAGTTGACAATAGTGAGGTGGCTCTTCTGCAAAAACTTGAGAAGCTAGTGCCAGGAAACTTTCTGGGGATCACCGACTTCAATGCCACATGTGACTGAGCAAAGGATCAAGATAAATGCATGCACAGCACAAGAATAGCTTACCATGCAGATCTCTCAATGTGGCCAACATCTTCTCCTTCATCATGCTTCCAAATACTCTGTGGTTGTGGTCTCTCAGGGTCTCCTTTGTACAGCAATGTAGTTCCAGTGCAGAACACACATCTCCAATGGAACCTGGTGCCAGCCACCCTGGCATCTGCACCTGTTGCCATTCCTGAGACACCTACAACAATCCAATGAGATCAAATGAAACATGCAAGAAATAAACTTATTTGAAAATTGCAGTATACTTATCCATGAGTGACTGGACATCAATGCCATTTTCATTGATGAAGTTTCCTATCATCTTGGAGCCTCTGAATATGCCAGAAGTTTGATGTCCTGCAGGGTCCTGTCCAACATACATTACCACTCCAACTATCTCAATATCCTTGAGATTGGACCATGCCTCTGCCTGTGGAATGATCAGAATTGATGGCTGCACAGTTGCAACCACATACCAATCCAGAAAATTGTGTCTTTGCATTGTCCACTCTAGCTGCAATAGATTTGACAGATTGGTTAGTCAGTACAGTGGAGGAGCTCTCACTCCACTCATAGACAGCTTTTAACTTTCCCTCCTTGCCACAAAGTCATCCTTGGGGATGCCTATCATGAGGGTGTTGTACTCCTTCATAATCAAATTGTTGATTGAATTTCAATTGGCTGGTCAGGACATTAGAACAGTAGATGTGAGAGGGAGGAAAGCCATACCACCATCTGGTTTGGGCTGCATGGCCCAATACCATGAGTGGAAGAGGTTGGCCTCATTAATTTTGGTATGAGAAGCCTTAACACTAAATCCTGCAGTGACAAGTATGTCACATGTAGACTGCCCATGCCATCAGCCAAGTTCTTCTGCCATCGTCTTGATATCCTTCACAAAAGCATGTATTTCGTCTAATGCTGCTGTGGACAGATTCCCTGGCTTCTTGAGGTTCAGGAGTTGGGTGTGATGGTCACTGTGGTTTGCAGCATCAATGTCCTCAGCATCTATAGCCCGACCTTTGCCCTTCTTCTGAAGTCTAGTATAGATCAGGCCACCTTCTTGGTGAGGATGGACAACATCCCCTACAGGATGGGCAGAGTCATCAGACTTGTATGTGGGTGGCAAGGATGGGGGAAGCAGGGACTGGGCACAAGATATGGTCTGAGCATTGCAAGCATGTGCATCATCATCATCTAGGAGTCAACATGTCAACACAAGGCAGATGCATATATAGATGGTAACAGAACAGGATCACAAGCAATTCTTTATCTATATAACAACCAAGGGAATGATGGGTGGCAGGAAATGGTCACAAGTATCCAAAGCACCAAGCTTTGAAACACAAGTGGGAATTATCTGAAAAAAATGTGAGAGAACAAGGGATACGAAACAGAAAAACCTACCACAGGAGTCACTCGAGCTCTCTGTCTCCTTGTTGTCATTCTCATTCTCATTGTAATCAGAACCCTTGTCATTGTCATCACTACCAGGCAGCTGGTCATCCTCTTTCTTGCTACCAGATGGCAGGTCATCCTCATTCTCACTACCAGATGGCTGATCATCCTCATTCTCGTTACTGGAAGGCTGGTCATCCTTGTTTTCATTGTTGTCAGGATTCTCCTCCACCTCCTCCATTGCAGAGTCCTCATCACAGATTTGGTTGTCCAGGCACAGGGAAGGGGAAGGGAGTGTTGGGGTGTTTGTGATGGAAGGACAAGGTGTCAAGGAGTGTCTTCTATCTCTCAGGCCAAACATGTGCTCTTCCCAGCCTTCTTAGGAGGCTGGACTGCATGCCATGGTTTCGGTTTGCCACTCATATCCTTCAGAGTAGATTGCTGTGAGTGGAAAACAATGTTAGAGTAATGGATGAGAAAAATACTACAAGACATACCTCTGAGTGTTGCACTCCATTGTTAGAGACAACAGCACCACCTTTTTTTACTTGTTTGGAAACTGGGGCATTTTGTGAGGACAGAATCCTTCAGTTGTGGAGAATGCGAGTGTTCAAGTCAGCAATGGAGTCCCTCAAAGGCTCCAGGATATCAGCAGAGTGGGGCATGGTTGTATGGGGGTGTTGAGAAATGGGGTGAGGCAAGGTGAGTATTTAAGGTCAGAGCACGTCAAGCCAAGATGAACCACATGGGAAAAAAAATCCATCTAGAACATGTTGTCTCAGCATGCAAAGTTCTGGATATAGCATCAGCAAGGACATATGAAACCACAAAAAGAGGACATGACTGTAAGGGGGACAAAGGAAAAGCATGCAGGAAAGAAGTGGTTGTAATGCATAGCGAGGATGACACACCTATTAAAATGGAAACATATGGGTGGAATTCCAATTGAAATCCAGAACAGTGGTATTCCATCTGCATGACCCAGAAAGTGGGTTTCCTCAGGACTGAAAAACCACAAAAGTTCATCAGTATCCAGCAATAGAGAAAGGAATGGGCTTACTAGATGGAAAATGAATCATTCAAGCCCCTAAGGGTGGTCACTGACAAGAGCAGGGTCGATGCAGTCCAATAGATGCAGTCCCTTTCACATGATCAATAGCCAAATAGAGCATATAATGTAGACTGAACGTTGGAGGTATGACAACCTTTGGGTGAAGTTGTTGCTGAAATGAATCTCCAGTACTGAGCAACAAGGGTTATTGTCATCTGTGCAATTGATCACCAGATCAACACCAAGACCACCCTTGAAGGTTCCAAGCCTTCAGGGGCTGTCAAGGGCACCAAGCCCATGACATTTAGCAGAGAGACACTCCAAGCATTCTGCTGCTGAGTGGTAGAGCTTGAATGGTAGAAATTTATGAAGGATGGAAAGTGCCGAGTTGTGACTTGCCCCACAGTCAGGCTGCCATACACAATACATGGCCTCAGGACTTATACTTTGTAGAAATTAATTGGAGACTGCCATGAGAAATACTTGCCAACAGATAATACAACAGCTGTTAGTCTTTACATGGATATGGTAAAAAAAATTCCAGTGGGAGTATGTGCACAGTCATCTGCCAGATATGGAACCCTTGCTTCACAATCTGGGTGGCCATGGACAAGAATAGTGGAGGGATCAGTTGAGTTAGGTGGCATTAGATGTATTGATACTGGCAGTGCAGGAAATTCTGTGTAAATGGGGATCAAGGGGGATAAGGTGGCAGGTGTACACTCTTCACAGGACAACAATCCTGAAACCCCCAGACTCAACAGGCATAATGCCACCATGGGGTATGTGGGTTGCGAGCCAGATGACCCTATGAAGGCTGCAATATGATCAGTCCAGAAATGTCACTTAAGAACATACTCACCTTCAGCACAAGATCTTAGTAACAAAGTGCTTGCTAGTGTTTCAGCATCTGCTGCATTCAATTTGAGGTTTCCAATCAGAGTAATTAGAGTGCCTGTGCCAAAATGCATTAGTCATCAGGAGTTAGTCAGAAAAACACATACCAAGGTTGCTAGAGCTTATATCCAATCCAGTACTGGGCAAAGGTATTTCAGACATGGTGGGTCAGGGAATGGGAAGGAAAGGCTGGAGAGTGAATGTGCAGAGAATTGTAAGTATGACAGCGGATCTCCAGCAGAAGGCTACCTTGTTCCCTTTCCCCATTTGTTGGAAGCCATTGCAGGAAAACTGGAAGTTCGACCATGATGAATTGTGCACTTAGATGTGACATAACTCTTCATAATACCCTGGAGGAAGTAGCAGAAATCAATGGATAAGATACACTGAAAAGCTAACCATGTACTCATGTTAGAACTTCGCATGGTTGATCATGAGGCAACCTGGAGAAAATTTGTAGTAGAAAGGAGAACTTGAGATCGACAATCAGAATCACTGCCCTTGAAGGTAATATCACACCAAGTCTCCAATACCATAGAGAAACATGCCACATATTTGATTGACAGGGATAGATATGAACAGATGTGTTGCTAACTCAAATCTTTGGGACTAAAGGGCCTTCAAGGCTGTCAAGGGCACCAAGCCCCTGACATATGGTAGAGGAATGCACCGAGTGTTCCCCCAATACCATGTGGACAGTGTACAGAAGATGAGAGTGTCACTAAGTACTAGCTGTGGGTGGTGTGAATGTTTGTTTCAGCTGTGATAATGTAACAATTGTGCAATTGTGAAATGACATGTTAAAATTCTGTCATTCATTGAAACTTTAGTCACATCGAATAAAAGTGGCCAAATCTATTAACAAAGTAGTAATGGTGCACTAGTACTTGTAACTAGGACTTGCTATAAGTAGCTTATCAACATGTCATTACTGTAATGCATGAACATGTCTCCCATGAATATTACAATAGGCAGTCTGGAACATTGAGGAATGAAATACAGAACACAAAACTTATATCTAATCACCCGATTATTTGACAATTTAGAGCCTAGACTCAATGTCTTCCTTGAGCATGCTGTAAGTCAGGTGTTGCATTCATTTGTGGTGCAGGTCATGTGCACAGCAGTACCCATAATATTTCTGACTACTACTAGTAAGTGCTACCTACTACTTCAAGTTGCTGATGCCCCTCTGTATAAACCAATTCAGTGCAAGGTAAGTTTCCCTCTATCTTTTCCATCTTACTTTTCCAGATGGCCCAGTTTCTCTTTCCACAAATTTGGAGCATTTGTCTGTCAGATCTCGGGGGTTTGGTGCCCACAAGTTCTTAATAGGCTTGGGGCCTATCAAGAGTTATCCTCATGGTTTCTGGGGTGTTTCTTCATCGAGATTCAGGCATTAACATAGTCTATATGTGTGCAGAGTCAATACACCAATCATCGTCACCTCTTTGTCAAGAAGATGTTTTTTGAAAGTAAGTTTTTATTCTCTTTCATTCATACTTTTCTTTCAAACATCTGGTCAACTTATGCTGTACTCAGAGTCAAACATTCAGAGCATTTGTCTGCCAAGTGCTCTGAGGTTTGGTGCCTCATGAGTTCTCAATGGGCTTGGGGCCTATCAAGGGCAACATTCTCATTTCATTTCAGTTACACTGGCCTTAACACTGCATGATTCATTTTTTTCTCCCCTTGTTATCATCTCCATCAATTTAAGTACTGACTGGCTTCTTTTGTTCCAGGATGAATGTAGCTAGAATTCACCCTTATGAATTATCATTGTGCAACTGCCCTGGTGACAGTGCATTCTTGCTGTCCCTAACTCAGCTCAAATTGATTATCATTATTTTCAGGGAGATGGGGTGCATTCAATGCACATGTCCTAGCGAAGTGTGATGACCACTGGATCACATTGCCAAATGCTGACTATGTTCCCCAACCCTTCATCTTCGATGGAGAAACAATCATGCCCCTGCATGATGGACAGTTTGGCCATATAGACTGTTTTCAATGGCCACAGTTATTCACAGAACACTACACATGGAGTCCATGTTTCCCCCAGAAAGTGGCCTATGGAGATGACCCAATGTGGAAGTGGCTGTGGTGGAACATTACCCAGTCAGCAGAGGATTTTGTGCTGGAAAGAGTGTCTGCCTTCAAAGTTGGCAGGATTCATGCCGACAAGTGGAAGTCAATGGAGACCATTTATAATCAACTAGATGAATGTTTGCAAGATTGGCTAAAGAAGCACCCCCACTACAAAGGTCCTCTGAGACCCGATTCATGGCTGGGGTCATGTCAGCAATGTCTCCTGCATCTGAAGGTATGATTTTTTTCTGGTTCAGATTTTGTTAATTAAAATTTTCTCTAGCAACTCCCATTTATGTTTTGAGACACAGTCATATTGGTCGCTTTTTGTCAATGCCTCCTCCTAGATGTCTTTGGCATGCTAGAATATCTGGACACAGACCTTGACCCTGCTATGGACACTTTTGTCAATTCATTTGACCACTGGATCAGGGCATTCATGACAGACCCTGACATTTGCCAGTGCCTTTTTGAAATATGCATGCCTGTCTAAATGGTCTGGAAACCTGATTGTGTACCCCCAGACATGCAAGTGTTGAAGACTGTTGAGATTACATGCCCTCATGACATAGTCACAGATCCTGAGGTTTTTGAGGTCAGGCAGATGCTGAAATGGCACAGCACCTGGTACCACCCTGGTGAATTGCACCACAGGCACACTCAACAAGGCCCAGTGATTGGGCTTGAGCAATTTGTGGCTCCCTGGCCAGAACCACCATGCACCAGCAGTGGTGTGGCCTCGACTCCCACAAGAATGGTTCCCATGGCTTCCAATGCTGCAAGTTCCAGCAGTGCAAGTTCAAGTATGGGAGCTGTTAGGACAGGCAGGGCTTGACAATGTAATCAGCCATGTATGTATCCTATTCATTTTGTCTCAGTGTGTTTAACATTTTGCTCAGATCCCCCTGTGGGCTTGAGAGGAGCCAAGCCGTTGGTTGTTCTGAATCCCAAACTGTGGGAAGACCTCAGCAATCCAGCTATTCCCCCTGCTATGTCCACATGGCACACTGCCCTGAAGGATGTGAATAAGGATGCAAAAAGGGTTAGTCCCAATGCACCCAAGGTAGCTTACTTCCTTCCCAGCCTGAGTCTGTTTGTGAGGGGCAAGTCCTCCAATCACCAGCAGAGGTACCTGAGGAATTGGCCAGTCTCTCAAGCAGGTTGGATCACTCATCTTTCTGCCTTGGATGTATCTCCTGTTATCCCTCAGTCCTGGCAGGATTTCCTGAACACAATTCCCAAGCAGATTTCATCCACATTTCTGGTGACTGACTACATGAATCTGCTGCCCTCTTCAGTCCCAAGCTTGTCAGCCTCCAACACAACATACCTAGCCATGTACAATTCTGGGATATCTCAATTTCCCTTGCAGACCTTGCTACCATCGATCAGATGATGAAAAGCAAGATTTTATGGGATTTATATGAACACAACTTCTGGTTCAAGTTGGTCACTCTTGACCATGTGATGATGCCTAGCTTGTGGTCCAATCGGGATTCAGAGTGGCTTGATCACGTCCAGCAGGTATGTACAATTTTACCTCACCAGGAATGCACTGTTTCTGAACTCTATGCAGATTTTCCCTGGTGATTCAGAACTCACCATGTGTGCTGAGCCTTTCCCTCAGCAAAATCAAGGCCTCAGCTCGTCTGACTTTCAATCGAAATGGGAGTATGTAGAGAAGCTCTGGGCATTACTTGCTGTATGGCCAGGATGCCCCTCAGACTTGGTGGAGCCAATTATGCCATTAGCATCATTGTTGGATGTCTGGGCAATGGAAAAGAAGTTGGCTATATTTTATGTACAGTCATTCTTTGATACTTTTGGTTGTTTTCCCCTTCTTCCCCACCTTATTCCAACTGCACCACATGGTTATGGTTCAAATAGTCAGTAACCTCCTTCATCATTCCCCAATACCATTTTTACTCTGTATGTTTCCCAAACAATATTCATAGCACACTGCAATTGCAATCTCATTTTGTTTGTCACACACTTGCTGTCTCTTTCCCCATTGCCCTCGCTAGTTGTGTGCAAAGGTCAGTTCACTTTTCTACACTGGAGGCTAACTATTGGAGACATGCTGGTGGCATCTTGGGGTTGCCTTCCAGCAACCAGGATTCAGTGTCCTTGTCACAGTCCTGTAACTTGGTGTTGCAGGATCGTCATCTACCACTAACTCGCCTAGACAGTTTATGCATCTGACTGAATTTCATAGATGTCTTTTCATCGACTGAAACAGCTTACTAGGTGTGGTCCCCCTGTATGAGTTACTGCCCCAACAAACCAGATTCCTGACTTGCTCTGTGTGGATGATCTCGTGGTCCTTGTTGACCATCAGACTGCTGAACCTTTGTGCCATGTTCCTGGAACTGCAGGGCTATACCTTCCTGTTGAGCACTTGCTCACCTTACCTGGCCATCGCACTTTCACACAACACCCCAGTGATTCCTCTGACCCACACATCCAATGCTGCTCTGCTTCGAGCACTGCTTGCCCATTAGAGCCTTCTGTGGGTAGTGAATGTGACCTCTCCCATGATGCCACTTTTGACTGCTTAACTGATGGGCTACATATTAGCCAAGACCTGCTCTTGTCACCATCTAGGAATGCCCAAAAAAAAATGAAGCAGTGGCAGTGGTGGTCACATGCTGTCATCCCTTCCCTCCTTCAGCCATACCTTGCATATCGATGACAATCCAACCACTTCCAGAATCCTGTTGACTACGAACTGCTGACATGTGGTTGTCACCAGACTTGAAAACTGAGAGCCATTTGCATTGATTTCAATGGTGAGATTTCTGTGTTCTTTGTCATTTTCCTCTGCTTAGATGCATTCATGGCAGCTCTGCAATCAGTTGATCTGGCTGTCTGTCCTTGTGCACCTGCAGCCCTCCAACTCCTTTGGATGGGCTACTTCCCCTGTGCCCCACTGGGGCTGACACTTGCTGTTAGCCTACAGCTTCTTGGCTTTGTCTGACAATTCTTCATGTGCATACCTCCAAACACTTCAGCATGGTGTGAGTCCCTTGAGGCATACCTTGCAGCTATGGGTTATGAGGTGGACACAAAGATATGGAATTGTCATCTTTTGTATCATTACCCCATTTTTTCCACTTTGTAAAACATACATTACTGCCATAGTGACTGTAGTACAGATGACTCTGCTATGTAGGTAGTATATCTTAAACTGATGCATGACTATTTCATGGTTATAAGTGCATGCATGTGTGACATGTTCTGTTTCTTGGGACTGCTGTAGTGTTATATTGATAGGGTAGGATGTCTGCTGGTATTGTTTGTGGTGATGTTGCTATATTATTAATGCATACTTTGGTTGTTCTTCTCAGTCATGGATCATTGCTGATGATACTTGCAGGAGGGTACATGCCGGAGGTTCAGTAATGCATATCACTGGTATTGTATTCTGGAAACATCCCTTGATGAATATGTCCAACAACAACTGCAAGAATCTGCTAGTCCACCATCAAACATCCCCTCTGCAATCCCATTGCCAAGTTCCCCAGACAATGATGTCCTCAGTTCAAAGATGAGGCCATCAGAATACCTATGACAGCATTGTCCTCTATGCTTTGGTGGCCAGAGCTGGCAGAGCAATAATAGTGAACATGGGTGTGTCACTTGGTGGATATAGTTTTGTCAACTGCTAAAATTTCCTTTGTTCTAGCTCTTCTGATGTTGATGCAATTGTTTGCATTGATGCTTGTTTTACTCAGAAGTGCAGAAGTGGGCATCCAGATGATCCAGTAAACCCTACAGCTACAGTCTTTCTTTCACAAGAAGATATTTGTGCCATGGAGCATGAGGTTAATGAGTTGTGAAAGTCAAAATCTTCAACCCAAAGGAGGAGTGGACAGGCTTTGAAAAAGAATTATCTTGGTGATGGGGAGGATGAGTTTGAAGAGGGAATGAGGATAACAATGTCAGTGCTGAAGCGTTGTAATGAGTCCTTTACTGCAGCTGATGAGAGGCGCCAGAAAGTGAGTCTTAATCATTTATTCTGACTCCATTGGTCTGATGGCAGTGTAGGCAAGTACCCAGTTCTTTTCAGATACTGGTGTCATGGCCCTACTCTGTCAGTCATGATTGTGTCATTTACCTTGCAAATATGACTTCAGCTGGGGAGAGGCAACATTATGCACTTGCCCTCATCAAATCTCTTTTTGGCCATCTTCCAGATAATTTTCATATTGGGCTGTTATATGACATAGGTTGTCAACTGGAACAGAACTGCAGGAAGTGGGGTTTTCTCAAGTCATTTCTGCCATGTATTTCTTTTGCCATCTCAGTATTTCATGCCTTTGGTCATCAATGGGCATGTCAGCTTATCTATCACCCCCAAAAATGTGAAGGATTTGGGCTATCTGATGGAGAGGGATGTGAGCATTTTTGGAGTTCAATCAAAGGGCTGATACCATCTCTTTGTGTTTCTGGGGTATGTGTGCAGTATGCCACATCTGTTTCAAGCTAACATATTATTCAGCATCATCAACATGTCTTTGTTATTGACTTCCAGGTGTGCCACCTGGACATGAAGAGTCTCACTGGTTTGGGCCAGTGGCTTTTTCATTGCTGGAATTATTGCTGAGAAAAGAAGGCTGCTGCAAACAGAGGCCTAAGGAGATGTGGAGTTGATATCCCAACTCTTCAAGCTGAATGGGTTGCTCAAGTCTCTGCACAGAAAAAGCCAGCTCCTTGTAAGCTGCTGATATAAATAATGACTCCTGCTCACCATCAAATTAGGTCACAGCTCTAAAGCTGCTGAGAATATGATATTGCAAATCATGGCAACTCAGAAATCATTGGCAAATTATGAGGCCAAGCTAGAAGTGCTGGAGAAAGATCTTCTCCATGGGGTTGCTGACATGACAAGCTTGAATATCCAAATTGCAGAGTGTCATCAAAAGGTTAAGTGTTTTAAAGAAGCTTTGCAGAAGCAGAGGGCAACCCTAGGCATAAATGGGCATTCAAATCTTGCTAGTATCCAAAAGAGTGCTTATCTTCAAGTTAGTGGCAGTGTATTTTCTACATGGTTTCATCTAATTGAGACCATGTTCCATGGCTTCACATGCATGCATTAGCAATCAAGAAACATATCAGAGATCATCTGCACCAATGAAAGTTTGAGTTGGAAAGACTGGAACACTCATATTGGCAGACTCTCAGTGGTAAGAGGTCATCATTCATGAATACCCTTGTATTTGACTTGCCTTGAAGAACAGACTTCAAAACCACACAGAAGGATCTGTGAAGCAACAAGAACCAGGAATAGCCAAGCTTGCCAGTAGCTACAATAATCTGTGTCTGCAAATTGTAGGCCTCATACACAAGGGAAAAGCTCCTCAGGGGTCAATAACCCCACTCCTGATCCCAAGGGACTCTTTGTTCAAACTGGATGTGGATGATGATATTTGGCAGGATATTGGCCTTGGGGATGATTCAGATGAGTTACTACCCCCATGGTTAGCTGATGAAAAAGTGTGCTCAGGGATCAGATCACTCCATGAGCTGAGGTGTTGTGAAGAAGAGGAAAGGCACCTGTTGCAGGAAAGAAGAGCTTTGACAGAGTGGTTTTCTGAAGAGTGGGGTCATGTGCAGAAAACCAGACAGAGTGCTGGTAAGAGACATGTGTAATTGCATTACTACAACTAACACACATTGCAGATGTTGATCTTGCATATGAACTTGACTGCAGAGCATTGAGACTAGCAGGTCCACACATCTTGTAGAAGAGACAACTTAGAGGCTATCCTGGAACACCTAATGAGAACTGGGGTGCAAGTGATGAAGAACTGCACAGCATGGTGCAGGGTGGTCATGTTATATATATTGATAGTGATAATGAGGAGAGGTTTGATGGATTGGAGTCAGAGGGTGAAGAGGATGAAGATGAAGTGATAGATGATAAGTTGCTATGTGTTGCTGAAGAATTTGCCCTAGCAGATGAATATCACCAACAAAGTGATATGCCATTGGAAGAATTCTGTTGGGGAGAAGAATGGGAGAATGACCTACTGGATATGGATCCACCATCATCTCCAAGTAAAAGAGTTCAATACAGATAAGGGTGATAGAGACATATTATAATCTATTTGGTGTGTTTAAATATAATTTTTTTTGAGCATCATGTTTGCAAGACATATGCATGGGTAAAATGTAGAATATCCCACTGGTTGGCAGAGGGGTAGGTGGGATGTCCCAATGTAGGCTTAGAGGCTGTTGTGGGACATCCCACTGCTTGACAGAGAGGGGGTGGGATGTCCCAATGTAGCCTTAGGGGCTGTTGTGGGACATCCCACTGGTTGCAAAGGGGAGGGTTTTATCTAGAACTGAAATAGCTCAGGCTTGATGTTCTTGATGGTGGGACATTCCACTGCTTGCCAGAAAGGGGGAGGGATGTCCCAATGTAGCCTTAGAGGCTGTTGTGGGACATCCCACTGCTTGGAAAAGGGGAGGGTGGGATGTCCCAATTTAGCCTTAGAGGCTGTCATGGGACATCCCACTGCTTGCCTAAGGGGAGGGTGGGACATCCCAATGCAGCTTTAGAGGGTATTGTGGGACATCCCACTGGGTGACAAAGGAGAGGGTGGGATGCCCCACACCAGTCTCAGAAGGAGGACAGTGGGATGTCCCAACATAGCCTAAGAGGCTGTTGTGGGATATCCCACTGGCTGCTAGAGAGTGGGGTGGAATGTCAATATAACCCAAGAGGGTGTTCTGGGACATAGCCTCAGCTAGTGTTGCTGTGGCTCAGCTCCAAAGGGTGACCTGCTCAACAACAAGCAGCTTAGTCACTATGACAACTATTACCAAAATGTAGCCTTGTGTTGCCACATACCAAATCCACAATAATTATTTTAATACTCAATAATATAGATGTGATATGGCCCTTGGCTGAGGACAGCTCCCTGAGCCACAGCAACACTACCCCCAGCTGCCAGAGGGGGAAGTGGGATGTCCCAATGTAGCCTTATGATGGAAATGTGACCAGAGCTGGGATTGAGGCAACCTCTTAGGTGATAACCAGTGCTCTAACAGTTGAGCAAATATATATTGTCCAGGCACTAATATCAGTAACATGGGGGCAAACCAGTGACATGGGAACAAGACTATGTGAAGAGCAATGCACCATTCCCCACTTGCTCAGAGGCTGTTGTGGGACATCCCACTGCTTGCCAGAGGGGGGGAGGGATGTCCCAAAGTAGTCTTATGAGGAAAATGTGACCAGTCCTAAGATTGAACCAGTGACCTCCCAGGTGTTTACCAGGTGCTGCAACCACTGAGCCATATGGTCTGGGTACTAGTGTCAGTAGTTTGGGGGCTTAGACTAGCACTGTGGGAACATGTCTCCTTGAAGTTAATGCACAGATGCACCATCTCCAATGTGGTCCCTTCATCTGGCCACCTTTGGAGTGTAAAAACAGTGCACACCCCCTAGGGTCATGCAAATGGTCTGATTTCCTTTTGACCTTGTGTCATGTGATGGATCAGGATTTACTGCTGTGTTTCCAGGAGGCCTTACTATCAGCCACCTTGTGTCCATGTAACTCACATGATCTGGACTTACCAAGGATGCTGCATGACCCATTGTACTGAGCATGCATGGGTTCCAGCTGCAGCTCATAACCTGATGAAAATGTGAATGTGACCAGAGCTGGCATTGTGCCAGGACCCTCTCAGTGTCAAGCAGCTGCTCTGACCATGGAGCTACCTTGCATTGGATTCTCTATGGTGCTTGTAGGATTAGTGCAGATTACTACTTCAACACCTTAGAGGCTGTGTTGGGACATCCCTCTGGTTGCCAGAGGGGAGGGTGGGATGTCCCAATATAGCCTTAGAGGCTGTTGTGGGACATCCCACTGGTTGGCAAAGGGGAGGGTGGGATGTCCCAATGTAGGCTTAGAGGCTGTTGGGGGACATCCCACTGGTTGGCAGTGGGGAGGGTGGGATGTCCCAATGTAGGCTTGGAGGGTGTTGTGGGACATCCCACTGGTTGGCAAAGGGGAGGGTGGGACATCCCAACATAGCCTTAGAGACTATTGTGGGACATCCCAATGCTTGGCAGAGGGAACAGTGGGATGTCCCAATGTAGCCTTAGAGGCTGTTGTGGGACATCCCACTGGTTGGCAAAGGGGAGGGTGGGATGTCCCAAGGCAGCCTTGGAGGCTGCTGTGGGACATCCCAAGTCCCCTTGTGAAAGTCAGTGGGATGTCCCATCCCAGCCTCAGAGGGCTATGATGGCACATCCTCCTAAGTTACCTTTGCAGACCAGCACAATGCCCCATGATGACCTCAGAGGCTCATCTGGGACATTCTGCCCTCTGCAGATGGTGTTGCAAAGGTGACCAACCCCATGTTCTATGTGGGGGACTTTGAGATATTGGCTTGTTACACAAGTGTTCAAAAACCATTCACTTCTTCCTTCATACAGTACAAATTGCATGAGGTATAGACACAAATTGATTGAATCTATTATTGCAATTTTCAAGGCAAATGTGGAGGCCCAGGTGGGTCATCTCCCTGGCAACTAGTGAGATGTCCCAATACAGCAGAATCACATTGCAAAGATGTACATGAAAAGTACTATTGTATACTACTATGCATGGTGGGATGGGAGGGGATGTATAGGTCAAAGGATACTTTGTGGATTAAATCTGTCAGAGGAGCAAGGGGGCTAGGATTTCTGCAGCTATTTCAATGCTAATATATGCTGCACTTTCAGGAGTAGGGACCCCAGTCACCCAAGGCAGTCTTGGGACATCCCAAATAATTGCATTTGAATGGATGGCTATGTGGGAAATCCCATCTGTCCCAGGGCCTAAAAATCTGCATAGCCCTGGGACATGACCAGATGTCCCTGGGCAGACCTTGGTCTGGGAGGCTATTAGGCTGGATGGTTTGGAGAAACTATTCAGCCTAAATGCTTATGAAAAATGGTTACCTGAAGTGCAGGAACTGAAGGGATGGAAGCATTGCTTGAATTGCTGGCAAGAGGAGAGGAACCTGTAGGTCAGTCTGGCAAGTGGCAGGGGCAAAACCTGGACCTGGGTGTTGACCTACTTATCAATGTGGCTGATGAGCCATTGGGTGTAGGGTGTTGAAGGAAGGTTTTTGATGTGTGCTTCAATAATGCTGCTGCAGGTGGGAAATTCTCCTCCACTTCTGAGCTGCATCTCAATGCATCCCCCCTAGAATCTGATCACCATGAGTGCAACAGTGCTGACACACAAGGCTGTACTCACTGCAACATCATGGAGCCTGCAATTTGCTGCGATGTTCACAATCCCACAGACTTTTTGTCATATGAACCTCACATTCCAAAGACACCTTGTGCAACCCAGTGCTCTTGTCTTCCAAAGTATGTGAAGGACAAGTGTGACTAAAATTAGAAAGTGCTCTCCTTGACTGGTGCAATGAGAAGACATCTGCTGTTTATGGGTGGGCATGCCTTAATGATGACAGCCCTGAAATCATGAGTGATGCTACCCTTGATTGCATTGTCAGTTGCATGCATCATCACAAGATCCAGACCTGTCAGGACCTCAGAAGGGAAACTGGGTGGATAGACAGTGATCTGTATGGCAATGAGGTCCCTGTGCTCATTAAAAGTCATTCTGCTCCATGCCCCTCCATCTTCATCTCTACACCACTCAGGCAAGGAACAACCACCAGCATCCCTGCTTCTACAACCTCCCTATTACCCCAATTCTGACTGACTGTGATGTCATTCTCCTCCAGTGCCAGAATAAGTGCAGTGCTTGTGGCCAAGAAGGACACAATGGTAAGTACAATGTTTTTGGAGGTAACTCTCAAGGCTCATCTATGCTAGTTCATAACCATATCTGTCCAAACCATCCATCCCACATCATCACTGGTAATAAAGAGAATGTAAGTCAAATAAATAGGATTCAATGCAATTCAGTGTGCTTAGACATCATCACAGCTCACTGCTCAACCAACTACAGTAGTTCCACCATAATGTTGTCTAATGTGCTACCTTCAAATTCTTCAAATATGTCTCCTGTGTCTCCTTCATTTTCCACCAATACTTCTCCCCACATCACTTTTTCCATCATTTCTTGTCCTTTGTCATATAGGTCTTCCACTTGATGGCAAGTTTTCCTGCCAAGACAAACTACATGCAGTGAATTTAATACTAGTTGTTCTTGGATCTTTGTGAAGGTTTTTCTCATGTCTGGTGCTGCATGGCTGGTTGTTAGGTGTGTATGACTGAAATTTTGTTGTACTAATCCCTGGAGATTTTGATAGACCTGAATGAGTGGTGATTCAAGGATTATGCATTCAACTGAATGTTTTGAGCCCTTCCCTCCATTCTTCACCTGCAAAACCCAACAGTAAGTCATACTTCATAACATGAGAAAATGCATACTTACCTTCATGAACAGGTTGTTCAGCTCAACACACCAATCAACAGCCCTCCATTTCATTGGCCTGCTGGTTGGGTTTACAAGAATGTGGTAGTGGATCACATGCCTTAGGCCTGAGGGATAAATGAAGTGCACATTGCACAGAAAGGTTGTCATCTGCATTGCATACTTATGCTTTCTGACTGCCTTTAGGATTGGGATCCAGCTTATGATGGAAGCCTTGACCCAACTGATGTCATCCCTGTACATTGCATATGATAGTTCCTCATACAGCAAAAAATACTTATTCAAAAGCAGTCCATTTTCAAATTGTGAGTCACATTCCATGTCTTGTTTCCTACACATACAACAGAACTGAGCAGTTGCAACATATGTGTGAATGATCTCTTTAGCCAGCACTTTGAGGTCCTCTAGTGTTGGCTTTGAGCAAGCAAAGTCTTTGAGGTTGTCAAATCCATTTTTTTGGCTAGCAAGTACATGCCAACAATCTAGACACTGACATATACCAGCATGGCTGACAAGCTGATGTATATGATGAAAGCCAGGCTTTGTTGTATATGTTTCCTTTGGATGTAGTTGTGCAACATCATGCATGAGGCTCATCTCATCATCACAGGCCACCAATGGGTAGATGAAGCAGCACCACAATGCATCAGCACAGGCCATCTTCAAATGGAAGAGTCCAGGTATGAAAATGACATGCTGAAGACAATTTCAGGATGTAGATTTGATTGACTGGCACAACTGGGCCATTTGGAGCCATTCTCTGGTGCCAAGGTCACCATGCACAAGAATGACATACTCTGATATGTCTAGTGAGTCTACAGTACCATTCTCTTCTGATGGCACATCAGTGGGTTGGATAGTTGTTAGAAGTGGTCTGTACCTGCAGTGGACCAGGTTACCAAAAAAATACTACAATACTGTGCAGTTGTTATAGTACCAATGCATAGTGGTCTGTACCACAACATAGCAAATTTGTCAGCCACTGCAATGCCAGTGAGATGGCTGGCCTTCTCAATCACAGATATTGCGGTTAGATGTACTTGATAACACTCAGGGAATCCAAACTTAGTATCATATCAATATTTTCAAGAGCATTGAACAAAAAGACGTGTAAATCAAAATGTATGGACATGCAAATCAAAGCATATGGATGTGTAAATCAAAGCATTTGATGATATTGGTGAAGTTCAGACAGCCCTCCCTCAAAGGCCTGTGAGGATGATCCAGCCTGTCAAGTACAGGTTTACCCTCAGGTGACTGGGCTTCAAGACTGGGTGACAGGGGCTAAGTCTGAGTGACCAAAGTCAAGGCCAGGAGACAGGGGCCAAGTCCAGTTGGACCAGAGTTAAGGCCAGAGGTCAGGGGCTAAGTCCAGAGGACCAGACTTAAGGCTGGGAGTGTGGGAAACTGGCTGGTCTTAGAGTGCACACAGGGGGAAGCTGGTCTGGGGTTGGATCTACCTCCCTTGGTCTCAGCTTATGTGCTGTACCCTTATGCAAGCTGGGGAGAGGTCTGGGACAGGGGCTGGGGATAGCTTAAGGCTTGGCCTTAGCTATAGAGCAGACTTGAGGGTAGTACAGAGTTTGAGGGTAATACTAAGTTGATATTCTGACTGGAGTGCTATGAAGTATGTACAGGGATTAAATACATGAGGCCAGTCTGGGGTAACAAGCATAGAGCTGGACTTGTTAATAAGCTATTAGTGAGAAGATTAGCAAGGAGTGGACAGCCATGGAGGCTGTGCCAAGACTAATAGTTAAAGTCTGGGTGACTGGCATGACTGGAGTTGGACACAGGTTTGTACAGTAAGCAAAGATCAGCAAAGGGGACTAGACTAAAATAGTACAAACAAAGGAAAACAGACTGGAGTTATGTCTGGGTGACCCAGACATGGACTGTTAAGTCTGGGTCTTCACTGGTCCAAGGCCAGTCCAGAGTCCAGTCAGGGGTTAGAGGGTAATACAAGATATCAAGGGGTTTGGACTATTGGACTTAGCAACTGAGGGCGCAGTGCTATTCCCTTGCATGGGCTGTAGTCCAGTTGAGAGACAGAAGACAGAGGACGAGAGAGGCCGGGTTAAGATGAGAACTAGTTTGATTTCAGACTGAGGCTAAACAGAATATCCTACAGCCTAAATACTAGAAGTAACCTAAGTGTAACATAGCACCAGAGACTGGTCTGCACCGGTACAGCAATGATTGGTAAGTAGTGTTACAAAGAATCTTATCAAGCAAGGACTATGAACAAGGGATTACCAGGAACTGGAGCAGGGCATGTGGCTGGGCTGGGTGTTACACTGGCCCGGTACCAACTGAGGGAACAACTCGACCAGGCACTGCCTTGCAGTGCCTTGTGAGCTAACACGTTTCTGGGTCGAAGGGTTAAGGCCAGGACTGGTGTCACACACCAAAGGTGTTTGGTGAGGTGGACATGGATGTAGCTGATGAATGGAGGTGAAGACCATAGCCCTCATGTGAAGAAGGACAGCCAGCAATGTCGGCAGTCATCCCTTGCACAAGAACAAGTTGTCAATAGCAAAGAAAAAGGAGGAGGCAGGTTAAGCGCCAATAAAGTTCTTAAGTGCCCGTGTATGGCATTCCGGTTTTCGATGTATCTCCACCAATTCTGCAGACACCGAAACCATTTTCACACTCACTTGTAGTGCTCAGCCATGCGATCCTACCTTCCAAGATTGGAAAGGATTTGCGCACTCCACACGTTTCTACAGCGCTCCCTCCAAAAGACGCTCATTTCGCTAATTCTTCTGATATGGCTGCCTCCACATCAGTCATTTCGCTTGTCCCCTTTGCTAGGGACCATGGCTACATATATCTACCAGGAGTTCCTACCAGCTTCCATCCTGAAGTGTCCTGGTACATCCCACCCTCATCTGCCCCCTCTCAGCCCATCCAGCTTGGACAGCATGTTCTTTTTGTCAGTATGACCTCCAGGAGGACATTCTTTGGTCACCTCAGGTCTGTCATTCGCTTGGAAAGGTCTTATGTGGTCATTTCAGTCTCTCCAGTCCAAGAAGCATATGGATCCTTCCTCCCTGCCCCCTGCAATGGCTTCATACCAGTCTTGTCCATCATTCTTCCAAAATTGCGACAGCTACAGTATAATCTACTGTTCTCCACTCTCCCTGATCGCATCCATGATGAGTATGATGCACATCTTGCCTCCTTGTTGCAAGATACAGCAGAAGACGCTCCCCCTTCATCCTCTCTTCCAACAGAGCCTTGTTCATGAAGTTTTTATTTGCTTCACTGAGAGGATGGTTTGGGGGGGAAAGTTGCGATCCCCTATGCTCCTGTCACCCCACAGACCCCCAAAGCTTGACCCCTGTTGACATCTGACTCACCCTGTCCGCTTTTGGATGTACTATATCGGCATCAGATCAGCGCTGCCTCTCTGTCATCCCACTTTGGCCTAGAAGCGATCTCTTCAAGATGTGACATGCACAGCCTCCCCCTAATGTGATTCCAGTGTGCTTTCTTGGTTCCTGACATTGCTTGACTCATACTTTGACATTCTGACTGTCTTTGACTCACCTATTGCCAATACTTACCAATCTTTTGACTTTGCTTACTGATTCTTTGCCTTTTGGCTTACTTATCCTTACCAATGCTTACCAATGCTTTCCAAGATGATTACCCATCGCTTACATTCCTTACTCATCAGTTACCAATTGCTTACCAGGTGTTTGCACCTTGTTTTCCATAGGCAACACCCCTGTACTGTATATAAGTCACTGTACTTAGGTAGCAAAAAAAGAAGACATCAGAGAGCCCCTCTTGCTCGCAATTTATCATCTCTCAGTAAATCATTCATCAGCTTCGATAGTTGAGACTTTATTAAGGGTCTAGCTATCATCTACTTCACTTATCATCATCTATCATCCATATACTTCGCTCCAAGCCCTCCCTGAGCTCAGTACAGCTTAGGACATCGAATTAAGTCACCATCCATCCTTCTGTAGGCTGACAGCAGTCTACCCTATCGCTTTCTATCACATTCTTGCTCCCTCTTCATCAGGAGCACCCCCAACCCTCAGCACTCATCTTTGAGTGTTGTAGCTCACAAAAAACCCTCCCAAAGAACAGGTTCTACCATCTAGGTACCGCATAGGCACACCACCACTCGCTTTCATTGTCTTTTGTGTTGGTTTTGGTTGGTTTTCACCACTAAACCTCACTTTGACTCACACTGGGGCAAGGGTTGGACAGGACTGGTCGAGACTGGGGTAGAGCCAGTCTGGGGTGGTCTGGGCACAGTCATGACATGGACCTGGGAGGACCAGGGTGGAGCAGTGCAAGGCTGGGAGGCTGGAATGGACTGGAGATAGGGGTAAAACACCAGACTTGAGTTATTCAGGCCAGAGTTGGGTTTTCTAGGCCAGACCAGGACCAGACTTGACCAGAGACAGGGGCTAGGGGTCCAGACTGGACTGGGATTGAGTCTGAGAGTCATGGATATGACACAGCCCACAGATATTCCCCAGCCCAAGGATCACCTTCTGGATCGATGTGACCATATGTGAATGCAGTAGATGTCAGGTGGAAGGGAGCCACCCCCAAGTGGGATGGAGCCCCATATGTCAGCATTGGAGATGACACAACCTCATAGACCACTACCTCATCTGCATGGGGTATGAATATGTGTGGAATCTTCTTTGGAGATGTGACAGTTTGGTTTGAAGAGATTAATTTCCTGGCAGTGGTCATTATTTTCCATAGTCAAAACACCAAGCAAGGCAACTTACATTCCCTGTGTATTCAACCACACAAGGTGGGCAGTGACAGCAGGCCCAATGGCAGTGTTCTGCAATGCTTCAATAAAACCCTCATAGTACACATTGAATACAGGGCAGTAGTCCAATCCAGTGAACTGGATTGTGCTACCAGAATTGTGTGTTCATCCCATTGTGACACAGTCAAGAGAACAGGTAAACTGCTTATGAATTAGTCTGGAGGTATCCACAGAAATAATTATTGGCTTACTGCCATGGCAGAGAGTGCATACATGTGTGTTGGCATGGTCTTGTAGCTGCTGGCAAATGTTTTAACTGGGAGACTGATTGCATATACCAGAAGTTTGTATGGAATCTCTCAAAAACAGAGTTCCCAAACCATCTTATGATGAGGCCCTAGAGATATGTCAGTTAGATGCAATTGGTTGTAAAATCACACACATTATTGTCATGCTCATGCATAAAGAAGTTGGCAATATCAGTCTGGTCCTTGAGTTTTTCCAACAGTGAAGTTTTCTATAGGGTATATGCTGGAGGGTCTGCAAGAAGTTGAATATCATCAGTTCTGAAGAATGCCACCACATAGGTTTTGCCAAATTCTATGGCTTTGGACCATACAAGACCAAGCACCTTCAGAATCTGACAGGCAGATTAGTGAATGTTATCAAAAAATGCACAAAACTTACCAGCATTTCAATATCCTTTGTCATTGCTACATCTATGTGGTAGTTTAAGGGCTTGAGGGCTCACAAAGCTTCAGGAAGGCTTACCACCCTGCAATGCCACATTTGCATGCAACAAACACTCGCACACAGTACTCTTCCAAATTGTGCAGGTGTTTTGGCCATGGGGCCAACTGACATTCAAAATCATTTTGTTAGCTAACACCTGGCATGTGTACTTCAACACTTCCTGAGTGTCTTCTCTATACCACACAAGGCACACTGCATCGATGTTTTTCTTGTGGGTACCACATGGTGGCTGATGCCTGGGTGCACTCCTGCCATCTTCATCATATGTAGATACCTGGCTCAAAGTGTGGATAGAAGTTGCTCTTGATGATGGGGTTCTTGAAAATGTTCTGAGTGATGACATTCATCATGATGATATGGAGTAGATGGATGAATCTGCAAAGGTGTGAAGTCAGTCTTGTGATGGGGCTCTAGAAGCCCCACAACACCTTTGGTGGGTCGCCAGGACATCTGTTTCTTGCCCTGTGACCTGGTAATGAGTCATCATAAAGGGTGTATCAATTTAGAGTTGATTGGATTGTTACCTGGATCATTGCAGCAGCTGCTTGAAGTCTGTTTGTGGCAGTCATTGCTGGTGGCTGGGGTAAGGTGATTTGTGGCATGAATGCTACCAGATCTTCAGATACTGGGGGTGGATCAATCATACTCATATCAGCCTGATATGTGTGAACATGGTGGGGGGGGGAATGGTATCATGGAAGGTTGGTGGGATGAACTGATAAGGCTCATTGCCTGTGGGGGTTGTCAGTTAGTGTCAAATCAAGCTTGATTGAGTCTTACCAAGGTAATTATAAAGAGTGAAGGATCCATACCCATCAGGTTCAATATTGGTTGTGTTGGTGTCCAATTGAGATGGAGCAGGGCCATGGTATTTGATCAGATGGAATGGTGGCAGATGCTCCACAGGACTGGTCACTGATGATGCTTGATTGTGACTACAGCCATGACCACAACCATGACCACCTGCATTACTACCACACCCTCTTGACTCAGAAGGAGGATTTGAGCCTGTAGAATGAAGGTGGGGCAGGCCTTCAGGATTGAACTCACATAAAACAGTGCACACCCACAAGGGGGCATCTCTGGGGGATCATAGCTAGAAAGAACCAGTAGGGTAGTATATATAGTAAGCCCTGGGGATGCATGTTTGCAGGCATGCTTCATGATGGACCCTACACCTAATCAGCTGGGCAAAAAATGAAAACAGTGCCATAGTAGGTTAAACTTACTGAAGCTCCATGGACAGAAAACCATATAGGATGCCAACTTTGGGGTGAGGTGCAGAAGTTGCAATATGTGGTGTGCCTCAAAATTGCTGTGTTCATGCCAACATGCCAATGCTTAGTACAGACATAAGATGGACATTGTGTGGCTACAGCACAACACAGCACATAGACATATAGAACAAACAACAAGTATACTACACTGTACAATGGGCATAAAGAATTCAAGCATTATTGAAATTGGAAGGGATGGGGGAGGTGTCATGGTCATGTGTTCATCCTAAGTCCTCACTCACTCCACACCCCTTTCCACTGGTCATTCACTCACTAATGCACCAACTCTGCCCAACTTCTGTCAGTTGTGAGCTGTCTCCACTCCAGCTGCTGTCAGAATTGCACTGCTCCCCTACCAGACTGAATGGACTGTTCTCTGAGGAGTCATGTGACTACCTTTGGACTCCTCCCTGACAGCTCGCAGTCAGGTACTCTGCAGCATGCGCACCACATGGTCCAGTGCCTGGACTGTTTCCTTTTCTGGATGTTCTATGTTACCTGTTCATATGCCCTCCATCTACCCTTCATTCATAGGAAGTTTTACTTGAAAATTGCTGGGTCTCCATATGTCAGTTCCAATTCCAGTTACTGTACCTCCATGGTAGTATAAAAGCATGTATCATACTCTGTCATTCCTCAGTATGAATATTGACTTAGTTCCTACTCCCTCTGTCTCCATCTTCTGCCTGTCAGAGTTACCTCCAACTGTCCATCTGTACTCCCCCTCTGAGATATGAGGGCTGAGATTGTGCAAGGGGGTAGCACATGAGCTGAACCTGATGCCCTCACTTTGCTCTGCCCTTACCTTGGTGGATTTCATTCCTGCCAACACTCCACCAGTCAGAGTTCTACTCTTTCTGTCGGACTTGCTCCTGAACCTCTCCCTGGACCTCAACAAGCATCAGAGTTGGTCAGAGTAGGCCCAGACTTGACAGGAGGCAGAACCTTCACATTCTGACCCAGAAAAGTCACTATCCCCAGTGTTACTGTCATCTACCAGTAAAAGTTTGATACCAGGGTTAAATAATCCTAAGCTTCCTTTGCAGCTAAGGATATGCTTGACCTCCCCAACCTGATGGTCAGCAACTTTCAGAAAGGTCTTTGCCTCCCCAAAGTCATCCATAGTGATTGTTCACATCAATTCAATCTCTCAAAGGTGGAGGTGCTGATACTTGACACCTGCAGCAAATGCATCTTGGCTGGCCCAAGCAAGCTGCAGCATCCAATGAGAGCAAAGGTCCTCAGCCTCTGGAGATATGTTGGCTGTAGTCTGTATCTTATTGTCAATATCAAGTCTAGCCATTTACAAGATTTCCTGACTGTTGTGACCAGTTTCTTGGTCTTTTTGCATGGAGAACCACTACTTTTATCAGATGGCAAGGCCAGCTGAAAGTGGGTGTGCTTGAGACTTTTGGGTGATAACACAATGCGATCCAAAACCTCTTCCTCCCTTGACTTAGTTGGTGGAGGGCTTGTCATATTTGTCTTTGATGAAGGGGGGGTTGACAGAAGGGCAAATTGACTGGATTGTGGTGTGCTGATTGAGCGATTTTCTGATGACTGTGTGGACATATTGGCACCAGTAAGTACTAGTGCACTTAGCAGTAGAAGGTGGTTTGAGGGAGCACAACTCCTAACCCTAATCCTATGTCACTACTCATGGGTTGGGGACATGTGTAAACCACTGACCGCAGATCCCCATCTCTATAATGATCCTTGTCACTTATTCCCCTGGTAAGTTTGCCCATTATCCATTTTTAAAATTTCATGACCCATGTAAAAAGAGGCAGAACAGTAACCTGGGACTTCAGTATCAGAATGGCTGCCACAGATCCCTTCTCAATCACTCTTCCTGCCCTAGCTAATACTGGCTTCACTTGCCCTAACTGTGCTACACCATTTACCACAGGGATGCCATGATGCAGCATCTTTCTGGGCCAGGGCCATGTGGACAGTGGCTTGTTCAAATCCTACCCAGCATGGAGCCTGTAGGGTTGCCCTTTGGAGATGACTACCTCAATGATGTCAATGCTGCTAATGATGGTGTGTAGCATTCAACAATCTTTATGCAGTCAACATTTAAATTCTCTAGTTGACACGAATAGGAACTTTGACAACCCATTTGACAATAGTGATGATGATAGCAAGAACAGCAACGACACAAATGTTCACCATTCCCTTGAAGATGACACCCACTACAAATCTCCTGAAACTCTCCCCCCTTTGGCATCAGCTCTGCATGTATGAATGTATCATCCAAATCAGGCTGAGAGCCTCAAAGGAGGCTTGAATCATCTTCAGCACATGGACCAAGATGAATTCACACATATACATGACTCTGAAAACATTTATTATCCATTTGCATCAAAGGGTGAGTGGGAACTTGCCAACTGGCTGGCAAGTGGTGCCTTGTCACAGAAGGAGATTGATGCTTACTTACATCTACAATGTGTGAGTGTGCTTATCTGGCACATGTGTGAATACTCACTGTTAAATAGACAAAAGACTTCCCCATTTCATTCAACACTGCCAAGGATCTCTGTGCATGTATTGAATCTTTGCCTGAAGTCCCATGTTGGTGTTTTCAAGAAATTAAAGTAGGGTCATATCAAATGAAAGATCCACTCGTCCTTTATTGGCATGATGGCCTCGAGGTGGTTGAACACCTCTTTTGCAATCTGGTATTCACCAATTGTATGGACATGAGTCCATATCAAGAATTTGAGGAAATGCTGAATGGCACAGAGCATGTATATGGCAAATTCATGAGTGCTGATTGGGCTTGGGAGATACAGGTCAGTAACATGTTGATCAAGTACATCTGTGATGCCAAGACTTCCTGTGATAGGACTCATTACCCACTGGTCATTCCTTCCTTGGTGTAATTGGTGCTTCAGACAAGACTCCTTTGATGATCAGTACTGGCAATAAAGAAATGCACCCACTTTTGCTCTTCATAGCTAATATTCGTGCTGGCATGCAGATGAAGGCCATATCACATTCATTTGCACTAGCTGCATACCTCCCAATTCCAAAGTTCTATAATGTTTCACCTGCTGTACAGGCTGTTCTATCCTCCCACATGTATCACTTTGCTGTTTCAATTGTAATGAAGAACTTAAAGTTAGCCCATTGTGATGGTGTGGTCTTATCTGATCCCAATGGTGATCTTCGCATAATCCATACACCACTTGTTTCTTGGATCGCAGATTACCCCAAGCAGCTCCTTGTGGCCTGTGTTTCTTCAAAGAACTCTCTAATCTCCATTGCTACAGCAGACCACTGTGGTGACCCCACCCCTCATCCCCCCCATGTTTGCCAGAATACCCTTGCAGCTATCTGTGAAGCATGCATCACTTGTGATCCATGCAATATTGCTGCATTCCACAAGGTATGTTTGGAAAAGCATCTCAACAGTGTTGTGGAACCATTCTGGGTGGATTGGGGGGATGCATGTCCATCGGTCTTTCTCACACCTGATGCGCTCCATCAATGGCACAAGTTTTACTTTGACCATTGCTTGCACTGGGTTATCAATATTATTGGAGGTACAGAACTCAATCATTGCCTTGCTCTCCTTCAGCCAAGAATTGGGACACATAATTGGCCAAATGGAATTTCCATCCTCAAGTGGTGCACAGGCAGGGAACATTGTGATCTCGAAAAGGTACTGCCCATTTTCACCACAGGGGCATTGCCAGACAATGTTCTTTGCACCATTCAGGCAATTGCTGAGTTTATTTTTCTTGTGCAGAATGTCTATCACTTCAATGAGATCCTACATTTGCTCACAGAAGCACTGCAGGAGTTCCATCACTATAAACAAAGTGTCATTTCTGTTGGAGGTTGCCAAGGACAAAATGGACCACTTCAACACTTCCAGATCCCAAAGCTGGAGTTGGCTCAACATGTCATATGGAGCACATGTGCTATGGGTGCTCCTTACCAATGGAGCAGCGACATCATGGAAAGGTGTCATATTACCCATGTCAAGGCTCCCTATTGCCTCTCCAATCACCATGATTTCCATAAAAAAATGTTGTCATTTTCTCAATTGACAAGAAAACAATGGTTTTTCCAGCTCTTCACCATGCTCAAGATGGCAAGTGCACCTCTTATCAATGAGATGCTGTACAAGGCTACACAGATGCAGATTCACTACCTGGAATCAACTTGGATTTCTAATGTATTGCCAAATGAACAGTACATGGGCTCTGTAGCACCCAGGAAATCTACCTTCGACAGTGGCCAGTCTCGTATTTCTTCTGACAACTCCACTGCATTTCTCCTTACCACCAAGCCCCACTTTCCTAGCATCCCCATTGATGATGCAGCTCCCCTTTTGATACATGACCTGCAACCTGCATTGGGAGACTTCTTTTTGGGCTGGTCATACACAAGCCACCATGGCCACTGTCTCTCTTCACCCAATTCTCCCCTCCCTTTCTTGCACTCTCACACCTGGGACAAGGTTCACATTCAGCAGCATTCAGCACAGGACCCCCTCTCCCTGTCACCACCTCAAACAATTCTGTCAAGTTCATGGTGTCCAGGTTGAGGCCAGATCAGAGACCAAAGAGGGCATGAGGCTGAGGGGTTGGAGTCAGGAGGGAAGACAAAGGTACAGGGGGGTGGACTGGTTGGACTTAGCAACTGAGGCTACAGTGCTATTCCCTTGCATGGGTCTCAGTCTGAGTCTGAGGCTGAGGTGAGATTATCAGAGTAACTTAGTTGATTTCAGACTGAAGAGTACAGGTCAGGTATCTACAAGTTTATATACCAGAGACAACTATAGTATGGAGACTGGTAATGCCAGTCTCACAAGGATTGCTAAGATGATTGGTAAGACAAGTATTAGTAATGTATGACTAAGGTAACAGAGACTGGGACAGGGCAGACCAGGGACAAGGCTGGGCAGAACTTAACTGAAGTGACATGCACTGTAAAGCAGTGTTCACTGCACTAGGACATCTGGGGTAAGGGAATGGCAAGGCCAAGGCCAGACTGAATGAGTGTGAGACCAAGTCTGACCAGGGTCGAGGCACAATCATGACACAATTCAGGCTGTCCCCCCAAGTGCCAATATGCCATGGGGTTGGGCAAACACTGTCCTGATATGCCACAAGAGTGGTGATGTTATTTCAGCCAGTCATGTGGATGAACATATGCTTTATATTCCTTATCACTTTTTACTCTCACCAACAGCACCATTCTAGGTTATCTTGTTGCCCAAGTTCAAGCAATTTTACAACCTATCACTGTTTGCCCATCCCCACCCCTCCTTTATGTCGAGTTCTTTGACTTCTCCAGTTCCCATTCTGCAGTGGTAGATGGTATATGTGTTGCTGTGCCTGCTCCCAAGATCAAAATGTTTGTCACTCAGTGGCACTTCCAAAGCAATGGCCAGCAGTTAGGAGATATCATTTACTTGGATGATGTTCATCAGGCTGTCCAACTCATCCCCAAGTTCAGTGCACAGGCACCACCCAGGTTAACCTGTGACAACTGCCTGGAGGTTGGACAAGAGTTCTATGTCAATAGCTTTGCAGATAAAGAGGTTTTCTATGCCATTCTTAGTTACCAGTAGTTGCTGCACATGATTACCAATGGCATTCTGATTAATCTTACAATGCACTTGAGTCATATCCTTGTGAACAGATAATCAGGACTTGATCATCATGATTGCCACTGCTTCCCAGTCAGATAACCAATAGTCCATGTACATGATTACACCCACATCTTTAGAATGGTAATTTGCTACCACATGCTACAAGCTACTACAACTCACTACAAACTGCTACAACTCGCTACAAACTGCTACAACTTCGCTACAAACTGCTAGTTCAGCAGTGAGTTGCTACAAGCAGTTACCTCAGCTGACCGTTTCACTGATGCACTGCAGGGTCTTCCACTCCACCTTGCTTGAGCAAATCCACAATGGCTTGAATGTTACCACTGACTGTCAAGTTATTGACATCCATGGCTTGGGCTGCAAAGATTGGCATCTTCACAGTAGGTATTTTTTCCATAGATTCTGGAGTTTGAATCACTGATTTAAATTGATGGAAGTATTTGGGCCCATGGGTACATAGGTCATGCAAGAACCTCCACAAATTGAACTGGTCATGGTATGACAAGTTCATATTTGATCCTGGCTGAACTGATTGTAGTTGTCCCAGCAACTCCCACCATGCACACTTTGGGGGAGTGTGTAGTCCATTGGCTTGTGGACTTAATGCTGGCATGTTCCACAGATGTTTTGAACACTTCAAGTCATTGAGTGTAACACCATGGACAAATGGGAACAGCAACCCAGAGGTAAGATGCTTGAGTGAGTCACTTGATGTCTCTGCAGTCAGAATATAATGTTTCAGGTTGATGTCAAAGTTATCATATACATATGATGTGAGGAGGGACTGTCCAAGTTGTTGCAATGAATTCTGTGACTCCTGTGATAGAGATTGGATTGCCATATTTATTGTGTCAGTGGAGACCAAAATTCCAAGGTGAGCAAGGGTGTCAATGACCTTGTATGGTGTTGTAGAATATATACTACAGGACTATTAGCAGAGTGTAAAGACAGGATGTGGAAAGTACTCACCTCAGTTGGGTTAAGCAGCCAACTGAGGTGTGACTATGCTACTCAAGTGCAAAAATGAACATGATTATGTAATATGGCTAAATGTGTACCATAATACTAAGTAAGATGTAGGTGAAGGCATAATATGGAAGGCAGAATATACAACACTCCCCCTCAAACATCACAGAGCCCAAGCTCATAAGCAAAGTGCTTGGCTTTGATGTTTGGCAGAGCCTTGGTGAGGGTATCTGCAACCATACTGCCAGTAGGACAGTAAATGAGGCGAAGCAAGCCATTATCAATAGCATAGCATATAACATGATAATGAATGTCTATGTGTTTTGTACAGGCATAGTAATTTCCATGGTGAGTGAGCATGATTGTGGACTGATTGTTGCAATGGATTATGGTTGGGAGCAAGAGTGGGCAGAAAAGTTCTTGGATAAGGCAACAAAGCCAGATGGCTTCTTTTGCTGCATGGGTAGTGGCAACATACTCAGCTTCTGTAGTAGATAAAGCAATAAGTTCTTGTTTCTTCAAGGCCCAGGGAATCACTCCACCATTAAGCAGGAAGGTGTAGCCAGAAATGGTGTGCCAGTGCTCCTGTGAGGCACTGTCTGCATCCATATAGCCCTCAAGGCCATACCTATCACCTCTGAACATCAACATGAGCCCTTTCATGCCTAAAAGGTATCTAAATATCCTTTTTATGCCCTCCCAGTGTGCTAATCCCAGATTATTGCAGAATTGCAACAACATCACAATAGAAAAAGCCATGTCAGGGTGTGTGGCAACTGCTAGGTGCATCAGTGAGCCAATGGCCTCATGATATGGCACATTTTTCATGTGTGCAGCCTTAGTATGCATTTTCAGGCACTGGGTAGTTGAGAATTGGACTGAGGGGTCCCATAGGCATTGCAACAGGCCATAGATCTACAAAATTATATTTTAAGATCATAGAATCAATGTAGGACTCCTGTGAGAGTGAGAGCATGCATGCTGAGCAATTATGCATGACTTTTATTCTGAGTAGGGACAAGATGGGGCCTAAATCTGTTAATTTGAAGTCTGCAGCCACTCTGGATTTGAACCTTTTGATTAGGCTAGGATCATTGCCAGTAATGGTGCAGTCATTGACATGTGATGTGAGGAGCAGGATGTCCTGTGTGCATGAAGAAAACACCCCAGTCAGCCTCAGCTGTTAAGTATGGGTTTACCCTTGGATGACTGGGCTTCAAGACTGGGTGACAGGGGCTAAGTCTGGGTGACCATGAGTCAAGGCCAGGAGACAGGGGCCAAGTCTGGTTGGACCAGAGTTAAGGCTGGAGGTCAGGGGTTAAGTCCAGAGGACCAGACTTAAGACCAGGAGCATGGGAAACCAACTGGTCTTGGAGTGCACACAGGGGGAAGCTGGTCCAGGGTTGGATCTACCTCCCTTGGTCTCAACTTATGTGCTGTACCCTTATGCAAGCTGGGGAGAGGTCCAGGACAGGGGCTGTGGATAGCTTAAGGCTTGGCCTTAGCTATAGAGTAGGCTTGAGGGTAATACTAAGTTGATATTCTGACTGAGGTGCTATGAAGTATGTACAGAGGTTAAATACATGAGGCCAGTCCAGGGTAATGAACATAGAGCTGGACTTGTTGATAAGCTATTAGAAAGATGATTAGCAAGGGAGGATAGCCACAGAGGCTGTGCTGAGAAAGTCCAGGTGACTGGCATAACTGGAGTTGGACACAGGATTTGTACAGTAATCAAAAGGTCAGATGAAAGGACTAGACTAAATATAGCACAAGCATCGCAAAACAGACCAGAGTTATGTCTGGGTGACCTGGACATGGACCTGGGAGGACTGGGGTGGAGCAGCACAAGGTTGGGAGGCTGGAGTGGACCGGAGATAGGGGTAAAACACTGGACTTGAGTTATTTAGGCCAGAGTTGGGTTTCTTAGGGCCAGAGTTAGGTTTTCTAGACTGGACTAGGACCAGACTTGACCGGAGATAGGGGCTAGGGGTCCAGAGTGGACCAGGGTTGAGTCCGAGAGTCATGGACATGACATCAGCATGACACATACCAAGTGTAGTGAGTGCAGTGCACAGTTGCTCATACCACTTCAATGCTCCTTGCTTTGATCCATAAAGTGCTACATGCAGTCAGGTGACAGGATTTTTATATTTGCTGTTAACTGAGAGTCTGGGTGGCAGCTGCATATAGATTACTTCATTGTCATCCAACTTCCTATTTAGGAAAGAGCTCTGGAAATCAAAAACATCAAACATCCCAGTCATTCTGTACTGCAATAGCAAGGATGGTGCAGATAGATGCCATGTGTACAATGGGTGCATAGGTTTCATAATAGTTGATGCCATGGACCTGTGAGTAGCCTTTTGCTACAAGTCACACCTTGTATTTTTCAATTTCTCCCTGCATGTTGCACTTGATGCAAAATACCCATTTACAGCTGACCACATTGACACCTTGTGGTCTCTCAACAATGCAATGAGGTAAGTTCTTTATTAATTGCTTCCTCCCACTTTGACCAATCAGGTCTCACATGAGTGTTTTTGATCATGATGGGATCTGTCCCTTCTAGCTCTGCAGTCCCAGCAACCAAGGCAAAAACTTCTTCATTGTCTTTGTCCATCACCCCCATCATGCCCAGGTTTTCTGTCTCTCTATTCTCCTCTTGTTGTGAGCCTGGTTGTATTCCTTGAGGTAGTGGTAGTGTACAAGGTAGTGGGATTCATCCATTGTATGTACCCTTGCCCTCATGCAGACACTGTACATATGCTGACTCAACACATGTGTGATTAGAGCAATGGATGGGTGCTGCAGGTTTGAACCTTGGTCCAAGGTGGTCAATTCATGTACTTGGTGTTGTAGGTGCTCTTTCTGTGGTTCATATGGCATGCTGATTGCTTTTACCAGCTACAGGCAAGGTGGATGATGCTCCCTTGTCATCTGTGATGTATTTCTCCCCCTCAAGCTGCATGCTGATAGGAATGGTGACCTCTTGCAAGCTGAATTGGACATTTCATTCAACACCCACACATTGTGAGTCCTCGAAATAAATTCTGTGCACATTTGTGTCCTTATTGAAGCCCACCCAGTGACCATCTTTTGCCCACATGTCTAGTTTCGAACCATCTGCTGTGTGGACTTTAACATGGCAGCCCCAGATCAGTCGATTAGATAGATCTGGTTTCTTTTTATACAGCATTACATAGGGTGTTGTTTTGTCAAGTGTGTGGGTGGAGGTTCAATTCTTTAACCAATTCACATGCATTATAGCTTCTCCCCATAGTGACTTTGAGAGGCCACTTGCATTTAGCATGGTATGGCATGTACACATTTGACAAGTGTGTGGTTCAGCCTTTCAGTGACACCATTATGGTTATGCTGTGGTGTATCATGCACTGTGAGCTTCCTCTCTGTTCCTTTTAGCCCAAGATGATGTGAAAACTCTTTGCTTAGGAACTCCCCACCCTGGTCCAAGCAAAGCCTTTAACCTTTGTGTTGAACTGCATCAGCAGCTAGGCTTCATACTTCTGGTAGGACTCAAAGGTTTTGTCCTTTGACTTCAGGAGGTACAGGCTTGTAAAGCAAGTATGGTCATCAGTGTATGACACAAAATACTGACTCCTTGCATTTGTTTGGACAGGGGATGGTCCCCATAAGTCTGTATGGATTTCATTGCCAACCTTCCCTCAGCATGGTGTGAGTCAAAGTGTGGAAAGGTGGCAAAAACCAACCAAAACCAACACCAAAGACAAATATGAGCAAGTGGTGGTTTACCTCCATGGAACCTGGATGGCAGAAAAATCTAAGTGGGGGGGGGATTTCAATGGCAGGTGCTCCTAGCACAAGTCATCAACAAGTTACACAGGAACAGACAAATGGATGATGACCAGATAGGGGATGCTGAACAGAGTGAAGGTGTTCAGCCAAAAGTATTCTGGAGTAATGGACTTTGATAAAATGTGCTCCTGGTGCAAGTCAATGATGAGTTACACAGGAGTGGGAGGATGACTAAGCAAGACTGCTGACTAAGTGGGGATAAAGCTTCAGATAAAGGCAGACAGACCCCTTCATGGAGCCTCAACTACCAAGTATGAATGAAGACAGATAGACTCTTCCAAATGAGCCTCAACTGCTGACAATGAGTTATGCTGAGCTGAACTGAACTGACTGCTGAGTGAATGGCTTCTGGATTGCTTGTTGGGTTGTAGCTAAGTACATGGGGGTATATACTGTGGGGGGAGTGCAGCCTATGACAAACAAGGCACAAATGCTTGGTAAGTAATGAGTAAGGACTGAGTAATCATGATGAGTAAGTGAGAAATGAAAAGTAAGTAAGCAAAGAGGATTGGTAAGTATTGGCAATAAACAAGTCAAGGATAGTCAAAAATATCACAGAATGAGTCAAATAACATCAGAAACTGAGTAAGCACACTGATATCACATTAGGGGGTGGCAATGCAAGTCAGATCTTGGTGGAGACATCTCTAGATCCAAAGATGGCATGACAGATGGATGGTGTTTCCAGATAGGGAAGTATTAATTCCAGAATTGAAGGGCATGAGTCAGGTGTCAAAGGGGCTAGGGAAATGGGGGTCTATGGGGCAATGGGAGCATAAGTGATCACATCCCCCACCCTTTCATCCTCTCAGCAAAGTTAACAAAAGCTTCATGAATGGGACTCTGATAGAGGAGGAGGAGAAGGGGGGATTTCTTCTGCTGGACCTTGCAGTAAGAAGGCAAGATGCATGTCATACTCATCATGAATGCAATCAGGGAGGCTGGAGAACAGTAGATTATGCTGCAGCTGTCACAATGTGGGGAGAATGATGGATGAGATTGGAATAAAGACATTGCAGGGAGCAGGGAGGAATGATCCATATGCTTCTTCAAGAGGGGAGACTGAAACAACCACATAAGACCTTTCTAACTGAGTGACAGACCTAATGCAACCAAAGAACATCCTTCTGGAAGTCATACTGACAAGGAGAACATGCTGACCAAGCTGCATGGGATGAGATGGGGCTGACAACAATGGAATGAACCAGGGGGCTTCAGGACAGAAGCTGGTGGGAATGCCTGGCAGATATACATAGCCACTGTCTCTGGCAAAGGAGACAAGCAAGATGATTGACAAAGAGGCAGCCATTTCTGATGGACTTAGCAAAATGAGCATCTGATGGATGGAGTGCTGTAGAAATGCATAGGTGCAAGGATCCTCTCCAAATTTGGAAGGCAGAATTGCATGGCTGAGCACTTTAAGCAAGTGTGAGAATGGAGTCAATATCTTTGGAAATGGTGCAGATATGACAAAAACCAGAATGCTGTACATGGGCACTGAAAACCTTTAATGTGTGCTTAACTCACTTCCTCTTTTCTCTTTAGCACTGATAACTCATTCTTGTGCAAAGGATGACTGCTCACATCCAGCAGTCTTTCTATGCATGAGGGCTTTAGTCTTCATCTGCATGCATGGGCATTGTGCACAACTCATCAATGAGTTAGGCAGAGTCAGCTGTAACCATGTCCACAACACCTTTGGTGTGTGACAGGAGGGGGTCTCAGATATTTTCTATGGGTTTTTGAGTTGCCTTGGCATACTCACATGGGTCACAAGATTCAATTGTTGCATGGGAAGGGTCTAGGCTTATTCTGGTTACAATGCCATCTTTTAGCATTTGTTTAATAGTATCCAGTGATATATGGCCAAGCTGCACATGAATATCTTCCATGGTAAGGGTTACTCTCAAGTTTGCCAAGCCCATGTAAACCATCTGCATGGCTTTGGTTGTATAGAGGCCACTGCTGACTGGTACTTCCCCAAGGAGTTTCCTTCATCCATTAAAGCTCCTGCAGCACAAGTCACAGAGGAGTATGGCATATCCACTTGTGTCCAGGCAGCTAATGGATACCAGGGTCATGCTGATCTTAGGTGTATGCAGAACATCCTTCAAGAGGATATGAGTGGGTGAGTTGCCATTTGGTAGGGATATGTACACATCTCCTTTTCCAATGGCTTTGAAGGTTTGTTTGTCTGCTGCAGTAATGGTTTTGGGAGTGATGGGCTTATAGTTGACAAAGTTTTCCTTGTATGATGACATGTGACAAGAGGCTCTGGAGTCATATAGTGTAGTGTAGCTTGGTGGTCTCATGTATGCACTAGTAGCAAATGTCTCTGGGGATGGTTGAGCTTTGTCAACCTCAGCTTCATAGCTGTCATTGATATGTGCAAGCCATACCCCATCTAGGTCATTGCTGCTGTCATCCTTGGCCACTGCTGTGCACTCTTTCTGCTTCCCTTTGTTTGGAGACTTCCCTCCACTTTGTGAGTCATCCCCACTTGACCTGCATTTGCAAGCTCAGTGCCCACATTTTCCACATTTGCAGCAAGTTCCAGCAAACTTCTTCTGCTTTCCTCCAGCTGAGTATGCTGCATTGTCTGCATCACTAGACTTCTTCTGCTTTGTGGCATGGCAGTCATACTCATCTTGTGCTGCATCCATGAGAGTCACAGTTGTTAGGGTAGTGGAGGTGGAAACTTTTGCAAGTCCAGACATTGCTCTGATGACAGAGTCATAAGAGCTTGGGAGGGATGCCATGACCATAGCCATGTAGCTTTTGTCTGTCAGGGCTTGGCCCATTGATGCAAGTTGTTCATTTAGTTGCTGCATTTTATCAAAGTGTTCCCTGACATTTCCCTTCTCTGTGCATCTTATAGTTTGGAGCTTCTTCAGCAGTTCAACCAATACAACACAAGAGTGCTTCTCAAAGAGGTTGGATAGGTATGTCCAGATGTCAAGTGCAGTAGTGAGACTCTTTATTTGGATGAATAGTGTATCAGGGATCATGCTGGAAATTTGTTGCTTGATGATGGCTTGGCTGAGCCTCCATTCTTTTAGGGTAGCTTGGTAGTTCATCACTTCCTTTTTCTCCTCTGCAGAGATAGGTGTCCAGCTCTTGCTCCAGTTTGCTAGTGTCTTGGGGTCAACTGGCATTGTCTCAGTACCATCTATGTACCTGAGCAGCCCACAATCATCCAAAGACCACATTAGCCTGTCCTTGTATGTTACCCAGTCCTCTCCATCTGCTGAGAGCTTTGGGACCTTAAGGAAATCATCTCCAAGCTTGGATGTGAATGACATGTTGCCATGAGTTCCCAGTTAGTGAGCACCAGGGCTCATAACCTGTAGAATATATACTACAGGACTATTAGCAGAGTGTAAAGACAGGATATGGAAAGTACTCACCTCAGTTGGGTTAAGTAGCCAACTGAGGTGTGACTATGCTACTTGAGTGTGAAAATGAACATGATTATGTAATATGGCTAAATGCATACCATAATACTAAGTAAGATGCAGGTGAAGGCAGAATATGGAAGGCAGAATATACAATGGGTGTATGAGCTGACTGCAAGAACAGGCCAAGAAGACTCTGCAGTGTATTGGATTTCTGGTTGGTGCTGTGCATGAGGACACTGCTGACTATCATTTTTTTCTGATTTTCATTAACCTCTATCTAATTGCAAGTGTAGAGGCATGCATGCACCATCAACTTTATTGCAGAGCAGTGATTAGCACACCTTTCCTTGACTGATGGGTATTCCCCAGTAAGTTTGTTGATCATCCCCTCAAGATCAATCTCATCCACTTCATCCCAGTAATTGCCAAATTCCCTCTCTGATTCCAATGTTTCATTCATGATGTGCTCATTTTGCCCACCCAGCTCTCCTGATCCCTTATCATCAAGCAATGTCCCAAGCAGACCCCACCATTTTGGTGTGCCTTCCCCCATCTTTTGTGCCATCTGTTGGAGGCTGAAGTCCTCCAATTGCTTTGTAGAAGCACTAGATGCTCTGAAGTGCCAGCCATTGTCTTCAGATGTGAGAGAATGGTGTGAGACACAACTTCTAGGAGGCTTGTGACTAAAGGAAAGCTGAAGGGAGAATTCCCTAGGATCACCCCAAGTGGTGCTGCATGCAAGGAGAAGTTGGGGGTTACCCTAGAAGGGGTAGGAATACATGCAAGGGTCATGGAATTTAATTCTGAAGGCTTGTTGATGTGCAAGCAACAGCGAGCTGGGTATATGGAATTCTGAGAGACAGATAAGCAACAAGAAGATGGAAGCTGAGTCAAGGGGTACACAAGCAAAGGTGTGGCCAACTGGAATGTGCAGGTGGAGCAGGGAAATTGAAGGCACTGTAGAGGCTGTGGACTCAATAGATGCTTTTAGACTCTAAGAACTCTTGAACTCACAAAACACACACAGATAGTGACTCCAAAAGTGGGTGGTATATTTCCAACATTGCAGCAGAATTATATAGTACAAGGGATGTAGGTATGAGTTGGAGTAAGGTGGGGTGGAAAAACTAAAAGACCAGAAAATAAAAGAAAGGATGACCAATGTTGTCAAGTCCAGGCCTACTCCAACCAACTCCAATGCTGGACAAGGTCTGGGGAGAGGTTCAGAAGCAAGTCTGACAGAAAGAGCAGGACTCTGACTGGCAGAGTGTTGGCAAGAATGAAGTCTGCTGAAGGTAAGGGCAGAGTGAAGGCATCAGGTTTAGCTCATGTGCTACCCCCTTGCACAATCTCAGCCCTCATATTTCAGAGGGGGAGTACAGACAGACAGTTGGAGGTAACTCTGACAGGCAGAAGACAGAGACAGAGGGAGTAGGAACTAAGTCAATATTTGCACTGAGGAACAATGGAGTATAATACATGCTTTTATACTACTACAGAGGTACAGTAACTGGAATCGGAACTGACATACAGAGACCCAGCAATTTTCAAGTAAAACTTCCTAGATGATGAATGAAGGGTAGACAGAGGACATACGAACAGGTAACATAGAACATCCAGAAAAGGAAACAGTCCAGGTGCTGGACCATGTGGTGCACATGCTGCAGAGTACCTGACTGTGAGCTGTCAGGGAGGAGTCCAAAGGTAGTCACATGACCCCTCAGAGAATGGTCTGTTCAGTCCAGTAGGAGAGCAGTACAAGTCCAACAGCAGTCAGAGCAGAGACAACTCATAAACATCAGGGGTTGGGTGGAGTTGGTGCAGAGTGAGTGAGGACTTAGGATGAATGCATGACCATGAAAAATGTCAACCAAATGCAGATGCATGTGAAATGGTCTGGCAAGTGGTAAGCAAGAGTAAAACAGGACAATGGTAAGGGGTATCCTCCAACAGAACAAGGGTACATGTACAGGTGAGAGGTGGAGCTGGTGGGAAGGTGGAAGCACAGGAGGGCAGAGCCTACTGGCATGAAGACCAGCTTGCAGAACTTGGGGTGACAGGGACAATCGGAGTTTTTTTAGAGGTGACTGGCATGGATGAGTGGTGATGTGGCTGGGCAGTGGCTTGGCTACTGAACTCTGGGTGACTCTGGGCAAATGTGGAATTTCTGGATCAGCTTATTGATGACTGGGTGACATGCTGAAGGTGGGGGAAACTCCAAAGGCAACAGGGGTTGGGAGGAAACATGAGGCTATGAGTGAGAAGAATTCTGAAAGTGTCTGAAGATGTAGAGCAATAGGGGTTTGTTGCAGAGGCAAGCAGAATTTAGTGACAGATTCCTGTTTCAGCCTCAGGGAGTATATGGCTCCCTACAACAGAGCTCCTGCAGGTATGTATTTTCCACCATATGAAATGAGTGTAATGTGAACTGATCTCGACCTGCTGCACGATGCAGGAATGCATAAAAGACTTCACCAGCATGCTCAAGAAGATCAATAACCAAATAATGATTCTCATACTGTTGGCAGGTAAGCAGTGTCACAATAAGTTCAGTGATGCTGATCTGACACTGATTGAGGGCTTCAAATACAATGTGGAGAGGTAACATGTTGCATGACATGTGTTGTCTTGCCTTGCTACATAATCTCACAGGTGGCTTTTGTGCACAATGAGTTACTAGACCTAATCAATAATATGTTCAAGTAATGCATGGAGGTAAGACTGCCTCAGGCATCCTGCACTTACTGACTTACTGACCACAAATGTTAAGCAATGGCTTCAGGAGATTGTCCTGTTAGCTAATTAGTACAATAGTGTACCATAGCTTTATTTACAGGTGGGTGTGGTGGGCCTTGTCAGCTAAATACAGACAAAATGCCTTGTGCAGCAGTCTGGAGTGATGGAACAGACTGGTCACAGGTGACATGTATACCTATGAATATGGAGTATTCCTAACCACAAATATGTAACCCTAGTTTGGGTTTTGTGTAGATTTTTTGGGACTCCACACTGCATGCCACTGTGGCTGATGCTGTTTACAAATGTTTTCAGGAAGCCATCACTGTGAGTGTGAGGGAATTAAAGTTATGCTGGCTTTGAATTTCAGCTGTTGCCCTTGGAGATTTCCCTCACACTCACAGCAGAACAGCTGTGTAGGAGCCTGATATAAACCATGCCTAGAAGGGTTGAAGCAGTTATCAAGGCCAAAGGAGCTCATACCAAGTACTAGATAGTTGGATTTTTATAAAGTCAAAAAACTGTCTGCATGACATGTCATATTCAAATGGTTGCTATTCTATCAATTCCTATCCAAATCACTTAATTCTTGGACCCATAGAAAGCCAAGAGCAAGTACTTTATTTCATACACTCATGGTTTAGGGCTAGGGTTAGGGGTTATTGTGTTTAGTCATAACTAGTGTAAAACATGCAAACATGTGGACAGTTTTTTGAGCCACTGTACCACTGACTCAGCTGCTGCCAATAGCAACAATGTGGAATCCAGTACTGGTACTACAGCATGGAATAAGTCTAGCAGACATCATGGTAGAGGTATATAGGCAAAGTAGCTACTAATTGTCATTACCATTGGTTGCAGGCATGTGTATTGTAATACTACTTGTATGCAATTTTGAAAATTTTTTCTAAGTCTTGAAAAGCTCCTTAAGAGGTGTTGACACTTGTATAGAAAGATTGGCTGCATGGACTAATGGTAACACATGCTAAAGTAAGTCTCACTACTAGTTGGCACTAGACTAACTAACACTGAGTCCTTAGGTTTGAATCCTGATGAGAGCAATAAAAAATACTTAGTAATACTCACTAGTTAGATTGGGGATGGATTGTATTAGTAAAGATTTCCATGTAAGGTGATACTAATAGCATAGCATGTAGTAGACAAAGATAAGATAGATCAAAATCAGAATAGAATAGAATTGTGGCCAGGTGATAAGATAAGATTACAAAAGGTAATATAATATAAAATTTTTGTTGCCTTAGTCCAAAGTGTATTGCAATCCTCAGCTCTCATTGCAATACATTGCAACTCCAATTATGGCAGGACAGCAGTGCCCAAGGTCTGGATGTTTGTCACATGACAAGGCTATCATAACAATCATTATAATTACATTATGATTGCATTGCAATGTAGGGGTGATGGCACTATGTTTGTACTATTGACCCCCAAATATTACCTTGCTATGCCATAGCAATGCCTATTGTAAGTCTAATTATATAGAAAACTTTAGTATTGCATTGCCATTTTAATTACACATTTGATTGTGGGCATTGCAATCACTTGTGATGTGATGCATTGAAACTAATATACAGATTTTCCAACATATTAGACACAACTCCATAGATACATTTTGTGTTATAAATCATGCCTGGTGACTTTGTACCCCCCCCCCCCAAAAAAAAAAAAAAAAAACACATCACATGTTTTCTCCTAAACATGTCCAGGAGTGCCTGGAGGGCTCTGGTATAGTAAATGAATGTCCTCACCTCAGTCTCAAGTTTGTCAAAGACTGAGGTATGAAGAGGAAAAAACATTCTGCCTAACAGAGGCATATTATGTAATCAAAACATGCCCACTGTAAACTCTCATTCTCCAAGGAACCAGTCTTAACACAGACTCATTCCCATGCAACTAGATGTGTTCCTTGGCACCCAGACTTACTCCTTTCCCCTCAGACTTGCAACCCACACCAAGGACAGAACTGAATCCTTGACACTGAACCACTCCCAAATCCCTGGGCAACACTGGATCAATCTAACTGAAGAAGTTGGGAACCTACTAGGACTCCACCCAGCTTCACACTCCATTTCTACCCAGATATCAGTACTTTTTAGTAATGAGTACACCAAGCCAGAATTCATATCAACAAGTGCCAGCTTTTGTGTGTTGCTGAGTATGTAGTAAGGAATATAGTATACCTGGAAGCCTAGCAAATCAGAATTAAGTCAGTTTATTGATGGATCCAGGCATGCAAGTCAAGAACTACAAGTCGAAGCATGAGCCAAGCTATCAGGAATCAAAAGGTTTTGAGCCAATCGCAGTAAGTACTAGTGAGAGAGCCTGTGATTACTACAAATCACATCATCATCTATTACATGTATGTCCAAACGTAGTGATAAAGCTGTGCCTCCTTGAGATGGCAAATCAATGAAAGAAAGGGGTAATGACGACATGAAGCTGCCGTGCCAAAGTCATTAGATCCTGGGCACAGCGGCAAAATCTGAAACATAGGATAGATTGACAGCACGGCTCAGTGCTCAGCTCTATGTCGTTGCGCGCTTGATCATCTACCGTACGAAACCCCATCATCAGACGGCAACAGTATGTAGATCTGAGACAGCCTCACCTCCCGGGCCCAACGCATAGTCTTTTTTGTTTCTGGCGACATGCCACGCTTGCTTCGCAACTCCAATGCAATCCATTCGGAGAGCAAAATTTGTTTGAGTTCGCCGTTCGGGAAGCAGTCGGCGAGATCACCGATGAGACCAAAGCATAGCTTCAAAGTGGATTCAGTCCTCTCTTCGTCAGCCAAGCAACGCTGGGTGAGTTCAAGGATAGTCGACGAATGAGACAGGAGGAGTCCCACTAATTGTACGTTTAGTTCTAGGGCTTCAAAGCGGCGTCTCAACATACTCACCTTTCTCAGTGTTCTTCAAACCAGTTACAATCCCTGTATAAGCCTCCAGAATACCTTCACGGAGTTGAGCGACGTAATCTACGAGGTCGAAGTCAAGCTAACACTCAACGTAAGCCAGGGTTAGACCATCATGTTTCAGCCTTACCGGGTTGGGTTGAACAGCGCCTGCCTGCTGCAACACACCCATAGTGGTCTCCAGATACGGCTCGAACGCAACGCCAATCGCAAGGGCAATGTCACCAAAGCATGAAAGTATTGATATTTTCACGTTGCGATTGAGGACCTCACTCTGCAAGTTCTCCAGCAAAGCACTCATGAAGGCATTAGCGTACTGAGCACTCTCACTGCCTAGCGCTCGCGAAATGTCTCCGATAATTCCAACTGCGACCATGCAAAGCTGGGTATCTTCGTGAGCTTTGAGAGCTGGGAATAAGAATTGCAAGAAAGCCTGAATATAAGGCGCAAAATTGGCCTCCAAAGCTGTCACCAACGTGAGCACACAAACACCTCAATTAGGCAGCCTGCTCACCCGAAGCCAGCGATCCGACCACTAGAAACGCATCTTCTAAGACAGTGGAGGTTTTTCCGGCGGCCTGAATGAGTTCAAGTACAAGGGTCATGATACGGTCTGCCATAGGCTGAATACCCTCCCCCAGCCGCCGGGTAACACTCTAGCGACAAACTGTAAGACGGGTAGCTCATATTGAAAGAGAGTGAAGCTTACGATGACCACGCTGCAAAGATTGCTCTGGAGTTCGTTCCAGTTGTTCCGGTCATCTATTCCGACTATCTGGTTCTGCAGGGCATAAACTGTGCAGCGGTCCCAAAGGAAGCAAGAACACGATGCTACACACCTGCATTCCCAGAAGTTGCTGCATCCGCATCAAAATAGTTATAAGAGTGTTCTGGACGACGGGGATCACGTCGTTCGTAGCATGAGTAACGTATGAGGTAATAGCTTCATAAGCAGAAGTGCGGAAATTGGCCTCGTTACTTGTTCTGCAGTGGGGAAACCTCGTAAGTCGTGGGAGGTTAACAGGCCATGCCACTCACGTGTCCGTAACCCTCAGTAGGGCATTGACGACGCCTTCGAAATACGGTGACAAGTGGCTAGTTTGCGACGGCTCTGTTTCTTCTTCCAAAAATTCGAGTTGATCGGCCAAATTCATCAATGCCCAGCAACAGTTCGTCACAATTCTTGGGTTATCTTGAAGACCCGTCACGAGTGCCGACACCAACGGGTGCAAGTGAACATCCGGCTTGATGGTGACAACGAGTAAATCACATATCCTCCCTAGTGTCCATGCAACTGTATCTTTGACGTGTATGTTGGAATCGCTCATCATCCCTATCAGCAGTGGGAGCGCCTGATTTACGAGACGCGTCAGGACGCTTGGATCGGGACCGTCGAGGATGGATCCAAAGGCCATCACTGCCGCTTCCCGCTGATGCCAGTCGGGAGACTTGATGTGGGCTTCGATGAAAGGTATGACAGCGTCAACTATTGGGTCAGCGACAGCCTGGGCCATAAAGTTGAAGCATGTTCCAGCAGACATGGATATATTCCATTCGTCTTCGTCGGCATCTTCTTCCTGGCGCGTGAGGAGTGTAAGGAGGACGGGCACGACCTCGGGTAACGCAACCTTGGCAAAGAACTTGGATTCGATCTCAGGAGGTTCGCCATAATCAGCAGCCTTAAAGAGAAGGAACCATCAGATCTTGTCCGACGGACAACGGGATCGACAGCTCCCGACCACGTACTTCGCGCGCCTCGTGAGCAAGCTCGATTTCCTCTTCGCAAACAGTGGTCCAAAACTCGACAGCCTGCAGAGCCACTCGTTCGTCGCTGTGTTTCATGCCCATCACAGTAAGCTAAAACGGTGGATCAGGTTGCCAATATTTACCCAAAAGCCAGGCACATACCCCGAAAAGGGCTTGCTCCATGTAAAATGCCATCTTATCATAATAAAGAGCCATAATCTTGACGAGGCATTCGAAGGCTCCAACTTGAACAGCAACCGAAGGGTTTTGAGTTGCTTCGCACACGACCTGCATTATGTAATTGCGCTCTCCCTGCATGACATGAGGTAATGAACGATCTGAAGGCGGAGACAACGAACCTCCCGCTCAAAGTTTTCGCGCACGAATTCAAGTGAGTTGTAAAGTGCGTGTACTGCAGCCAACTGGACCTCGGAGGAAGGCTCGTCCTGGCGGGCACCGTGTATCACGGCAGTCAAAATCTCGTTCGACCTCAAGCTTAGAATCTCAGGTTTCTGTGGCGGGCAAGGAGTAAGGAGGCAGACAAAGGGGGTGGAGCAGACAAGATCCGTACTATAGACTCGCAGATATAGCCGATCGTTTGTAGTGTAGCGATCCTGAGATTGGTGTTGGTCAAGTTATTCACGAAACCAAGAAGAAGTTCGATGAGGTCTGGCCATTGATCATGCGGGAGCTCTACGGAAGCGATGGCGGCGACGACTTGAGCGGAGAAGCTACCGGCCTTTGGGAGGGGGGATGCAAGGGTAACGAGGGCTTCTTGCTTGATCTTGCTCTTTGTGTCGTTTTCGAGGGCAAGCCATCGAGTAGTATACTGAGTCTGCCTTGCGGCCTCCTAGATAACGGGTTTGAGGACAATGGCAAGAAAGAGGCGATTCATGGACATACCCGAGCTGAGAGGGCATTTTTCAAAGCCAAAGCTGCAGCATTGCGAGTGTGTACTTGCGAGCTTTCGTTTGCGAGTTCAGAGGAGAGCATGAGCATGTATGCTGGCTGGACGAGGACAATCAATGCGATATGCACTCGAGCACATCGGAGGACACCCACATAGTTTTCCCTCGATGCATTCTCGAGCTGCTCTGTCGCTCGCTGACGCGTACTGGCATCTGGCAGACAAGGATCAGCCTGCGTGGGGTCGACGTCGATGCAAGTGCGAGTGGCATACCAGGCGAGAGGGTATTTGCAAGGAGTTCGCTAGCGTTCATCACGGCGTAGATGCGAATAAGAACACACGAAAAAAGGCTAAAGAAAAAAAGAAAAAAAGGCTACTGATTGAGTTTTCTGCCAGCAGGCGATCTGTCGATGAGTTGGAAAGCAGTGGGAGACGAGCAGCAGCGCGGCAAGCGGCTTTTCAAAACACAGCAACACGCGTCGACTGGCACGACGTCCACGACGGCCAACCAATTCAATAATACGATCGTAATAGTAAGTACGCCAAGCTTGCTAACAGTACTCGCTGGTCACCATTCTGCAGATCCCCAGCGATATCGCTTTTGATTTCTGTCGACATTAATGGCAGACAGAGTCCGTCTTGATCATCATCGCATCTTATCGCACAATCTCACTCGCCCCTTTACCTTAGGGCCGTGGTACTCCTTCGCGGGGACGGGCTACCCCTGCAGGAGGTAGAGGGCGTCCACCCCCATCCACAGCCGACGCAAAGTGAGCTCTCCATCCACCCCCAAATTCATGTTGACAAGTCTCGAAGCAAGGGGAAACGCGAGGCAATTCTCGATCTCTCAAAATATGTGAACGAAAGAATAAGAGTCAAGTTCACAGGCGGAAGAGAAGGTATTTTTGCGATTCCTCATTCCCGCGCATGTCTCTCACCTCGTGTAGTCACCGGGATTTTAAAGGGGTACGATCAATTATTAAACCTGGTCCTCGACGAGGTCGAGGAGGAAATAAACGGTATTCACATGCACCCCGTCTCCGGCTTTCTCGCTGACCCTTCGCTCTAGAACCTGACCCCCACACACGTGCCCTGGGCTTGGCCGTCCTTCGTGGACCCACCATTACTCTCCTCAGTCCTGTCGACGGCACAGAGGAGATAGCTAACCCCTTCGTCGCCCAGGAGTAGCCCCGCCGCACGGCTGATTGCCGTCGTCCACGCACACCCCAATATGCCTTGAATTGCTTAGATTTCCGCCACGTATATCTGTAATAAGTGAATGCGATGGGAAGAATGGAAGATCATTATGCGTAGTTGCGGTGTTGTCTGTAAGGTATCGGTATGTTGCTAGCAGATGATCGACAATCAAGACTCGCGCATGGACACATACATACACCCATCCATGTGACCACACGCAGCCTCAATCTTGTCTTTCTTGTCAGCCTTTCACCTCGTAAGGGAAGAAGGCGCTAGATCTACCGCCGGAGGGAAAGCATCAGGACTTATTAGATTGCATCCCCTCCTTCCAAACGGTTTCAGACCTGCCAGGTGGGGACTGTTCAGCTTGACCACCATCGGTGACAGCGGAGACGAATACTGCGGGGATTCCTCGTGTGGATGCGGCCGTGAAACCGTAGGAGGAGATGGCGGTTGACTCATCGAGGACGGTGGGGACGACCCGCTCCTATCAGGTGCCGCCCGTCTTGGAGTGTGTAAAGTCGACGCTAGGGGTCCCCTGAATCGACCCGGCAATGCTACGCTGGTGAATGCCCGCACGAAACGGCGAATGCGAGGTAGACCTAGTTTTGGACCATGCTGGCCTCTGGATCATCTGCACTGCAGATGCCTCGCCGAAAGAAGTACCACGTTCAGCCGCTTCTGTTTCAACCCCAGTAGTGTGAGGTAGGGCGTCGTCGCATGGACAAGGTGAATGAATCCGGAAAGAAGGCGACGTCTGCCTAGCATCCTCTTCCGCTTTTGCCCCGCTGGGCTGCGTGTTAGGGTTATCGGGCTGCGCTCCTGCTTCAGAGAGGTGAATGATGGATAGTCCCGCCTGGAGGGCATCAGCCCCAAATCCTCGCAGTTGCTGTAGGGGGCGTTGGGTTTGTTGCGGCTGATGTTCAAGCATGTGTACTTGCAGGTGATCATGCGGACTAGAAGAAAAATGGTGGAGAGCGCCGACGTTGCGCTGACCGAGCTGAAGATGTGCGATGGTCGGAAAACGCGAGCTAGTTGTAGCTGTTTCATAGAATACAGTAGATGTGTCAAGACTTGATGTGAAATGGGGGTGAATATGGGATGTGCGAGAGTTTGTGGAGGAACTAGATGGCGGGTATATAACATTCAATGTAGATGTTGGCCAGGACGTGCGATTTATCTTGCGATTGGATGGATCTGATTGAGACCTGCGAAATGACTCCACTCTATCTGTGACTGCGCTGGCATCTTGCTCAGATAGTGGTTGCATCACCCGGTCGTCGGTAGTAACCGCTGGACATGCGTGCAACCTCCCCCTTGGTTCCAGCCCAGGGAGGGCATGACCCACAGGCGACGGGGAGTGCGGTTCTAATACATTGCGAGTCAGAGGCGAACCTCCCCTGGAACTACCGACGGATCGATCTTGACGATGGTCAGACTCGACACTCTGCAGCCGACCCTCCTCATCACTATTATTGAGAGTTCTGGGGCTGTCGCTCGAGACCCTTGGTGCATGGCACGCTAGTGCAAAGATAGAAGATGTCGCTAGAACTAACCCTTCGCCCAGTTGATTCTCGAAGATAGCATGCTGAGACGCTGGTCCTTTTGGTGGTGGCGGGCTTGTCCACTGACTTCGCTTCGGAGCCATGTGTTCCGGAGGCGCTGATACGGGAGCACACTGCTCTCTTACATTGTCCTTCTCGTTGTTAACGAACTCTGGTCGCAGAGAAAGACGCTCGGTAGGGGAGGGTACCCCCAACCGGACCAGATTGTTGTTACCAGATGAAGGAACCGACAAACGAGGGGGAACGAAAATAGGAGACGGTGCTCCTGCCTGTGGATCTCCAACCTTTTCCTCGCAGAGCTGGGATAACGCTACCAGTGCACGTGGGCGCGTGGCTAGAATCCTGGAAGCACGCATAAACTCGCCGCGAATCTGAAACCAAGGGTGAGCATTATAAATTGGAAATGGCAGGCAATTACCTGGTACAAGCCCTCTCTCGTTACGCAACGAGCTACGTTGAAATCAGTCTCGAAAGGATCCTAATGCATGGTCAGCCAAGTGCGTAGGAGCGGGTGTTGCTGCCCTACCTCGATGCAGAACCGGTTCCGTTCCCTCGAGTCGTGGAATTTCGAGCTTGACAACTATGAAAATCATTTAGTACACTCCCTCAGAGACACCGCCCGACACCTACATCATTCTGCCACCCTTTGCTTTCCTTCTTAAGCATACCAGCACGTATTGAAGCGACACCAGTATTATATGAAAAGTCGCGAGAATAGTACCGGAAGAAGTCGATCAGGCTGAGAAAAGTAGATTAGCGATGTTCTCGCAAGAAAGGAGTGAATCTCACAGTTCAGCGACAGATTCTGTATTGGAGGATCGCCACCGCTGGCACAAAAGGTCTATATCATCGAAGAACCTGTACGACGAATGAGCCAAGGTATACTAAGATTCGTGGTCCTGAATTCACCAAGTGTTATGTCCGTCGATATGCGTGTCCTCCTGTGCAAAGCTTAGCTCAGCTACTAGACTCTCTGCAGGGAAGAGAACTCGCCTTTGAGATTGGACGAATGGGAGGAAGTTGCTGTAGATTTGGAAGGACCGGTGGATTCTTGACATGAACGAGAAAGTATATAACCAGCAAAACGTATCCGTAGGATGACAGTGTTCCGTGATACGGTGAATTGATTTTCCTACAGGGTGACGTGAGCTGAGTGGTGAGCGCGGTACACAGGTACCGACCTCCGTTTACTCCAGACTTTGACTGGGTACTGTCGATGAGCAGCTGACGAGGAGAGAACAGCGATGACTTACGGAAAAGTACGAGGGTGCGGACGCGGGTAGGGTCTATCATGGCGTAACACATGAGCAGACGGGTGTTCTCCAAGGCCAGTCTATTCTCGAAACCGATATCGCAGGCGATGCCAGAGGGAAGGCCTGGCGAGGGATCCAACGACAACTTGACGATGGGTATACGGGCGTGGGGTAAGGGCTTGACATGGAATTTTGTTTCTGATAACACGGTCAGAAGGATGATGCTGGCGGGCAAAGAGTGGATGAAACGAACCTCTTTCGAGGAGGTCGCCTAGCATGACGACAAGGTCTGATGCGGAGAGACGCTCGACTGAATCGATGAGACAACATAGATCCATGTCTTCCGGAGAAGATCAGCGACGCGTGGGCCACCTCGAACGCGGATACGAACCTGAGTTTCGAAGATTGAAGCCGTTGGCGGTGCTCCCGAACGACAAGAGTCGACTTTCGGGCTCTATGGTGCGAATGAGACGCTCGAGGAGTTTCCTGACATCCTCTTTAACGACCAGCTCCTCTGTGGTTGGGAGGAGCTGGACAACAAATTCGAAGAGTGCGTGTGAGAGCTCGTTCACGAACAAACGATGCTTGGAAGCGTGCCTGCGCTGGTTTGGCACCGGAGCGTAGGGAAGGGACTGGGCGGGTTGGCCTGCTGGCTGGGCCATAGTTTCAGGTGGCGACGACGACAACGAGCAGCTCTGTGCTGTACACTGGCTGGGATGGGCTGCGGCGACACGGCTCGACTACGACCAGCCTCGCGGGTCGACTTGGGGGGACCAACTCGGTCGCACAACGTTCAATTGGCTGACCAGCCAAATTCAATACACACAACCCTGCCCAAATTCGGACGCCTAGATCGACTATTACACAACTACATAATCGACCCCATATAGTAAGCAGCTTACGCTTGTACCTTCAGCAACACCTTCTTGCCATACCTGCCACCCTGCAGTCTCTTCATCACCTCAGATATCTTCTCCTCGTCCCCCTCGCTGCCGTCGATCTCCAGTATCTCGTGTTCGGGGCCAAGGAGCTAATAGTGCACAGCTTGAGCCTTCGAACGTTGACGTATCCGTGACTCGTACCTTGCCGTGGCGCATCAATCCGACCAGGTTCTCCATCAATCTTTCCCTTTCTTGCCTAGATTTTCTATTGTACCATTGAGTTTGCCAGAAGCCATGGCACGTTAGGTTCTTAAATATAAATAGCGACGTCGGAAGGGATAACGGCTCCTTGGACATGGCACCGTATGACACCAGATGTGCATCTTGACCAAGTAGCCGTGCCATCATCGTTGTAGCTCGACCGCCAACACAATTGAGTCCAAGCCGGATACTCTAACCTGCCATGAGCTCTAAAGTTCAGATAGCAGACACACCACCGACCCGTCCTCCGGTCCACGTTTTGATCTGGTCCTTGAATCCCTTGTCAGAGAGTTGGTTGTACGTTGCGACCTGGGTGGCACCCAGGTCCTTCAGATATCCTGTTAGCGATTCGACGTCCTCCCTGAAGAGCTCAGCCATTCGCTGACAACCCATTCGAAAGATGCGTCTACCTATCTCGAATGAAATTAAGCGTTTTCCATCCCTTCGCTGCGGCAATTTGAATCACAGCCTGGCCAACCTATGTGGAAACGAGGGGTCAAAAGTGGTACCTCCGGCCTGAAAGACTCGCATACGGCACTGTTCGCACCATTCTGGACTACCCAGTCCCCCTTTTCTAACTTGACAAAATCGTGCAACATATTGTAGGCCGTAGGTGGGTTGACCTTGGGAACGTCATCTCAGATTCGTCCCAGAAACGATCGTGGAACGAGATGAGACGCACAGTGAGGGTAGCCGCCTGTGCCTCCTCCAAGTCGGAGGGTATCTTGAGGACATTCAGAACGTCGACATTCCTAGCTGACGTCCACGTCCCCATTTGAGGTTTGGTCATCACCACCCAGTCACCTTTCCTCAACTCCCTCACGCCCTCGCCAACCTGTACGACCTCAGCCAAACCCTCGTTGCCGCCAACATAGAGAGGTGCATCTTGAGAAAGAAGGTCAAATGGGACAGGCTTGGCTGGATACACCCCTTCTATGACATTGATATCAGCTGGATTGATGGGGGAGAGACGGAAGCGGACGTTCGCGGTGTTGGGTGGCGGTGGTGGTAGGTCTGGGAACGTGAGGAGGGAAAGCACCTCGGACGGATCGCCGTTCTTTCTGTAGACTACGGCCCTGTTCCTGTAAGAGACCGAAGAAGCTGCAAAGGTGCGCGTCTGCGGGAAATTCTGCAGCAGGCGACTGGAACAAAGCATGCTAGTTGGTCGCCAGCGGTGACTTGTCCCTCGCCAGCCGGGTAAATTAAATACTGGTAAATCGCAACTTGAAGCGTACTGGCGACTACTGAGCCCGCGTGAGAAGCGAAACGGTGGCCGGTGACGCCATGGGTTAGACGTGGCTTACTGACGTCACACCTTGCGCACCACAACTCCCCCTATAAGTATCGATGCTCCCCCCCGAACGTTTGACTTTTCAATTTTACCCACTGACGGAACATGAGATTACACTGGCCGCTGTTCATCTTCCTCACTCTTGTACAGGCCACTGGCTGGTTCGGCTCGGACGACCCCGTCGACTGCTCATCCATCACATCGGCCCCTTCTGCGGCCTACTCTCATGCGAGCCGTGAAGTGAGAGCAGCCACCCATACCGTCAGTGACACCGCTGCACAGGCGACGCGTGAACTCGGCCGCGCGTTTGACGAGACTAAAGACTATGTCTTCTCCACCTGGGATGACTCTCGTCTGAGAAAATGGCTCGAGGACCACGACGTGGTCGAAGCCAGGAAAGCAAACACCCGCCAAGAACTCCTCGACCTTGCTAACCTGTTACTTCCGCGAGGCGTCTGACCCTGTATGGCAGACCTGGAGTGATTCTTACATGGTATATCAGCTTCTGCTTCTCTGCATACGTACTCACTTCGGCTTGTAGCATGAATGGCTTGTCGCGCACAATTTGTTGCCCCCACATGAATCGCCTCGTCGCGAGACGCTCCTCGATTACATGAAGCATTATTACTACTCCACCACGGATAAGATCTGGCACACTTGGTCAGAGTCCGAGCTCAAGGCATGGCTGGTCAACCACGGTATTCTTAAGAGCGACGCCCAAAAGCAACGCGACGAGTTAATCAAACTGATGGAGTGCGTGCCTTGTAAATGCGACCGAATTTCCCACTTCGGTGCTGACCACATCAATAGGGAGCACTACCTCTCTGCATCTGACAGCATCTGGGGCGCCTGGCGCGATAGTGACATTCGCAAGTGGCTTACTACACATGGGTATATTGACGAGAGGACGGCCTCACGCAAGACACGCGACGACCTAGTGGACCTCATCAATTCCAAGTATGTACGCTTATCTCAGATCTCTGTCTATACTAACCTTCGTAAACCCAGATACGCCGATGCATCGGTGAAGAGTGCTTCATATCTCGTGTGGCCTGATGCTCGATTACGTGCGTACCTACGTGAGCGTGGTGTTAGTGAGGATGCCCTACCCACAAGTAGGCCTGGGCTACTTCGTAAGCAACTAGCCCCCTCCTTTACCGGAGTCGAGATTAATCACCTTAACAGAGGAAACCCGTATTCGTTGGGTTCAGGCATCCACACGAGCTGAGAATATTTTCGCCAAATTGAGGGACACCGTGAACAGCGGTGTAATAGCGATCGAGGACGCTCTTAGCTGGATCTGCGACTCTCTGGCGGACCGGGTACACCAGGCTAGGCAGAAGGCAGAAGAAGCCAAAGACTTTGCTTGGGAGAAAGGCTACCAGCAACCGTTTGGTAGCGCTGGTGAGGGCACGAAGCGCGGCAGTGAAGGGATGCGGCAGGCTGGAGAAAGGATCAAAAGTGAGGGTGACGAACTCTGACGTCGTGCACATCTCGGATTGCTGTTCGTATATTGTAAAACCCTGGTATGCGTTGTAAATACTAAATGAGGAGTGCGTAATGTTCCGACCGGACTTGAGGATTCCTCTCGCACCGCGATCGCATGCAATATTGCCACCACGTCTGTCAGTTCCGTGTCTTCCCGCTTTACATTTCGGTCGTTGTTTCCAGCAACCGTCGTCCTATGCGCAGCGGCAGTCCAGCTTTGCGGTACAGCTCGGAGGCATAGACGACTCACGTGATTTTATAGATAGCAGATAAAAAAAAGTGATATCCGTCCATTTCGAGAGAACCCCACTCCAACTTCCCTCCTTCTTGTTCGCAACTATCCAACCATTATGGTGAAAGCAGTCGTTCTCGGAGCTGCAGGTGACTTCATTGCTCGTCGATGTCAAGTACATCAGTAATACTGAACGGATTGTGTAGGCGGTATCGGCCAGCCCTTGTCTCTTCTATTGAAGACTAATCTTGAGGTGACGGAGGTATGGGAGTCGACGAAAATCATCCGAACTCGTGTCAACTAAGGGGAAAAATTATCTAGCTTGCCCTCTACGATATCGTCAATGCACCTGGTGTTGCTGTCGATCTCTCTCACATCGCAACTCCTGCCAAAGTGGAAGGTTTCCTCCCTCCTGACAATGGCTTGCAGAAGGCCCTTGCTGGTGCAGAAGTCGTCGTCATCCCTGCTGGTGTCCCCAGGAAACCTGGTGTGAGTTCGATCTCCTATTTCTTTTCTCTCTCTAATGGTCGCTCATCTCACACTTTTAGATGACTCGGTGGGTGAGATAAAATTCGTCTTCGTCTCAGTATGCTGATAGGCCAATGTTCCATCAGCGATGACTTGTTCAAGGTAACGACTCAGCTGGGCACTAAGGATTGTCTTTATCCGGTTAATCGCTCACGTTAGATCAATGCTGGCATCGTGCGAGACCTCGCCACTGCTATCGCCACCACCGCTCCGAAGGCGTTCGTCCTCGTTATCTCCAACCCAGTTAACTCCACCGTCCCCATCGTTGCGGAGGTTTTCAAGCAACACAAGGTCTTTGATCCCAAGAGGTAGCGTTTTTTTGCATAATCACAAAAACCGCGTTAACCAGACCTGTACAGACTCTTCGGTGTCACGACGCTTGATGTCGTTCGTGCTTCTACCTTTGTGGCAGAAGTTCTGGGAGACCGCTCTCTTTCTCCTTCCGTAGCTGTTCCTGTTGTTGGCGGTCACAGTGGAGTCACTGTATGCGCCTCTCCTATTTCCTCTTCTTCCGCCTTGCATTGATGTTTTGATCTAATATAGATCGTTCCTCTTCTCTCTCAATCGTCGCACCCTCTCCCATCAAACCTTGACACATCGACTATTGACAGCCTGGTCAACCGTATCCAATTTGGCGGTGATGAGGTCGTCAAGGCTAAGGATGGCGCTGGTTCGGCCACCTTGTCCATGGCGTACGCTGGCGCCGAGTTTACCACCAAAATCATTCGCGCTCTCAAGGGCGAAAGGGGCATTATCGTTCCATCATATGTCAACCTCACTCAGGAGGGCGGTGAGGCTCTCAAGAAGGATCTCGGCAAGGAACTTGATTACTTCTCGGCACCGGTTGAACTTGGGGTAAGTATCACCAGTACCCCTGAGCATCTGTGATTGATACGTTTTGGGCCTTGTAGCCGAACGGCGTTGAAAAAATCAACGGATTGGGTGCCATTGCACCAGCAGAACGCGTTCTCATTGACGCCGCTCTTCCTGAACTTGTTGCCAGCATTGAGAAGGTTGGTTTGGATAAGTTAACCTTTCGTTTGTGTGCTAACTTGCCCTTGTTTAGGGTGTTTCTTTCATTCAGACCCCAAAACTTTAGCCGCACGGTAACTTTGCTACATATGTATGGAGTTAACCAGAGGTGTGAGTTGGATTGTGTAGAAGCTTAAGTAGAAGGATCATAACGACCTGTAGTCCTGTACCCATAGTCAGAGGAGAGCTGTTTGTTGTTTTCCTCCACATCGTCGCTGCGAGTCGCGGTCGTTTTGACAGTTCGACTTTGATGAGTTTGGGTTTTGACCTGAATTAGCCCACACGTGGTGCTCAACGTCAGCGTCCAACAACCGCTTTACCACACTTTTTTTTATTCTAGATACCAGCCTGTTTACAGTTTTTTACTGGCTGGTCAGCGTCCGGCATCACCATGGTTAACTAGTCAATGGTTGTGAAACGGTGAGCGCAGCTCCGTCTGCTTATAATGTTCAAATAATTCATGTGTATTCGTCATGTCCATTCGACGAAAGGTGTTTAACCTGGTTTTTCTGAAAGAGCGAAGTGATTCCTCCGCTGTGTCCGAATCCAAGTCTTGGGGAGAAGTGGTTCGCCAGATGATAGCTCGATCAGTCAAAAACACCCAGGTGCAAAAGACATACTACCATCACAGGTCACTTGTTGGTTTTTATTCAGTAGGCTGGGACATAGGATGTCGCATGCCCAGCAAGACCTTTTGAGACACTCAACTACCTGTGGACCACCAACTAAAGACGCGCCGGTACCGGTGCCCTGGGGAGACTCGCCACGACACTGGTGGAAACTCTCATCTCAAGTTCGTGCTTGACTGGAGACCGTTGTTGTCGATGGTTGATACTACGTTGTACGAAAATTCTTCCCACTGCCGTTTTGATAGTTAACGAGTAGTGTTGGATTCATATAGTTGGACCACCGGCTGGATTAAATATGAAAGCTGTTAGTAGGTGCGCTTCTAACACACCCAACAATTATCTCTCGGCTTCTAGAGAATCTAGACATTGCAAGGTTGGGCTGGTGTGGACATTGAAGGGTTCACGTCGGACATGGCTTTTATGACGGACAACTTGGAGGCACTTCTGATGGACCTGTGACATCGACTCGTGCTCCGGGCCACGGTGAAACTTGAAGGATTTGGTTCCGCTGGGTAGCGGTGCTTGCCTAACCTTTCTAACAGCTTCTGTGATCTCCTGTCGCTCGCCGGCCTCTCGAAACCCAACCTGGCTGGACAGGCATGTCTCCAAATGAAGTGAAAAGTTTCATCTCCGTCGATATGTTTGTACTACGTTTCTCCACGATGTGCTGGAGCCATTTCACAACCGAACTTCTACGCAGTACTTTGCCTTGAGCGTTTGGTGACGTAATCAACTTTGCTCAACTCAATGACCTTAATACCAGTGCACCAAGGTAAGTGGAATCCGAGTAGTCTATATGCTCTAGATACTAACCTACTGCAGCCTAGTGCTCCTTCAGTTTGCAGTATTCCCTCCTTGGCTCAACCGCGGAATATTCCAAGCCAAACTCAACCTATGGGGGGACCGTTGAATCGCTGGCATGGGACTTCTAGCTCCTCAATTTCTTGGCAAACTCATGGATAGCAGTTATTGGGGGCTCCGCTGTGCCTAAACTATTGCCCTGCGGCGCAAAGCCGCCGGACTTTGTGGCTTGGCCTCACCATCGCGATATTAACGCACATGTAATCAACATGAACTATCTGATGTTCGCTTTAAGCACCTTGCATATGGTATCTTGGCTTGGCAAACCACGAAGTTCCTCTAGTGCATTCCTTGCGAAGGTAAGTTTCGCCGCTCTTATTCCTCGGCACATACGTACCCAGTGAAGTTCTTTTCGGGTTCACACCTGTTCCAGCCTGACGTCCATGTGCAATCAAATCTTGAGACTTGGAAGTTCGTCGAAGCGGCTGCTACCCCGACGTCGTCCCGAGAAGTCCACTCTTTAACTAGGACAAGTGGATTCCTCAATTCGACATGCCGATTACATAGGAAACGTGCTATCGCCGAGCAAGCCTTGCTACTTGCCGCGCCGATTACGCCGGGTATCCCGCAGTCCCTGCTTTGACCTTACCACATTGTCTCGAGGTGACTGATTTGGATGGCTGTTGTCTACGATACCGTGTCACGCCACGGTTGAAAATTGCTCCGACATGGTGCCATTCTTTATGATCGGCTTTGTTTCCAGAGCCCCCCGATGACTGAGAAGAGCTTACGGCCTCTTCAGTGGTGTGGAGTGGGACACAAGTCCATATTCGAACCCCGAAGGATCAGTACCTTGCTATATTCTCATGGTACACACGAGATATGACAACTTATCGCCCAATACACATACCGGTCCCACACGCACAACCTCTTTCTCATTTCACTTGGTGAGATCGTCAGCGGGGTAACACATGGTGGGGTAATGCGGCGTGAGAAAACAAGAGATGTCTTCTGTGGCGTTTTCGTGGGCGATAGGGTGTGGCGGTGATCAGTGCAAATGCCTCATGAAATTCATCCTCCAGTTCCAATGGGTGATTCCACAGGGACCAGCCACTGATTCGTTGGTATAATGGACCAGAAATAGGCCTAAGTGTACTAATACACACGTATGTGATAGCCGTTCTGAGTGACAGTACAACAGACACTCCGCTATGTTTGCTCAGTGCGAAGGATTCGTCAACGTCGGACCAATCCTGACCATTGAGAAGCAAGTAGAGGGGGGAACTTAAGCCAGACTTCCTACACATCGATGGCTCCTGGCAGGACGGCTACTGAAACGTTCTCCAAACACCTCCTGAAATGAATGACATCATATATGTGTGAGGGTTTATCGTGCTGGAGTCGACCGTCCTGATCAGGGTTAAGTGAGACACACGCTGTTGTGTGTGGAATCAGAAATAAAAAACACCTCCTGCGCACGGAAAAAAATGACCATAGGTGACTACGGCATGACGGAGAGGCCATGTTCTTGATCTCATCTCACCGTTCCCTGGTTGTGATAGCCGGTGGTTGCCACGAGCAGGTATCCCTGACATTTTACGCCTAATCTAGGGTATGAGCAACCTCCAGACGCAGAATTCGCGCAGGTGGAGGCTGGGGTTCTGCTTGATTTACTGAGGCTAACATGCGCCCAAGGCCTGGGCTGAGTTGGCACATGACGGTTTGATGAAGGGCCAAGAAAGTTTCTGAGCTTGGTGCCATTCTGCACAGGGCAGACTGCAGGGAGGAAAAGCGCGAGCAAAGTGGAAGACTCAATCGGACAACATGAGGATGATCAGGTACACTTTTGCAAAATTTGGGAGCTTTCGTGAGCTCTTTGCAGCTCTTTGTCGCATCAGCAACAAGGTTCCATAATATTGCCATCCTCTATACGTTAACCGAAGTACCTGTGTCAACGATCGGATGGACTGATAATGACTTACAAGGATTAGCCGCGGATTCAGTAAGCCTCGGGTGAGGGTGAGGGCACTGCAACTCTAACGCGATATTGTGCGGCGATTGCACTGCTCAAAGAGTGGCTGCGGAGACACGCAACAAAGGAGAGAATATTTCCTTAGTGTTCGTAGATCCAATGCCAAGAGTAAGCGAACAGAAGAGGTAGGTGGATGCACCGACCCGCCAACGAAGTCACCAGCTGTGGGGAGTGCGGGCATCGCCCATTTAAAGGTAGTAAGAGGAATGGCTGGGTGTGAAAAGTGGTGCCATACAAACGACGCGGGAGCCAGACGAAGAAGCTAGATTTCATGACAACGTTGGGAAGTCGGAGAACACACTTTTCATTGACAGTGCCACACTAGACTATGATGGACAGGAATCAGCGATGAATCGACAAGCGGTGGGTACTGCACGCATGGGTTCATAAATTGGGGATCCGACGGATAAGATAACTGCAAGGGGGGACACGATGTATGAGTTCTCAAACACGTTCGAGGGATACAACACCGGCAGCTCACACCAAGCGGTGATGTGAGATTTGAATGATAGACGCACGGGCCATGTGAACTCGTTCGGTCAAGGATGTCGGCCAAGACTGTCCACATCGGAAGCTGTGCCCATAAACGGAAACCCCTACGGAAACGTCGGAGATGACCTAATAAGTCAGTTTCAGACCGGAATCAGCGCCGGCGGAATAACAACACCCAAAACCGGGCCAAATAAATTTATTAATAAAATCCTCCTCTCAACACCCAAGCTTACCACTTATTAAAACCCCCCCTTCGAGTCCTGCCATGGCCAACCCCTGCTAACACCTCCTCCTTGCCGTTAGACAGGCAGTCAGGCAGCCATGTACGCTCATCCACCTTCCACGCCTCGCTCCATCCTCAAGCAGCAGCACTCGTCCACCAGAGCCGGTTGCAGGTCTCCTGACAGACCTCCTGCTGTCCACTTCCCTCCCTCGCCTTCTTTGACCAGAGTATACGCCGCCCACCCCTCTACAGCGTATGACCGATCGCCCATCGTCGTGTCTCCTAATGCCTGTGCTCTGCCGGAGCGTGGTTGTCCTGGTCGGACATACACCCTAGGCGACGAACGTCCAACGCGTTCGTCTCAGTCAAAACGGCGTCCCGAGTAGTGGAAATCATTTCCATCCCCGTGCAGGTATCGAAAGCAGATATCCTACCTCCCCAACCAGATCTGTAGGGGATGACCATACTCGCGTTTCCACACGCGCCTCCCCCCTTTGTTCCCCCTCCATTAATACCCGATCTAGTCCTCAGAGTCAGATGAGAGTGACAGCTTCGTCACACCATTCGATACCCCCAACACGTCATTGACGCCAGCCCCATCAATATCAAAGCCTCGTATTCGCTCTGATGGCATGTTGCCCACTAGCCCATATTACCCCGAGCAGTCAGGCTTTTCTGACAACTATCCACCTTCTTACCCTTCGTACCGATCATCTCTGGATGATGCGCACAAATCTCGCCGGCGCAGGTCGCGGGATCGCTCGCGCGAACGTTCGTACGCTAGCGACGACTGTTATAAGCCATTCTCCCCATACTCATCGCATGCGCTTAGAGAGATGGACGATGGCTGCTTGGGGGGCTTTTGAGCTCTCGTATGCTCACTTTTTTGGAGTCGCCACACATTATATCCTGGAGCTCTCGACATGCAAGTCTACTAGACGTCGTTTAGAACGACTGCAAACCTATACTACACAACTGTATTTATCTTTTTGCAAGCAGTTTGGAACGTTTGTTGAGGTCTTGTGGACATGCTCGATTTGTCTTGTGCGCAGTCGCCGGGGGATTCTTGCGAAGCCAATGACATCAGACACTGCCGTCGAATCATTGATCAAGACTTCGCCAGCTCTCCCGATCTACTTCTTAGGTCCACCCGGCCCTAGGTGCCGCAGACCTTTGGAAATAGGTTTCATCTGCTGCAGTGGCCGTAGGCTTGGTGCTGACTCTGCCCACAGCATCGCACAGCTGCAACGCCGCTCCAGCAGCTCGTTATGTATCATCCCTGCGCTTGAACGTTCATCAGTGTCACTGATCAGCGTCCTCATGGAACGGCGCTGCCGTGACACACGGAGTTCTAACTTTCCGGATCATTTGGCACCAGTGATTGGGTCATTCCTACCCAAGTATTCCTACTTCGACTGCAACGCAGCCTATGTCATCCCTGGTGCCTGTGGCGATTGCTGGCAGAACAACTGTGGATAATAATAGCTTCCTCGGTTTCTAATCTGTCTTGCACATGTCCAAGAGTCGGAGAGCCACAACCACACTTAAGAATGATGAGGCACGGAAAGTCGGCTCTTCAGGAACCGACATGTTCAATGTTAGGACATAAGTACTCTGTCCCGGTGAGTGGCGCATAGCCGTTGCCGACGGTGCTCCCCCTGTACGGATCCTGCTTGTCGGCGTCAGTATTCGGTGACGGCCCGCAGATACCTAGGCTCTATAGGCTGGTTCGATGACTGCCTTTTGAGGAACAGTGGTGACCCTGTGGTGACCCATCCCTCCTCCTAAGGTCTGTCCATACCCTTTCCCCCTTGGCCTTGGCTCGAAAATCATTCCTCCAGTGCAGGTCGGCGAATGTATTTCGCACGTGCACCCGTTATCCGTAAGTATTGTATCGTATTCCCCGTTGACTCCTTTGACCACACAGTAACCACCCATTTGGGAGTTTACTTCAACGATCGCGATGTAATTTAAGCCCGACCCGTTCGCTAAGGTGAGGGTGAGCATGCCGGGATTATCAGGTAAGTAGCTTATCGCTGTCTGGTGGCATGACCCACGGAATCCTCCTTGCTTCTACCGAGCGCTTTCGAACTTTCTTCAGAAACAATGGAAGAGATACGCGCGTTCAGGTGATGTGCTACTTTTGCTCGTAGCGACCGCCACGGTGAAGTTTCTATGAAATGTGTGCGTGCTACAGCATTTTTCATTATCCAAACTTAACCCTACAGTCGGCCTGTATTCAGCGTTGATGCGTCACGGAGCTGATATGTAGCCACTCTAATTTATCAGTTACGAACGACAGGCCAGTGTACAAGATTTTGACATCGGGCCGTGAACCAACACGTATCCATCAAGGTGCACACTGACCACCAATCCAGAGTTCACCATTCGTCAGATAAATTGAACGTAAACAACTTTCACATGCTCGACTGTGTCCAACCATAAAGATCCGAGTAGGCCCTGTGTCGGCAGACCCAAATGCTAATCTTGGAATGAAAAGTGTCCGACCAGCGTAAAACGAAAGCGAGGTGCGCAACGTTGACCGTGCCCTGAGATCGGTTGATTAATCAACGTATACTGCCTGGTAGCGCTTACGCAAGGGAGTCACTCTTGGGGGAATGGTGATTGAAGAAAACAGGATACTGGACACGTTGTGCGTATCAAATGGACTTTTCTGTGTTGTTCGCGAAAGAGTCATCCTCCCCACGGAAGCTGAGTGGGAGTGATCCTCTTTTTACCCCATCGCCACTAGTTCCAAGAATATCTCAGATGTCAGAGTGTTTGAGTCCATTGTCTACACAATTCCCTGCAAGCCTGGAGGGGACTTAGGAACGCTGGTCAGATCAAGCAAGGAACCAATTAGATAAATCAATCCGGACTGGTCAACGGCATCGTCAACGTACATCCGCAGAGACGGTTCCTGATAGGCCTGAGGGCCGGACGGCGCGACCCTTGACACGAGCTGCGAATATTGATTCCATGCGGCTCCGCTATGTCGCCACCACAGATTTTTGCGAGGGCACTATAAATAGGTCCTACACTCGCCAACGTTTCGTCTAGTCAAAAGCGCGAAGTCATTCAGAATGCACCCCTCTACCATGACTGGCCCTAGAAGTTGAAGAATGGCTGCCCTCCGAAAGATTCACTCCGCCGTTGACACAGAAGTGTTGGAGCGGCGCATTTGCCAACTCCGGAATGTGGACTTGTGATACGCCATTTCGCTACAGCAGAAAGATCCGTGAAAAACAGGAGGTTGGACCTTCAGAGACCTGTGGATAGAGTAACATGTCTGTAAGCGGGCAGATCTAAACCTGTTATTTGCTTCCTGGCACGAATTGAAGTCTCCGGAGTCCCTTCGACTGTGATTGGCATACTATCATCTGCCCAGAATTGCAAAATCTGCAAATGTTTTGACAATAACTCGTTCATTATTACACATGAAAATAAGAAAAGTACATAATCATGTAGCAAATTGAACGAAGCCTAATTATAAATTCGACTCAGAAAAAGGTGCGGGAGGATGATTTGTCTAGAATCAGGGGTTACGTCTGATAGACTCAGAGTCGAGCTCAGCGTGTTTTTTTGGAATGAAAACAAGTAAGGCACTATATCTTCATACATGCAAAAGTACAAGGTCCTAATGGCATTTTATTGTGTTACAGGGCATTTTGCAACTACGGGCAAACGATAAAATAGCCGGAAGGCTGTATCGTGAGACTCCTGCTTAAGACTTTAAGCCTATGTTGCAAAGCAACGGCTCCACCATGATGGATTCATATCATTGGCCGAGATTCCTTCTACTAATCAAGCTACTTATCGCGTGGAGGTCCCTGTGTTTGCAATTTCTGCTCCCTCTCTCGCGCGGTCATGTCCCGCACCGTAGATGACGATGATCACAACCTGGAGGCATTGGGGTACAAGCCCTCTTTCAGAAGAGAATTCTCCAATTTAGCTACTATTAGCTTCGCCTTTAGTATAATGGTATGTTGCGGCTGTGGCTTGTGACCTTCACTTTTTCCATGACCTATGCGATATGTAGGGTCTCTGCTCTAGCGTGGCTACGACGTTCAACACTCCGTTGCTTCTGGGAGGTCCCGCCTCTGTGCGCATCTTGTCGAGTCAACCCTCTGTTTAGGAAGCTGAATCAAATGTTCCCCCAGGCAACATGGTGCTGGCTGCTAGGCTCGTGCATGTGTTTCACATTGGGATCTAGCATTGCGGAGATCGTGTCTGCGTTCCCAACGTGCGGTGGTCTTTATACGGCCTCTGCCAGGCTATGCCCGTCAACACATCGAGCCGTCGTTGGTTGGTTAGTCGGCTGGCTCAATCTCCTTGGCCAGATAGCAGGGGTTTCATCTACCGAATTCGGTCTCGCCAACATGATTTTGGGAGCAGTCTCAATAGCCTCACCAGAATTTGCGATTGCGCCGGGGAAGACAGTCGGGGTGTTTACAGGACTACTTATCACCCATGGCATTTTAAACTCACTTGCTACCAAACATCTCGCGTTCTTCACCCGCGGTTTTGTGTTTGTGAACCTCGGCACGACTATTATCATTATTATGGTGCTTCTGGCCACCACCCCGAGGTCGGAAATGCATTCTGCAAGCTATGTTTTTGGCAGCCAAGGTATCATCAACGAAACGGGAGGGTGGAACAATGGCATCGCATTCTTATTTGGATTGCTCAGCGTGCAGTGGACTGTAGGTGGTATTCTGCATCTATCAACCAGATTAACCGTCGATCACTTCTTTCAAAGATGACCGTGAGTCGAAATCCTCCATTTAAGCGGCCTTTACTGATCATACTAGGATTATGATGCTACCGCTCACATTTCGTAAGAACTCAAAATTTCTCCTGCCGGTTATTGTTCTCATTTCTCAGTGAGGAGGTTCGCCGCGCTGCCTATGCAGGTTGGTCTTGATCAGCTTCCTAGGTCTTCACTAACCACCATAATCTCAGCACCATCTGCTATTTTCATTGCTGGTACGTAACATTTTGGAGAAAATTGTCATGATTTACTGTTTGCTGACTTCGGTATGGAGTGATCGGAACTGGCATTCTTGGCTGGATCCTTAATATTGTGCTTGTGCTCTGTTCTGGTCCGATGTGAGCTAAATATACCTCGTTATATGCTTGGAGTAATACTCAGTGCACACAGTGGGGACTTGCCAGGGATATCCGGGTCGGCTTTCCTACAGGTATGCGACGAATGACAATACTCTTGATATCCATTGAGGCCAACAGAATTCTTTCAGATAATGGTCACACGAATGGGCGTTCCTGCAGCACTCTTTTTGTGGGTGAGTTGACTCCTTATTCAATTCTACATGCAATTGACCACATTCTCCCAGAGTTTCGTGTGCCTTACTGCTTTTTTCGTGGTACAAACGGCATTGCAAGCTTGCTCGCGGTTGCTTTATGCGTTCAGTCGCGATCATGGTAAGTCCACAAGGTTTTCTCTGGCTGGCTGGCTTGCAGGCCGACTGTGCGGTAGCCCTTCCGGATTCCGGATACTTCAACCATATCTCCCCCTGGACTCAGACGCCCTTACGTGCCATTTGGCTAACGACTGCTGTATCCATCTTACCCGGTCTGCTTGACCTCGCATCACCAGTTGCAGCCAACGCGATATTCGCTCTCACTGCCATAGCACTGGATACCAGCTACATCATACCCATCTTCTTGTGCGAATCCTCTTTCTTGGTTTTCTAGTTTCTACATTCTCACTTGCAACGCCAGACGCCGCCTATATGCAAACCACCCCGAAGTGCGTTTCCAACCGGGTCCATTCTATATGGGATCCGGTATTGTCGGCTGGGCTGCAAACATAGCATGCATTTCGTGGACTCTTTTCGTATGCGTAATCTTCTCGCTACCTACTGTCCTCCCCGTCACTAGGGAGAACATGAATTATGCATCCGTAATCACGATCGGTGTCATCGTCGTTACCGGGTAAGTTGCCTGTTTACTGAAGAAATGCTCAGTGCTATGTACAGGCTGACAATATCAACTGACTCAATGCGTAGGGTATGGTACATACTTAGGTTCGTTGCGCCTTTCCCGGTATTAGCTTCCCGTCTGAACCGCCACACTAACCACATCCTACAGTGCACATCGGCATTACCATGGTCCGAGCTCCGACCTGACTAATGCTGAAACCAGATCCAGGCTAGGCGCAAGCCAAGGTATTCCGGTACAGGAAGTCTTTGCCGATGCGGACGAGAAGAAATCGCAGTCGGACGGTATCGCCTAATAGATCTCGATTATGTGTGGCCAACGTGCTTTTAGGGGGGGTTATGTACCTGGCTGTCCTCGTGCATTCAGGCCAGTCTACATGCGTTTGCGAATGCCGTATGTACCGTTAGTGCGTGCTCTGTGTTCATCAATCTGGAATGCACAGGACGGCATGTTCACGTCAGCTCTGAAATGAAAGCTTCTGGCATTTATTTAATGCAAACCCGACTCGGAAGCCAGACGAGACTGATGGTACATACTTCGTAAATATTTCTTTACTGGTCTAATCGTCTATGGACAGTAAGCCACACATAGCAAACCGTGCGTCGTTTTATTTAGCCTTGTAAAGACCGGCTTCCTCATCCCTCTTCGCAGCATAGACGAGAAGGTCGCATACACGCCTCGAGTATCCCCACTCGTTGTCATACCACGCAATGAGCTTGACGAAGGTATCATTCAACTGGATTCCAGCGCTTGCATCAAAGATGGAGCTTGCTGGGTGGCCAACGAAATCAGTGGATACGACTGCATCTTCGGTGTATGCAACGATGCCCCTGAGTTCGGGAGACTCGGCAGCAGCTTTCATGGCAGCCTTGATGTTAGCGTAGGTCGTGGGCTTGGAAAGACGGACGACGAGATCGACGACGGAGACGTCGAGAGTGGGCACACGGAAAGCAAGACCACTGAGGGTGACAACATGTCAATATGAAAACGGGATTCGCAGATCAAAACACCCACGTCAATTTGCCGTTGAGGTGAGGAATAACCTTGCCAACGGCTTTGGCGGCACCAGTGCTGGATGGGATGATGTTGTTGTTGACTGCACGACCACCGCGCCAGTCCTTTGCAGAAGGACCGTCGACGGTCTTCTGGGTGGCGGTGGTTGCGTGGATAGTGCTCATAAGACCTTCAACGATGCCGAAGTTGTCATCGATAACCTTCGCGAGGGGAGCGAGACAGTTGGTCGTGCAAGAAGCGTTGGAGATAACGGTGTATTTGGGGTCGTAAGCGGGGAGGTTGACGCCGACCACGAACATGGGAGCGTCGGCGGAAGGTGCGGAGATAACGACTTTCTTGGCACCACCCTTCAGGTGAGCAGCGGCTCTGAGAGACGATTCATTAGGATGCTCAAAACATGCCATGACGATATTTCTCACTTGTCAGTAGTCGTGAAGACACCCTAAGGGAGGTGTTAGTATCCATATGCGGAAGTTATGCACATCAAAAGGAACGTACAGTGGATTCCACGATATAGTCTGCGCCGACGTCTCCCCACTTGATGTTGGCAGGATCACGCTCGCTGAACACGGTGATGGGCTTTCGGTTGATAACGAGCTTGCCGTTCTCGGCGTGAACGTCGCCCTCGAAGCGGCGGTGAACGGAGTCGTACTTGAACATGTAGACCTATATGTGCGTCAGCGAGAGCGCCAACAGTAGATAAGCAGTGTCTTGTACCATATAATCGAGGTCGATGAAAGGGCTACAAGTGAATTGCATCAGAGTGGCTGCAGAATGTACAATCCTTCCACGCACTCGTTAATCGCTACAATCTCTATCTCTTGGTTCTCGAGAGCATTGCGAGCAACAATACGGCCGATACGGCCTACAAGGGGAGTCAGGGAGCAGGAAATCAAGAAAGGTACAATACACAGTACCGAATCTATTAAGAAAACAGAACGGGTAAGTACGATGCATACCGATAGCCACTGGATGGTAAGATAGACGACGTACCCGTTGATACCGACTTTGACCTGGAGGGGTTGTCAGCGATAAGCATGCGCTGTCGATGGATGTGGACTCACCATTGTGTAGGATGATGTGTGGAGGTGAGGGAGCAGAGTGAGGAGCGGGTGACGGATGCGCTGATTTTTATATGCGATGCGATAGTGATCTAATCGGCGTGGGTCGGATTTGGAATCCGACGCCATGTGGCTGTGCCGCTCTCGTCATCAGTACGATAGCTGTGTGATGAGTGCCAACCACATCAGACTAGTCCATCAACGTGCTGGGTAACTAGTCATTGGTTTACATCGTCGCTGACGAAAGTTATCAACGTGTGTAACCCGCGTCCCACACCAGTCCACCTCCCTAGCTCCCCACCCTCCCGGTCTTTCACCACCTTGATTTCACCTCGTTTCCACAGCGCCTCTCCTTCCCTCGCACGAGACGTCATCTCACTCGCAACTCTTTCCAGTTGCTTTTCAAGCGAGAAATCACCAATAGCATACGTGGTCTCCCATTCAAATTCATCAGTTTCATGGTTCTGCACGTACTTGATTCGTGCGGCTCGGAGTGGGCTTACGTGCCGGTGATGCGACAATACCATCCCATGTTCTCCAACGACAGCCATAAATTGTTTTGAGGCGCTCGGACTGGTGTCGGAAATCAGAAACGCGAATGCCGACCCAGCAGGCAACGGCTCGTCTCTTCATAGATGAGCAACGCATAAAAGAAGCACGACCGGATCAGACATCGCGCGAATCAACGCTGAGCTTTGCAACTTACTTCCAGATCTCTTCATAGAGCCCGATTTTACCGGTATCGGGATCTAGTCCTAACCCGATTTCTACTTCCTCCTCGCTCCCGTCCTCCTTGATACGCTTCACTATGGTACCTTCGTCGGGGGGTTCGTCACTCCCGTGGGAATCAATGATGTGCTCCCAACGATATCGTGCTATGGCTGACGAATCGCTTTCCGGGAGGGGGATAGTATATCGTAGACCTGCGGAGGCCTGGTTGATGCTGCTCCGCAACGTAATAGTCAAAGAAAGTCGAAGGTCGAGGTAGAGCAGAAGATTCCCGACGGTGGTCGAGTCTGGCAGCGTTGAACGCGATGACAAGACCAGAACATCCGAATCTTCAAAGGGCGCAGACGGAGGTCTTGCTATACTAATTCGGCGAGAAATAGACGGAACGCCATAGAGTTCCGGCCAGGTTTCCAGATCTGATGTCAAGTTCATATGTGTTGTAGGGTTAGATGCTGTCGTGAGGCGTCAGTAGCAGCCCACACCACTAGTACTATGGTTTATCTTATCATCGAAGTTACAGTGGCGTGTGAATCGAGCTGTCGATGGAGTGGGCTTGCACAACAACTCTCGGAGGTGGAGGAGATTATTTGACACTTGGAATATGGAGGAGCTTCGGAGGCGGGTGGACCATCGGGCTGAGATCGTGCTTTTGTGTCTCCGAACTTGCCCAGTCTTTGGGGTGCATATTTGTGTGAACTGGCCTGGGTTGATGGAGCCCCCTTGCTAGATTCACAGGTACTGGTACTGAATTACCAGCCTCAAGCCTCAGGGAGCCCAGAAGTTGGCTGCATAATTGCATTCCAGGTCTGCTTAGTCATCAACCTCATATTGAGCCATTTACAGAAAAGTTGGCAGGCTGCCGACGTGTCCTCTTCCATCCTTGCTTGGTGAATACCTTTCAAATAGTGCCATCATCTTGTGTTATGCACTTTACTTCTCTGCGGAGAGCACTATGCATCTTTGCAGTCGTTTCTACACTATTCGAGTTGTCGCTCGCCGCGGTGCTGGCCATTGACTATGGCACTGACTGGATGAAAGCGTCGTTGATGAAACCTGGTGTTCCGTTCGACGTCTTGTTGAACAAGGACTCTAAGAGAAAGATCCAGTCCTCCGTCGCATGGAAAAGAGATGACCGGCTCTTTGGCACCGACGCGGCGAACCTCGTACGTCTGCTTTCTCCTGAATGACACTCGCAATTAACTGGCTCGCGCAGGCTTCCCGTTTCCCCTCGGATTCGTTTTCATCCTTAAAGCTTCTCCAAGGCGCTCCTTTCGATTCAGGTTCTGTATCCTACTTCACCCAGATATCTACGTCCGACGTAGTTAAAAACACTCGTTCGTCGGTATCCCTCAGGCAGGGCGATGGCACAGAATGGAGCACCGAGGAACTCATTGCGATGCAGCTCTCTTACGTCAAAAAGCTCGCTGAGGATGTTGCCGGCGAACTTGTTCGAGATGTCGTCGTAACCATTCCTCCTTATTATACCCAATTCGAGCGTGACGCCGTAGCAGACGCAATAGAAATCGCTGGACTGAAGACGCTGGCATTGATCAACGACGGATCGGCAGTTGCGATCAACTACGCCATGACCCGCACGTTCTCCCCGACGCCAGAATACCACGTCATATATGATGCAGGCGCGTCTTCCATCCGCGCGACGGTCGTCTCGTTTGCATCCGCGGAAGACCCAAAAACCAAGGCTCAGTTCACCCAAATATCCGTCCTCGGTGTCGGTTTCGATAGGTCCACCGGTGGAACGGAGCTGGATCGAAGACTCCGAGAAATTTTGATAGAGGCTTTCATCAACAAGCACAAACGTGACATACGAAGAGACAACCGGGGCATGGCAAAGTTATGGAAAGAGGCCGGACGTATCAAAACTATTTTGAGCGCTAATTCTGATGCGATGGCAACGGTACGATGTTCTTACTCTGAAGGGAAGAGTAACACAAACTTGTTATGGTAGGTGGAGAGCGTCGCCTTTGACATTGACTTCAAGGCGAAGATTACTCGCGCACAGTTTGAAAAGTCTTGCGAAGGTTTGAATGGCCGCTTTGCACAGCCGATTTACGACGCCCTCGCCAGTGCCGGTTTGAGTCTGGTGCGTGTTGGTATCACACCAGTTTGTTTTCTATCATAACAGTTGTCCTCGTCGTCTCAGGATAGTATAGCGTCTGTGATTCTCACGGGCGGAAGCTCAAGGACTCCCATGATCCAGACTGCAGTTAGGACCGCTGTCGGAGAGTGAGTTTAGAATTCTCATACGGAAAGAATTTTATGAATTGATCTTACTAGTGATCGTATTGCAATGAACGTAAACGCAGATGAAGCAGCTGTCCTTGGTATGTACACCTCCTTACTCTTGTGGTTATTGTGTTTACTTCTGCCCGTAGGCGCTGGCCTATATGGCGCTTCTCTCTCGAGGCAATTTAAGACGAAAGACATACGAATCACCGACATCCTTCCACACGAAGTGCAAGCTTCTTACTTTGCCTCGGCCCCGGGCTCCCGGACGATCCATAGTCTTATTTTTCCCCGTGGCTCCAAGCACGGTACCAAGAAGACCCTCTCCTTCAACAAGCGGAAGGAAGACTTCTCGCTGTGGTTAGACTACAAGAACGAAGTGGCACCGTGCGTTTGTTCACTATATCCCCATGATTCACGCTTGTTTTAATACATGCTCTCGTAGTGGCTTCCCTCGTGAAATTCTGGAGGCGCAAATATCTGGCGTGGCGGATGCTCTCGGAAACCTCACGGAACGTGGTGCGGTTGACCCTGTTGTCAAGGTTACTGTTGCTCTTTCCGACTCTGGCTTTGTATCTGTGGAGGAGGCGATAGCATACGGTGAAGTTAAATCATCCATTGCAGGTATGTATAATCGGAACCCTTTTGTTGTTAAATATCATGTATATGCAGGAAAACTGAAGACGTTCTTTGGTGGAGGTGCAGGCGAGACCGACGGCGCAACAGGTGGAGAGAAAGAGAACGAACAGGTCGCATTTTCCAAGGACAAAAAGGAGAAGGACGAATCGAGCACTATTCCCCTCCAGCTGGCGACCGTGTACTCGACACTTGCCCCGATGTCCGTGGCAGATAAAAGATCGGCTCGTGATAGGTTTGTGGTGTTGTCACACGTTTTGCGTACCGACGTTGACGCCTTGCAGGCTACGCGCATTAGATAACATGGAAGTGTCCAAACAATTCCGGGAGGAGGCATTCAACACACTGGAGGGGTATCTATATAAGCTCCGGGATCTTCTCGATGATGGTCCCGAAACACCGTTCATGAAGTGTTCCAAGCCCTCGGAGAGGGAGGCGATTTCTCGAAAGGTGGCAGATACCTCAGCGTGGCTCCATAGCGACGGGGAATCGGCTGATACTTCCACACTTATGGAGAAGCGGAGAGCGTTGGAGTGAGTTTTTTGCTTGCTAGACAGTAGTTCTCGTCTCACGCCTCGATCCAGGTCTCTTGAAAAGCCCATAGTGCACCGGTACAGGGAAATAGAGGAGTTCCCTGAAGCCCTAAATAGCAGCCAGAAGTGGAATTGGTCCACGCGACTCTTCCTCGCCGAAGCCCGGGCGAACCTCACAGCAGAGGCAGCGGCAGGACTTCCATCGAAGTGGACAACCGAAGAGCTCGACGCGCTGGAGAAGGCGGTCAAGGAACACGAAGCGTGGTTGAACACCGGGGTCGAAAAACAGAAGCGTATCAAGATGAACGAAGATCCGGCAATAGAGACTAGAGACATGCGGTCAAGGGCGAAGACCCTTGAGCTCCACTTGCAAAGATTGGTAAAGCGGAAAGCGCCAAAGGTAAAGAAGACTCCAAAATCAGCGGGGACACAGGAAAATGGAGAATCCAACGAGACCGATGGTACACAACCGGCCCATGACGAGCTATAGATCACGATCGCATGTTTAACCTCTAATAATGATAGAGTGAACCATTTAATTTGAGGAGCTACTCGAGTACTTGAGTATCGTGAAATTGGGAATGTATTTGTCGGTGCTTGTCCAGGTATCCAGTCCAGTGGGGAACTCCAAACGATCCATATCTTGACGACTCCTCATCCGAAACTACAACAGCTTCGCTTGGCAGTGTTGATCTGTGACGCGCAAGTGTTTTCTTGCGCCTGGTTGCAAGTGCGCAGTCATGTCTCAGCTGTCCCGCCGAAGTTATGATAGTACAGCTCACGAAAGACGGCTCTCCAAGTATCGCGTCAGCGACGATGATCTCTTCGAGTGCGTCGTATAGCTGACCGTTCGATATGATCACTGACCTTGTGGGCGTAGTTACGTGCTCCGTGTAGCGTAAGTCAGTCATACTTTCTATCACTGCTCATCCCGTTATCTGTATCCGGTAGCATCCTAAGCCATGTCACTTCGTCTAAAGTGACGGATACCAACGCAAAGGTAGCGGAAACCAAGGAGAGAGAGCATTACCACAAGATATCTGGCGCTATATCCCATTCGATTGTATCCATTGGCGATATATTCAAAGAAATCAGCGGTGGTTCCAAAAGTGTCAAGTTCCCAGAGAAACTTCTCAAAGTGCTCGAACAGAAGCTGCAGAGTATAGTGATGGGCAGGGACCAAGCGTGCGTTTTATTGATGGAATTGATGTTTTCTGCTTTCTGACGCACAAAATCTTGTAGGTACTCTGATCAGCTCACCCGGAGAACGATGGCCGTTTTTTATAATCACTTCATGGGAGATGGCTTCCGCAAACAAATGAAGGAGAATAGGAGCATCGAAGAGCTGATATTGATGTTTGCTGCGCAGTCCACGAGTGTCCTTAAAAAGGAACCGACTTTGGTTGATGATGCTTGGAAGGTCGAACTCAACAACCAAATCGCACAATTCGTGAGGATGCTCCGTGAATGCTTGAAGGGCGTCAGCCATGTTTCTCCGGAGTTGAACTCTCGCTTGGATATGTACCAGACGAAGCTCGCCCCTCCGTCATCGCATGACTCCGGCCACGATACCACTTCTGTTGCCCGAGATCGCGGTGATTCAGTAAGTACGGGACAGACCATCAACGCCAGCGTACAGGACATGCCGCTCGCAATGACTGTTGCCAATCTGTTCAAAATTCCGGAACAAGCGATGCAGAATGAGGTTGATAGGCTAAGGAAGATTTGCACCGAGAAGGTAGGAGGGGTGAAATGGATGATACCAGCGGACTCACCATTGCATTCTAGGCGGCTCTTATAGACCTGAAGGTATATAATAAATCAACTGTCAACGACTTGAGTGGTGATTCAGCATTCCTAGACATGTTTGAAGAATATCAATGCCGGTGCTCCGTTTCCGGGGCGGCGCGAGGACTTCCCCAGCGAGGCAGCGTGGACTCAGTGGCGCACGCTCGAGACCTCGCATCTTTCTCAGCTCATGGTAGCCATGGTATCCACCAACCCTGAGCTCGCTAAATCTATGTCGTCTGATGATGGACCAACACACACGTCTACCCGTCCAAGTTCCATATACTCTACCACACGTGCCGACTTACCGGCCACTACCACACGCCATGCTTCCACTGCGTCTACCAGCAGTCGCTGGTCTGCGATGGGGGGTGTTAGTGGAGACAGTTTCTCAGAGGACGTCGACGAAGATGTTGAGATACGTGTAGGGCACCATTTCACTTTCATCCCCCAGAACCCACGGAGATTCTACAAGCGGCTTGTCGAGCACTGTATCGTGGCAGAATTGGAGCTTCTGTATAGCCCTGAGGTGGATGATGCTGATGAGGTTCCGTTAACAATCCTTAGTCAACCCCATGTACAACTCATCAACGAATGCGCTGTTCGGTGGCGGATAGGACAACCATATCGTGCAACGTGTTTCCTAGAACTCATCAAACAATTCTATGAACGCGGCGAGGTTCCGATGGAATGTATTCCTGTGGCACTGCAAGCAGTGACCAAGACATTGCACGACCTAGAAATTGACAGATGGTCTATTCAAGACGTGAGTACTGCTACACCGACTCGTAGTTGGCTTACATCTTGCCTTCTGATTAGGCGGAATTATTAGCCAGCATTTACGGTAGCCTTTACAACATTTTCCTATCATCCCTCTATCACGCGATGGAGTCTCTCCCGAACGTCAAAGTATCGGAGATACAACCATATCTTTCCGTTCTTGATCACATACGGGAAAGTGGTTTGATGGGCAGATTTGAAGGCTGACATTAACAGCCGCCTAATAGACTTGGAAGACCGGATACGGGATGTTTCTGTGCAATATTACCAGGACAAGATGCAGCAACTGCAATCGGCTCCAGGAGTTAATCGGGCTTTACCATTGCTGTTGATGACGGACGAGATAGAGAAGTCAGCAAAGCAGTTGGACAAACGTTTCCCTGAACCACTCGTTGGGTACGCTTTCCTTTAGCTTATCCCGGATGAGGCATTGATCTGTGGGAGAAGCCGGATCGATTTGGTGTCGTTGGTGGTTAAGATGCAGGTCCCACTGTTCGTTGCTGACCTGCAGAAGTCTGCAAAGAAACTGCTCGAGTCATCGACCAACGGCCCCGCACCAGACGTTCCCATACAGGATATATTTTCTCTGTATCGAAGAACTAAGACGCTGCTGGAAATGTTCCGCGCCTTTTGTCCTAAGTAAGTATTCCGTATCGTGGCAGAAGTGATTGGACTGTACCGTGGACTACTTCAGGGGCCAAGTAGAGTTGGATATCAGCCAGTTCTTCATGCAGTATGTCTTGCGATGGTTGTCTGAAACGGATAGCAAGACTGGACAGTGGGTTCAGGCTGTGAGTGGCTTGGTTCTTCTCGTGATGCGTCATAGCTAAGAGCGGACTCCAGGCCATTGCAGCCGATAAGGTTAGCGAGCTGCCTGATTCATGGAGGCTTGATTTGATCGCTGAATACGAAGCACAGTTTCAAGCAGAGAATGCAGAGGGCCACAGCTCATCCATAGTTGATCTTTTCGATTCTCTGCGTAGCCCGCTTGCATTCCTCCAGGAACTGGAATGGTCGGACGAGTACCAGAATGCCAGGTTCTTCACTAGTTTGTCAAAAGTGAGCACTTGGGTTTGCGATAGTTGCTTGACTAATAGGAGGCCTTAGACGATTTCCAAAGCGGTTGAGCAATACTGTCGCAGCGTGGAAGAGTTATTCATGACGGAGATGTTTCCCCGACCAACGGAATACCTTCAGCCACAGAAATCGTCTGCATGGCTCGAGAAAGCCAAGCAACTCGCAATCACAGGCGAGAAGAAGGTCGAACCCTTCAACTTCCAGCCCGAATCCTGTGTTAAGCTCAACAACGTCGAAGCAGCTCGTAAGCTGCTAGACAATTTGTATAATCAAATGCAAGTTGACAAGATTACCGAGGTGCTTGCTGCTTGTCCGCCAGTCCCTGAGAAAGTCGAGCGGCTACGGTTTTTGTTCACAGTCAAGATCGTGATGGCGGAGAATCTTGTTCCGCTCGATAGCAGTCCATCGTCGCTGTTAGACACTTTCGTCACTCTTAGCGACGAGGCCGGAAACCGGCTTGTCAAAACGCGAACAATATATGACTCCCTCAACCCACGATGTCAGTTGTCTACGCTTTCTAACGTTGCTTTCGTTCTGAAGTGAGATACTTTTAGGGGAAGAGACATTCGACCTATCTGTGGATAAACCTCTTTGGCTGATGTGCAGCATACGAGATCGGGCTCTCATGGGCCAGCACGACGTGGTTGGCCGGTCCTTTATATGCCTAAATCCTGCGCAGTATGGTGACTACTTGACACATGACGTCTGGTTGAATCTGGAGTCAACCAATCAGAGCAATGAGAGCCGTATTCTGTTGCGTGTCAGTATGGAAGGTGAGACGGACGATGCTCAATTCTACTTTGGTCGTGCTTTTCGCTCTCTGAAGCGGAGTGAGGGTGACATGATGCGTATCTTTGTTGACAAGGTTGGTCCTCGATTGCAAGGGTAGTCTGGGCAATATTGACGCTTCGCGAACAAGATGTCTCCGTTTATACGGCAGTCGATTTCACGATTCGTGGTGAAGAGCCTAATGAAGGGAGGTTCTTCAGGGTTGGACTATAACAAGGCCCTAGCGAACGTGACAGGTTTCTACCGTTCAGCACTTGGTTCTAGTGTGTCGGAAGTACAGGTTCCCCTTCCGGCCTCGGAAAAGCCGCGGGTACGCCCGGAGGAACTGTCCGATGTGGAGATCGAGCGGGCAATTGTACCACTCTTTGACTACTTCGATGCCAATCTACAGATCCTGAACACGCACCTGAGCGAGACAGCAAAGGAGATGGTTATGCTTCAAAGTGTGGAAGGAGATCCTGACTGTAATCGAGGGGTTACTCATTCCTCCGTTGTCAAAACTCCCGAGCGACATGAAGCCCTTGAGTGACAGGGAAGTGGATATCGTTTTTAAATGGCTAAAGGTACGTTAAGCAGTCTTTCCTGCGATTTGAACTTACAGTACGACTTTCCAGTTCTTGAGGGATTACTTCTACGCCGACGGAGAGGGCATATCATTGGAGGCCCTACAGAACCAGAAATACCGCGACGTCCTCTCCATTAGACTGTACTACGACTGGCATACGTGAGTTATCGTTCAAGCATTCAACATTCGGGTATATCGTGATAAACTCCTTTTAGTGATACACTTATGGAAGAGTGCGTGCGTACGATGCAACAAAGCCTGCGTGAGGCCATTCCTGTCAAGAAGCGGGTCAAGACTGTCTACAACCAACGGAATTTGGGCACGATCAAGGAACGCAAGAGGGAGAAGAAGCAAGAAAAGGAGACAACCAGTGGGGAGATCATCTTGTGTATCTTGCGCATGAGGTAATGTTAACATGCTAACATCTATCTCTTTAGTCCATGCTGCTAAGTTTATCGGGTTGTGTTTTGCAGGCCAAATACACAAGAATTCATTTCCCAACAACTGGAGATGATGGCCAATGTCCGGATACAACAAGAAAGGTCACAAGTTGCACAGCTACAGCGAAAGGCACGGGGTTCCGGGCAGGTGGCACCCAGCCAATAATTAATACTACTACTCCGCTGCGCAGACTCTCGTTAAGTTGTTGGACCTGTATCTGTACCACATTCTTGTTCGTTATACCCCACATGTACATTTGCCCCTGACTGAATTACTTGATCATTGGAGGTTGCAGTTGTCTGACTGATTCCTGTGCCTTATGGAAAGCACTGCATAGCAAACTCATTGTGTGGCTGCAATAATCCTGACATTCCAGGTGCCAAGTTCAGCTCTCCAAGTGTGTGGTATAGATCGATGTGAATATCTCAGACTGCATGATCCCGGTACTGTTGCATCAGGTCATTCAGCACTTTTGAGGCAACCATCTGTCATGGTCTGTGTTTCTAACACTATATTCTTTCCCAATCTCTTCGCCGAGAACAATTTGAAACAGCCTTTCAATAAAAGGCGGAGCTGACATACAAAATCTTTTCGTTTCTGAGTAATTCTTGATGAACTAGGCCACACTACTTGTCATCTGTGCATTTTTCCCTGAAGTTTCCTCCATAGTATCTATATTCCAAATGATATGGTCTTCTGGAAGAAATCCATAAACCGTTCTAACTGTACTGAGGTTGGACCTCGTTGTCCAGGTTGGCTCCGTCGGTAAGCGACCATAGAGGACTGTTGTGAGGTGAGCGTTGAGTATAGCCAGGATGTGGACTTACCCAAGCAGCAGCGATTGAAATCCCCAGGGCAATCTGGGTATAGGGACGAACCTAAGCGCTTGCATCAGAGCCCGTGAGCGACCATAGGGCAGTGCACGTACCTGGGCGATAGTAGTGACGACGGAGTTGAATGTTTTGAGAGGTTGGAGGTACGTGTTGCTGGGGTTTGAAATGCTTTCAGCCGCAGTATCAGCCTGCGCAACGAGCTCGGTAGCTGTTTGGCCAGTAAGTGGTATGGGCATCGTGCGACCCAGGGCCTGTTGGGCAGCATCGACTTCACTGCCTACCAATGCCGAGTCCGGACTGAGTGTGACACCACCGCCATTAGTGGGCCCAACAGCACCTTTTCTGGCGTCGCCAAATGGTCCGACTGTGGTATCGACATTCCTACCATGCGCAGCCGTTCCGGGTCCTGTTTCTGAGTTGTAAATTGGCCTTTGAGTCTGTCCAACACTATTATTATTCAGGGTCATCGTAACAACGGGATAAGGAAAATCACACACATCCTGAGTTGGAACCACCTGGCTTAGTTCTCGTTGCTCCTGAACACGTGTGTCAGCAATCCTCGCTGGGATGGAACTTTGGTTCGACCGATGGAAGACGTGCCTCATCCTTGCAAGGGCCCTCTGGGAGACACTGCCCGAGGTTCCAGCAATCGAGCCTACTTGACGAGCGAAAGTCTGAGACGGTCCTTCTGACTGTTTCTTTGTGGATCGGTAGCTATAACCACCTGCAGAGGACTACATAGCTGCTTACCGAGGCAAGATTAGATGCAGACCAGGTAGCTTCGCGGATCCAAACGGACGGTGAATCTTTAACTGCTTGCAGCCATTGAGAACTCAGTATTTCGCTCGAAGCATTTGGATGGGGTCGACGTTGAAGGCATGGACGTGAAGACAAAAGAGTTAAAGTTGCAGTAACTAACGGGGATTGCGATATTTATGTAGTACCAACCTAAATGTTGTGCCAGAAGTGAATCACGAAGATTAAATTCAGTTTGCAGTTCGTGACCTTACAGGACTTCAAGTTTCGCAAACATGTGTCTGCCATCTGAATGTGAGGCTACACTTCGAGTTCATGTAGTGGCTAGTAACTGTCAGGGTCCAAGCCGCTTTGAAACTGCTGACCTTACCCCAATCTTAGTCAGAAGCACGAGTCGGTGAGAGACGCTCGGATAGCCGTTGCAACCTGCAAGGGTAAAAGCAGAACTCCTGACGTGTTCACAACATTTTTGTTTAGTGACAGGGTTGCGAACACTGAGCGTTGAATAGTTATAGGCTGCCATCTATACGACGTGTTGGTGACTGGGTCTACCCCCCCTTCCACGTCGTGACGCGGCCACAACCACTGAGAACCTCCTTGCTTGTCCAGAAGTTACCACACGCGGGGCCTCTCCGTGACGGCCGAAAGACGCAGTATCTGCGCAAGTGCGCCATACCGATACACGACGACCCAGTACGAACCAGCCTGATTTCGACCTACTGATTGATTTTGCGTAGGCTGGGTTCGTAGCATCATTGCCGTCTCGTCGTTCTTCCTCTGTTACTGGGATACTACATTCGTTAGTCATGATGATTGTTGGTATGTCACCTCGACATCAACAACAGTCCAGCGCATGAGGATGACTTAATAACGAAAACTTCCCTCGGTCCGACACTTCGCGGGTAGCTCGAATAAGTGCACGACGCGTCCGTTCTTGCGTTGAGACAAATGTTCGACAGTGACAGATCGCAAACTTCGTCTCAAGAGCCGTGGGCAGGACACTGGACCAGATCATTTATGGTTGGTCGTAAGACATCAATCACGTATGGCACGGTCCTACGTGACGAACGAGGACATCGATGGACGTTGAAGAGGGAAAACGAGGTCATGTTTTGATCAGAAGGCGAGACCAAACACAGTGGAAAAAGGCGACGGGCAATCAGGGACATCATTACATTCGTGATTTCTACCATCCAAGTGAATCGTCTCCACTTGCACAGGGATGGCGAGAGGTGACCGAAGCGAGGCTGGAACAGTACATCACTACTGGTCACTGGTAACGTCCGAGATCTTCACCCGGCGGAGTGCACTTACCTCTGGATATGGGCTACGATGTAGCTGCACCCACTCAATCCGTTCCACAGGACGAAACTAATTCTCGAGAAGGCACAAAGCACTGCGGTGCCAGTGATTCATGTGTCCATTACCATATTATGGAAACGTTAGATGTCGGCGATACTCGTCTGCCCCTTGCCTGACAATTTTTTGCTGACTGTGAGTGAACGCACTATCCCTATCCTAGTCACCGTTTACACTTTTTCAGGTCAAGCCCAACTCGAATTACCCTGAATCTGGAGCAGCCTTGTAGCCTTGCTATTTAGTAACCCGATGACAAACACTGTCACCGATGCCCGGGAACTCCGGAGCGGAGATTGATAACTGTAGGACAGCTTTTGGTGCACGAACGAGGCCTGACACGGCTGCAGTGCCACCTGGCGCTGGTGCGGGGACTGATGCCTTAACCAACCTCAAGGAAACCAGTCTAATGGGTGCCAGCCTGCATGCAGTTTCTTGTCCGGGTGCACGTTTCGAAGAATTCATAGACCCAATGTGATTACAGTCTTGATTATGAATCGCCAACAAAGCCGCAGCCCGACAAGGTTTACCCAAACCTGCCACCCCAAATGTTCGCGACTCCACGGTAGAAATTCGAAACCGGTCACACGGGTTCCCGTAGAGCAGCCGCAGCTGCGGTACCAAGCGTCATGACGGTTGCACATCCTTGGCCTTTGTCCACTGGCCTGTCTACGTCGTTCTCTTGTACTGTTGTCAACAAGTGCCATAGAAGTTAAACCAAATGCATACTTTTCCTATGTGAACGTTGTCGGAATTCGCCGACTCACACACTGCAACGGCGTTCGTGCCAGTTGAACCATTACCACAGGATCCAAGGTGCGTGCGGCCTTGTCGGAATCTATTGATCACATGGGTATTCAGGGGAACTCTGAAGTGTAACTAGGAGACTAAAACAAGATCCAAGGAAGCACGGATCATTGGTGTATCAGCTATGTACAGCAATAAGGACAAGTCACACCATACTATGGCAACTCAATGCACCCGTACGTAACTACCAGTGTGAAAATGAGCCAAGTTTCTACCTTGACGGCGCCCATCAGGGTGGTTACGAGCCTTGGTCTGTGCTTACTTTGCCGGGTAGGTGGGTACCGGCATCAAAGTATAGGTCTGGCCGGTCGACCATGACGGCAGCTCGCTTTGCCTTTCTAATACCATGCTGCATAGACAAAGCGAGAAGCAATTCAGCACGAGGCATCGTGTCAATCAACAACGAGGAACCAAGTCTAAACCACACACAGCATTTTGGAACGGAGACAGTGTGTAAAATTGATACGTGTATTATGCTGCAATACACCTGCCGCAGATTAATACATAACATGCGTTTGGCCTATTCGTACACCGCGTAGTCCGGTACGGTTTGGCCTCTTCTGACACACGGGAGCTGTATAAAAAGGAAAGCCGAAGGGAGTCTGCAGTCCGTATGAGTAGCTTTATGTGAGTTGGGAACGAGCCCCCCTACGAAAGAAGATGCCGATAACGGATAAAGGTATTCAGAGAAACAATCTTTGTACACTACACGGGGGATGCGTTGGATTACGGAGCGGTGGGTATACGATGCACACAGGTATAAGGGATGAGAACTGAAACTGGGAGGATTGGGAACGCGTGCCGGGAACGTGTTTTTTTTTTCTGGGCACGATTCGCTATCCATAGGGGTGGCATTGGGTTGAGGGGTGGGAAGGGGACCAAGCCAATGGGTAGGACGTCCAAAACCAGTTTGAGACGGTATAGTATCAGCGCCCGCTGCCGAGATGACAAACAGAGGAATCATAATGTACGGGTTCTTCCATCAGAAGGAGGCGAAAAATTTGATGATGAACGTCGTTGACGGGAATATCCGAACCAATTGCTTAATCTTCCTCAGGAACCTCGAAAATACTGGATAAAGAGGGGCTACGGCGAGGGGCACGGGTGCTTGCACTGCTGCGTCTGCGATGGTGGGCAGATGCGTGTCTTGGAAATACGTTTCCCATTGAGGGGCTGACGGGTGACGCAGCCCCGGTAGATTTAGGATCACCTGGAAAAAGTGGAGAGGGCAAGGGCGAGGGAGAAGAGCTATAAATAATGTATGGTTCCTCTTCTTCCACCGGAAATGAAACCGGAGAGGCGTAGGATGCGCTGTGGGCGTAGCCAGTGTCCTGCACGGGCTTAGGGGAGAGAGGCCAGGCACGGCCAAGAGTAGGCTGTTGATCGAGTCAGAAGTAAGATCGCTGAGCAGATAACGATAATTTCTCACGTCGTTCAACTGTTGAATATGGGAGTATTTCACCAACTCCGCAACACGACGTGTCCACTCTCTTTTCTTCAAGAACTCGATGCGTTCTCGACGTTGCAGTGAGGACTCCAAGTTGTGGGTCTGCTTATTGCGAGAGTCGTACAGCACGGATGAGGGCGGCAAGGATGGGAAGCGGAAGTCGTTGATAGTGCCTGGGTATGGGGATGCAAGCATGCTGGTTGGGATGGAGAGAGAGGACTGTGCGCCCCCATCGTCAGTTTATATAAATCGGGGCTCGGATTCGGAGACAGTTCTAGATCGCGGAACGAGGGGTGTGGCGGTGCAACTGTCTGAGATTAGTCAGCAGGTCACCACCATTTCATTTCCTGCGCAGTCCGCATTTTCACATGCAAGATAAGCGCTTCTTTGCCCCTCGGGGGGAAGCGTGTTCGGGTATGACAAGCAGTGTGCCGAGGAAAACATTGCTGTGTGAGCCAAGAAGTGCCACACTGCTGTACGGGCCCAAACGCACTCGGATAGATTCCGACGGAACGTCGACGATACGCTACAATATGATGTCACGGTAGCAGGTCTCGACGTGTCATAGAACCTTTTGTGAAAACACGACGAGATCACGTATCAAGAGGTACCTCTTCTGATCTCTTCTTCAGCCCTTCAGCCATTGCCACGAACCCCTTCTTGATCCCATCTCCAACGACGGCACTGACTACGTATGCCAACGGTCCGTTAAACACCTCTTTCGTCTCATAGCGCGTTTTCTTCCGCCCGCCTCCTTCATCTACTTCCACCAGTACCTGCCACCTCTCTGTACGCAGCATCCATTTCGGGTATTCAACGCTCACCCACGAACACCGGCAATTCTGGATATCCAAGACAGTAATCATCTGAAAGGTCGAGCTTGCAGGCAACAGCCTTGGAGAATCAAACGACGGCGGGATGTGAACTGGATAGATGTATAAATAGTCACCAACGCGCGGGCTTTGTTGTGCTTCAGGAAGTGGTCGTTTCGATGCATCCGTTAGACATTGGTTGCGTCTATTCTCGTATTGTGTCCGGTTTGTTGTTCGATACCAAAGGTTGTTAAGAGAAAGAAATGGAACAAGCGAATGCAGAAGATACATACACAAACGGATTCCTGTATACGAGTCGGTATAGAAATCGTCGCTGGGACACAAGAATCCCTGAATAGGCCAGCTCACCATTCATGGTACGACTTCCAATCCATCAGGACCTGCCATACGACCTCCCTTGGTGCATCGATGACAATGGAGGCGGTCGCAGTGAACACACCCGGCTCTAGCTGGGGAAGTCCTGTGTCTGTTACCGCACTGTCAGACGCCATGTGGATCCACGCAAGGAGTATGTTGACCCCGACGCCACCCCCTCCGGATCATTACGTAACAGGAACCAAGCCATAAACATCCAACGAGGAAACGACATTCGTCAGTGGTGAACCGTTCATGATCTCAGTGGGAGCTTTACATAACCACCACGATGTTCACATGCTAAGGTGTCATCGATTTCATTGGGTAGATGATGGCTTTTGAAGATAGTGGCGATCCAGCTGGCCACCCTCGTCATCGCTCACGTCACCCACCTCGCTTTTCAGTTCATCGCCTGGTACCGCATTCTTATGTTTTTCACACCCCAGCTCACCATGTTAACATTTTCCGAACCCACCTATGACGTACACTTTGACCAACCCCCTGAAGGCGTATCTGGCTCTGAAGCAGCCAACAAGTCTTACACCTCTGCTGGCCTCCAATTCCGAATCGTATGTCGCACGCTCGGATGCCTCCAGGTACGTGCGCGGTTAGTCGCCGTCCATTTGAAGAGGCTCAACATCACCCAGCCTTTCTGTCGGCGGAGGGAGTGATGGGTTATCCAGAAACGACTCCGGCAGTGATAAGGTGGAGTTTGTTCCAACAACTATTCGTCATTTCGGAGCTCGATATTGATCGGCCATCGTGGACTTGCATCATAAATTATCGAGTGGGTACAGGGCACCACCAGCGTCAGTAGGAAGAACCTATTGATCGTGTACTTGGGCGTATGCCCCGCGTTCCCCAGAAGGTGAGAACTCCGTTATCCTTCATGCACTGCACAGTGGCTGAACTCACCTGACTCATGCGCCAGCTCTAGAGTCCTCCGCTTCTCCGCCCTTAGATCTTCGCGACTTTCTGATGTGGAATGCACGTATGATGTAGCAGATATCGGACCTTGGTGATGTTGTACCTACTGGTTCTTGCGTTCACGATAAACCTCCTAGCACCACTGAGGCCACTGTGAGTTCTGGTCTCAAATCAGATGTTTAATTTGGGACACACCAGTGCACTGTTCAGTCAGGCTGCTACTAATTACGACCTTATCGTTTGCATTCATGCCGCCATCGATACTTTGCATTCAGCGTTTATCGCTAACAAAGACCATTTCGCTATTGCGATTATCTTGTCATGTATATCGCAAGGAAGCCACCCTCGTTCCTCAGGACTGCTGCTTGCGCCGACGCGGCCGTTAGTGGAAGTGTTCTAACAGACTATTCACGGCTATCTTTTGGGGACCATTGATACTTCCGCAGCCTTTCCACGGCCAACCGGCATCCTGGCTTCCAGGCTAGGCCAGGCCTGATGACATCACTAATACACTACCTCCGAGCCAACACCAGGTGACCTTACGGGTGGCGAAACGAGCTCTGCAGTTAGGCCTTGTGGTCCTAGTTTGGGGATTCCCCGGTACATTCTGACGTCCAGTCCAAGTACCAGTTGTGTATAAAAGCGATGCGGACAATATTAGAGTGTGTCCTTCCTACACCCATCGTCCCATAGTTTCGGATTCCTGCTCAACACATGAAAGTCCTTGCTTTAACTTCTATCTTGTCCACATTCGCCGTCGAGGTTCTTGCCGTGGCCCTCCCTTCTACCCGTAGGTGACATTGCTCTTCTTTCGGACAGTGATCTCCTGAACGTGTTTACTAGCTTTCGTCTGCAGGAATGAGGAAATTCTAGCCATGTATCCGATTGGTAAGAACGAAGAAGTGCAGGCTCAGGTTCTCTCTTGCAGCGATCTACCCAACGTCATGGATCGTAGCGCTGGTCAAAAGAGGCAGACGAACGTATGTGGAGATGCCTGTGGGTAGTGCTTCCATCAGCGTATTGATCAAGCTGCCAACTTATGCACGTTTTTTATATATCGTAGGTACCACCAACTGTTTCTCTCCTGCTGGCGGAGGACCCAACCCCAATGACTGCCAAGTGATCGCAAATGCGCTGCTGTATGATAGTCAGAATATTGGTTTGTTGTCAGAGATCCCACCGAGTAATTGTACCAAGGCAACTTACCTTCATTAAGGCGCTCTTTTCAACATCGCCGTGGTAGGCAGACCTCCCAGCATGGTGCCATTGCTAGCTGACACCTTTGGATTGAAGGGAAGTCCAATCTACATGCAGTATGCCAGTTGCGAGACGTTCTTCGTCAATCAAGCTAGTTACAATGAAACGTACTGCAGGACCGACTGGGTATGAACACTCTTTTGGGACCGTTGGCGTACTCATTTTTGCTCATCTCAATCGGTTTTACTGAATGATGTTGTCAACAGTCGAGTATCGTCAGCTATGTCGCAACCAATTGTCAGTCACAGCAGAATGCTCACGGTGGTAACTGCGTCGCAAGCGATCAGACCTGGTTCATCCAGTGAGTGGATTTCTCTAGAAGGTGGCTTTGGGTTCATCAGTCGGAATACCAGAGTCCAAACCTCTTAAGGCAGATAGCGGACAAAGGTGGTCGTGGTACAGTGTAATACGGATTACTAAATCAATTGGCGGTACTGTGTATTAGCAGTTGCGTCGTCTATGGCTATGGAATGCTTCAGAACCTGTCTGATCCTTGAGCTTGATCGACCAAATGACGAAGTGATGCAATGGGAATAGGGGTTCGCTTTTCGAGACCGTAACTTCTATTCAAGTGTGAGCTTGGAGGTTCGACAGGCTATTCACGGAAGGTCAAATACATTTTCCCGGCAGGTTTCAGTTGTTGCTTCGTGGAATCCCAGCTAGCGCGGCCAACGATCTCGTATGGACAGTCGATTTTTCACCTACGCAACTTTTCTCCGCACGCATTTCCCTAACTGCCCAAATGATCAGTCCATCCGACTGTTGCCCTGCGGAGCTTTCATCACTCGCAGGCCATGCAAAAAGAAAATCGGTGACATATCTCATAAAGTCCTCCGCAAGAGGGGCTCTTAAAGTTTGGCTAGCTACAAATGGAATTCGACTAACGGTACTTCTGGTCCACACTCTCAGAACATATAAACACGAAGGTACTGAAACCCGCTCATCATCACCAGTGGGTACGAAGACAGCGCCTGACGCGTTCTACCGGTGGAGACAGCCCTTGTCCCATCTGGGTCAGGATAGCTTCTATTTGGCGCCTCAGGAATTTGCATTCTTCAAGGAGTTCCTCCGGTACTTTTCCGTCTGCTGATTCCTCCCGAATACGTGTAAGCAGCTCGAGGTATTTGTCTATTAGTCCTTTCAAGGAATCCAAGTCCTCATCGTCAGCACTCCGATCCCCGGAAGCGTTCGGCGGCCCTTTGCCTAGCTCAGAGACAACTGTTTTAAGGTGCGCTACCCGAGCAACACCTATGTTGTCGGTAATTTTCTGACACAATTCCTGAGCAGACTCTGGCGTGTTCTTATAAAAGAATCTCTTCGCCCCTTTGCTGACCAGTTGATCAAGATCGCCAGCTCGAGGATTTTGCGATTCATTTTGCTGATCGATGTCGTCTTCACGTATCGTCGCAACAAGAACAACCCTAGAATATACAGATTCCCCATAAACCTCCACAAACGGACGGAGATGCGCTGTTTTTGGGTCGCCGGATGGATGGTGCAAATACAGGATCCCAGCGACGATGATGTCTCGTTTGTACCTATAGTGAAGATGAGGAATGCCTCACTCTTAGTAGACCTCCTTACATCTCAAGAAGCCAAACAGACATGGACTTGCATATACTCTCGTCGGACAGCTTCTTATCGGAGTTGTTAAAGCCGGGTGTGTCGATAAGGACAACAGGAATGCCATTATTAAAAGACTTGTTACCATCAGGGAACTTGAAAGCCCTAAAGCGATCGGTGCGTGATTTTAAGTCATGTCCAACTCCTGCTTCATCTTCTGGTATTCCGGTCAACGTGCTGATGAACTACGCCAACCAATGTGAAAAAGCCGTGGTGGCATCCAGAGAAGACCACATACTAGGCTTTTGCAACACCCAGTGCTCCCAAGGAGGCTGTCGGATATGAGTCAATAAAACGACAATTCTTGGGGAATATGCATACAATATTACTGCACACTTACGAGTGAGTTCGTACAACGAGATTGATGAGGGAATTGGACGTTGAACCAGCTCACGAAGCCTGCGGCGAGAACTCTGTATCCGTTGCTGATAAATGGGGTCAGCACTTTTCGCGCTTGTAGTCACGCATGCATGGGCATCCACGACCAGCTCATGGAACACGGAGGCATCCTTGTTATTTGTCCACCACGAATCCATGTCGCTTTCGCCTTCCAAACCGGTGACGACAAGTGCGACTGGTATCCGTTTCCCACATATCGGTTGGATGTTGCGTTTGAATTTGTCTACATGACTTTTTGCCGTATCTCCTGCACGGACGCAGAATAAAAGGAGGTCGACACCTCGTGTGTTGACTAGTCTTTGGACATGCCCGGTTACCTTTTCGATAAGTGATCCCTCCCAGCCAAAAGTGTCCCAAACTTCAGAGATAACGCCGGGTTTCAGTTCCACCAAGAAAGCTTTGCATTCCCGGGTGCACGCATCGGTGTCTGAAGATATCTGCGCTCGCTTTTCACCAGCAATTGCATTGATAACGGATGATTTCCCAACGCCGGTTGCGCCAACTATGACAACGGTGCGTGTCTGCAAGGACCCTGTTATGCTGTTCGGTGTTGTACGAGGATAATCGTAGAGAATTTGCGGACCTTCATATATTAAACTGTTCATCTCTGGGCCACACGGGATCCCTCCGGCATTTTCTAAACTTTCGTCCTTCATGACAAATTAGAAATCAGTATGTGAAGTTGTGTCGGAGAGGACGTACAGAGCAAATAGGGTCATGGCATAGTTGTTGGGTGTAATCTCGTATTCGGAGGAGTGCCTCGACCCTCGTTTGGGAGATACTGATTTGTTCTTGAATGCAGGGATTGTCATGGTAATGCAAGGTAGTAATGCATGCGTGTACATCGAATGCGAGCCCGAGATGGAACATATTGTCCTTGTTCTTCTCCCACCAGCCATGCATGTTCCCTCCGACCCATTCCAGTCCAGTGGCGACGAGAGCGACGGGAACTTTCCTTTGACATTCTTTCGCGTACACTTCATCGTAGCAACGGACGAAATCTTCGGACTGACTCATTCTGGCCTTGACGCAGAACAGGATGAGATCGACGCCACAAGAAGACTGCAAATGTCGCAGTGCGCGCATGTCCTGCGGCACACGCTTCGCCGCTGCACCTATTCTCTGGTTGGTGGTCTCCCACAGCACGACTTGGGTGCTAGACCCCATTTCAATGACGTGGCACATTGCCTTCGACACATGATCAACCTGCGTCTCCAAGGGCCGTGTTCGTGAGACCACACCGATGAACGACTTGACCACCTCCTTCTCGCCGATCAAGATGATGTTTCGAGTGAATTTATCTGTCATGAGAGCTATGAGGTAAAGCTGAGTATCGGTGGATTTCTTGACGAAGCTTCTTTCATTGCCCTGCACCCTAAGTGACCCATAATTACCAGGAGGGCGCCTCTTTACAACTTGCTTGAAATGTGTAGGAACCTCCAAGTATTTTAGAGTTAGCTTACATAATCAAACATTGTGTCCGGCTCCTGAAGGCCTGAATCAAGAAAAAAAAATACAGCGGAGAGGAGAGATCAACAGCAGAGATGCCCTCTGCGCTTGCAAGCCAACTCGCCGCATCTGCGTCGCTCAACGCGTCCCTCCTCCAGGACCGCTCAAAGAAACGCCAAACCGAATCATATCTCTTCACTGGCCGTGATGCTGCAAGCCACGACGTCGATTCAGTGCACGCAATTGCAGCCAGTGCATTCTCGCACCTCTGCACACTTTCTCCCATTTTCCTTTCTCAGGCGGTCAAGTATGGCTCGGACGGGTCACCGATAACCGTCGACTTCGAACAAACCTTGTTCTCGGACGCCGCGAAGAACATGGATCGCACTCTACAGACCAAGGAGGTGACCACCAACCTAGACAGGACTATCAACGCATTTTTGGTCCTTCTTGGCCCATGGCTTATGGAAGCGCCGACTAGCAAAGTGTTGGAGTGGCTAGTCAGAAGATTCCGGTGAGACCATCTTTTACAATTTAAGGTGCATCGATGACGGTGGGTAGAATAAATGAGTTTAATGTCGACGCCGTCCTGGCGCTGTTCTTGCCTTATCACGAATCACCCCACTTTGTCAAGATGTTGTCGATATTGCACATTCCGTATGTCTTCATTTCTCTGGGTGTGGCGGAGCCATGTTCATGTGACCACAGACCAATATCATGTTTTTCCTTCCTACTCGCATTTAAATCTGCTGCTAAGCCGTTGTCAAGGAGTGCGCTGGTAAAAGAAATGGTCTCCAGTGTTGAGGTTGCACGTTTTACTGCAGAGCTTCTTCCGACGGCCGTCAAATGTAGGTCTACTTTATGTTCCTCGAGACGGTCCCGATGACCGTGTGTACAAAGGCTCCTACTCTCATCGCACGCTGCTGGCTTTCAATGCTGCAACGATGCACGACTACATCTCCAGTGTACCCAGATTAGATGATGGAATGCTCGCGTTCATCCTGCCTGCATCATTGACCCCGTTAGAGACAACACCCAGGGATGTGAACATAGTCGTAAGTCCTCCTGTCTATTACAACCCCATCAAACTCACTGTCTCGATATTGACGATGCAGCTCGGAAGCTTCGTCCTTCTTTGCGTCCTTTCTCAAAAAGTAAACCTGAAGCCAGCGGCCCTCATTGCAATCATTAGTATGATGGTCACACAAGTTTGCAAAGTGCAGGAAAAGAACGGGGTATCGACAACCCAATTTATCAAAGCTGCAATCGCAATATGTTCACCTCAGGATGAGCTTCCCGAATTTCCCCTTAGTGCCAGCTGGGGGTGTTTAAAGATGCCGTAAGCTTTGGCACCTCGTGCCAGCTTAGTGACATGTTCTGACTAGAGTCGGCTTACAGAGGTTTGAGCGATGAACTACCCAATGCGTTAAAGATAGCGGGAGCTGAGAAGTTTGTCGTTCCCTTACTCCGGTCGCTACAAAGCCGAGTACGTGTTTATCATCTTGCTTGTCTCGGCATTGGATTCTACAGGTGTCCCCTAGGTTGCATGAACCCCAGGTGTCTTCTTTGTTTTCTGCCGTGATAAATAGCACAGATGTCCCCGTGACAGTGACGAAGGCAATTGCTGCCTTGCTCGTCCGACTTGCTACGTCGGATGGGAATGCGGGTTCGACAGAAGCGATCGCTTCCGCTGCACGGTCGTTACTCGCTCTCGTACACCAACGTAACTTTGAACTGCTTCGCGGTGTCACTGAGGACGTTATCGCAGATTGTATTAGTCCCAGCGATGATAGTAAAAGCGACGCTCAAAAAGAGCGGAAGAAGCGCACCAACAATCTTTTGGCTTCGTTCTCACTCGTAAGGGCGCAAATGGTGTCCCCGCTATCTATGTGATAACGAATACATTTTTAGAGCCACCCCCTAGCGCAGTCAACTTAACGTCAATGAGGTCGTCGTCGCATCCGCAGACATGTCGAAAGACGTGCGAATCGATGCTGTACATAGGCTATATGCTATGTTGCGAGAAGCGCAAAGCGAAGGTGCTCTTTCTTCTTCGGATATGGCAAGTTATTCTCAAACCATGTAATTTTGCGGTCCTTGACACTACCCTTGCAGGCGTCCATTCAGTCTGCGTTACTCGGTCGGGTATATGATCCACACCATGGGGTGCTGCAAGCTCTCTATGCCTCGGCCGATCTATTTCTTTCTACAGTAACACTGTCCACAACCCCCCAAAAATTGCTGGACGCTATTGTCTCACAGCTTCTGCTAACTCCTGCTCGCAGTGTTCTCCATGCTCACACGGAGTTTTTGGCGGGTCCGTTTACAAAAGCATATCCGGAGGTGCTTGACTCGGTACAACAGGATGCGTTGTTCCCGTTCTTACTGGCGTCGAAGGCCAAGTTCAAGACATCTAGTGGAGTCTGGGGGGCGATTAGCAAGTCGGGAGGCTTCCAGACTGGGTGGCTAAAAGGTTGTGTTGATGTGTGGAATCGGCTCTCTTTACTGGACGAGGGATGCGAGAAAGAGGATACGGACGAATTTTCCGAAAAAATATGTGAAGTGAATGTCGGTGTTGTTGGGATAATTGCGAGCAAGTTTCGTTGTTTTTGCTGTGTTAAGTATCTCATACGTTGCTGCAGAGAATATTCTAGCTTCCAGTGATCTAGAAAAGGACACTGAACATCTGCTGTCCAAGCTAGAAGATACCATGCCACATGGGCGTGCGCTCGCATACTTGGTTTGCCGCGAGCTGTTGGTACGCAGTTCAGGCGATCGGCAAATCATCCTTGCTATTCGAATTTTGCGTGCTATGCGACTCAGTACGCTAGATGACATTGATGACGCGCTGAAAGAATCGAGCTTACAAGAGGTAACGTGCAGCAGTACAAGTCTGCGTGTGCGCAGTCGCTAACTTTCGCCGCCATCCCAGGCACAGGATGCGCACCAAATCACAGCGAAGGCTACCCTCAAGCCAGGAGGGCGTGGGACCATTCTAGCCTTGCAGGCTTCAATTTTGACTCTCTTTCCGGCTCTTTCTCTTCCGCAGAACTTTTCTGGTGGCTGGATGCTAGTGTTGCCATCTGTGAGTGGTCGCTCCATGGCGTTTTTACAATCCGACTGACGACACTTCTAGGACGTCTCCTCTGGCTTGGCCGGAGGTGACAACAGTCAACGATATGTCTTTCTCATGCATAGTCTATACGTCCTTGCATGCAGCTCTACGACTGAACCGACCTTGTTATCCGCGTTGTTGCTACGGACTTTGTTCCTCAACTTCAGAGAAAATTCTTTGGTGTTCTTGTTTGGGATACTCCTCTCCACTTGGCCCTCCACGGACAGGGTGCGGACACATGCTCTCCTCCACGTCCTTGCGTTCCTGCGTGGTCACATCAAAACTGGTGTGGACTTTCAGACTGTGCTTCCGTCACTGCTTGCTATCTTAATGGACCATCGTACCGATAAGCGGGATCGAGCACTGGTATTGGAGAGCATTTCTCTCCTGTCTTCTCCTGTCGAGAAAAAACATATCTACGGGGTGGACACTATATATGGACAAGCTTCTTGTGCGTCCAATTCAACTGTGTCCTTGCATCATGAAGAGCACTGATATTGGTCCGCGTTAGCTGAATTGCAGTGTCTGGATACGAAGGATCTAGCTACCTACGTCAAAGCGATGATCGAGTTCCGCGAACAGCTCGTCCAAGATGCCAACTTTATCAAGGTGTTTCATCATCGTCACTTGCAGGGATCTGGTTCAAAGTGCCTTTCGTTTTCACATATCTATCGCCCTAGCTGACATGTTTTCCTTAGATACAGACGTCGGGTTTCATGCTTCCTACTCTCGCATGTCGTCGCGCACCCATTCCCGTTCGCCCGTGTGGGGTTGTTGCAATCCATGGAGGATGTATCCGACAGCACGAAAGCTTTCATGCTTGTCCCTGCCGTGAAGTCGTTGACGCAAGATCCCACTACTGTCTCACAGATGTTCGGTCCACTGCTTGATGAATACACCTCGCTTGTCACGGCTGGTTTCCTGACAGTCACTCCAGCGAATTTAAGCGACGAAGAGGGCAACGAAACCTGGCCCGTGTTTATTGCAGTGTTGCGTAGTTTGTTCCGATCCAGTAAGTCCTCTGCTGCCGTTGTTTAGCTGCGCCTAAGTTGGAGTATTCTACAGATGCAAATACCATTGCGCGCAGCTGCTTTGCTGCGGCTTTGGAAAAGCGCCTATTTGCTAACCTCAGTCTGGAAAAACGTTCCGAGATATGTATTGAGCTTTTGCACGCAAGTGCGCAGGGTGGTGAAATCGTAAGCCATGTTTATCTGTGAGGTCGTGTGTTTCCTATTGACGAGCCGTAGTTTCTGACATCCAAGACTCTTGTTGGGAGGTTACTGCGAGACGCAGCCCTCATTATTCATTTGCTGACAGTCTTCCAACCCTCCCATGCTGAGGGCGGGGCCCCGGCTGGAAAACGGGCCAAATTAGACAAGTAATAGCTAACTTGAATGCACGTGAACCACTTGCTAACTTCTCATTATAGTCCGCCTGAGACTGCAGAATCCGATAAGTTGCAACCGTTGACGATTCTTGCGGAGGCGCTCGCAACGTCTGATATACCAGGCTCGATCGCCTTGATCTCTCACCTACTAGAGACCGTCAACAACGTTATCCGTTCCGATGTGTGGGGACCGTCTGATACGAACTACCTTTGTCAAATGTTGATGGCAGGGATCGAGAAGAGCGCAAGTAAACTTACGGTAGGGCGTCTTCGGACACTGGTCGTTATCTCTGAACACTTTCCCAGGAGCCACTTTCCCGCCCAATACGCTTAGAAATTCTAGTGGAGCTTATCAGAGGTTTGTCCAGTTTTCATATCGCTAGAGTATGCTGATCCTTGTCTACAGTCACCGACAATTCTCAGACGTTCCACGAAGCACTCTTGTTGATGGCCGACCTGGCCCGACTGGCTCCTAAATCTGTTCTCCACAATATCATGCCGATCTTTACGTTCATGGGATCCAATGTTTTCCACCGCGATGACTCCTACAGTTTAAAAGTCATTCAGAGTGTACGATGCCACGATTATATTTTGTCCATGACTCATTTGCTGTGCAGACCATCAACAGTATCGTCCCTGTTATGGTCTCGTCTTTGAAAGAGAAGTATTCAGTGGGATTGGAACTCTACGTTGGTGCTCGGGAGTTCCTTCGCATCTTCACTGATGCAGCTCATCATGTACCTCGTCACCGAAGACAAAGGTGCGTGAAGTCCATTATATCTGGCCACACCCTTATTTAGTTTTCCAGTTTCTTCCTACACCTCGCAGAGGTCCTTGGACCCGAAGAATTCCTTGCTCCTTTGTGCATGCTCTTAGTTGACAAGGTAACCAACCGGGTAGTCAGACAGGCCCTGGAGGAAGCACAGACGACGCTGGCCCTTCCAATAGCATTATTGCGCCATTTTTCTCGGCCATTGCAAATATATGTGAGTTTGTCTGATGACCCCGGTGTGGTTGGGTGTTCATCGTGTTCCAGGTTCTGTGCGAGGCGCTTCGGGAGTGCATACGGCTTATTTCGCGTCTAAACGCTCCAGAGGAAGAAAAAGCAACCTTCTTAGACTACATCAAGTAATGTTTAGCTAGCCCACTTATGGCTTGCCAAACTGACAGCCTTGACAGGGACGAGGAACATTCTGTGTCAGCTTCGTCTGTCTTGCAGCGTCGTGTGCAGGTTCTTCTTGTATTCTCAAGTACCGCTCTAGTACCGGGCAACCGCCGAGAACAGCATCAGCTGCTAGATGGCCATAGCACTGACGATCTTATAGCGCTTCTAATCGACCTAGCCACTCTCCAAGATGGCGAACTACCCACGATCACCTCTTCCCTCCAAGTGGCAATCACTCGAGTGACTAACGCTATTTCTGCTGCAGAATTTTTGTCCGCAGTAGCAGTAATACTGCGGTCCGCGGAACCAAAAGTGGGTGTAAATTGTTGGTTCATGATTCCTTCTCTTGATGTATCCCACAGGTGAACATTGGAGTTCTCGACGTTCTCGCCGCAAGAATCCCTCTTATCAACGAGCTGGTCCGTCAGGAACATAAGACCAAAATGATTGAAATTATCAACAATATCCACGAAATTATCAGCCACACACCGACCGGTCCACTTGCCGACGCTGCGCTAGGTGCTTTGAAGGCTATCGTATCCACCCACCAGGCTGGGGAGGTGGCCGCTTTACAGGTTACATTACCTCATATCATAAAGGTCGTCCGAGCAAAAACCTCCGTCTCTGCAGCTCTACCCGTCTTGCCTTGCTACATGTGTGTTGACCCTCTACTTGATGCATTATATATTGACATAGCTGCTGTCAGCCCCTGCCTTGGCCCTCGCATTATTCCGTATTTCAGAGAAATTGTAGAAGTATGTGTGTTGATCCTTCATGACGACCTACACGACAAAGACCGTACGTACCAGAAGTGCTGTGTTGCGCGTCATTGATTTGTTGATAGGATTTGCGTTAACTGGGGAGACAGCCCTTGCAACCCTACAGAGTCTCCTGACTACTCTTCCTACTTTCTATGGAACCCAGGAACTCAGCCAAGTTGTTAAACTATATGTCAACTGCAACTCGCGTACTGCGACTCCGAATAACCCACTTACTCCCCTTATCAAAGCTATTGCGAAACGGACTACACCGGGAGCTCTGATGCAGGTACTGTACGAATCATGGGCAGACCTTGGCAAAGAACAGACGAAGGTAGATTCATCTTCAGGTGTTAAAATCACTTATACTCACCATTACAATAGGAAGACGTTCACGGCCTCATTGGATACTTCACTGTATTTAAATGGTCTCTCAAGGCTGCACCAAGAGCCAACGTCCTCGAACATCTTCGCCAAATCTTTAAGGTCTTCCTGGAAGCCTTTGATGTTAGATTGTCATCTGGCGCTCAAGAGGTCAGCCGCCTGCCAAGCGTTTTACGGGTTAACTCACAGGATTATTAGGTGGAGAGTTATGCAACTTCTGCTTTTATTGAACTTGTCGTCAAGTTGAACGAAAACGCTTTCCGGCCGCTATTTCGTAAATTGCACGATTGGGCGTTCGTAGATAACACCGGTACGTAGTTAATAGTGGATGTTGTCATCAGCTCATATTCCATAGGCACAACCCAGCGGAAAACGACCTTTTGTCACATTTACATTGCGCTGCTCGAGTATTTCAAGGTACATCCTTGCACCTTTGTTCATGTTCATCGCTGACGAGGTCTTGTGCAGGCCCTGATGAATCCGTACATGGCTATGCTCATTCGGTCTCTGTCTGAAGCCCTCCAAACGTTTGGCACTCTTTCTGCGCCTTACTCGACGTCAGATGCAGCATTATGGTCCGGAATCATGTTGACTCTTCGTAAATCGTTTGAAAATGACGACGGCGGTGCGCATTCTCCTTCATGGCGTTTTCCCTTAACTTCCTAATCACCGTGCTATACCAGTCTTCTGGCGTGAAGACAAGGTCGCTGTTGTCTTGCCTCATCTGCTTTCGCAGCTGCCAATCTCAGTCAGTTTATCCTCAGCACATACTAGCGCAACTTCGGGCGAAAACCCTAAACACCTCTTGACTGCGTGCCTCGTCTCGCTGGTTTTTCTACTTCCTGCCAGTGCTGCAGATTTACTGAAACGACTTAACCTTTCTCTACTCATGCACACCCGTTCTGAGGATGCTCGGCAACGGATGTTGGCGCTTGAATGTGCGAGCGAGATATGGAAGGCGGAGGGCGGGAAGTTAATTGGTATGTACTCCTCTTGGAAGGATTTTGTGTTGCTGCCATGCCGACGTCCACCCTAGGGTTCCTCGCCGAGACTGCAACATTTATCAATGAATGTGCCGAAGACGAAAATGATAGCGTAGTACAAGAAGCTCACAAACTCAAAAACGCTGTAGAGAGTGTAGCTGGCAGCATCAGTGACTTATAGTCATGGACTAGTACGAGCTAGCTGACTACGAACGCACTACGCACTACAAGTATGTACGACGTTAAACAGACATGTGTCAAAATTGTGTCAAGAGCCGGATTTCCGGGGTACGTGGTGGCAAATTTGATTTGACAAGGCCGCCTTCACGAGTCATGTTGGTGCGAGTAGCCTCGCCCAATCGCGAAATCGCAAGACTGATTCACCACACCGTTTATCCCGCGTCACAACAAAGGTTTTGTCTCGCCTTCTGATCAAAACATGACCTCGTTTTCCCTCTTCACACTCACCGATTCCCTCTTTCGTACGACCACGCCAAATACGACTTGGTTCCATGGATGTCTTACAACCGACCGCAAATGTCCGTGTTCAATATCCTGCGAGCGTGGAATCTCAGCAAGGATGCAGCGCACGCATATATATTACACATGTTGAGTCCCACAAGGGGTCACGGAGAAGCTCGGTGTGGCAACTTGTCGACAAACGGGAAGGGTTCCCAGAGATTGTGGTTACGACGTAGTTGGCTCGAGAAACCCTAAGGGTGTGGCGATACATCGTTTAGATGGGAGCTCTAGCTGTTTGTGAAAAATAAAATGTTGCAGACCTGCAGTGGATGCGTCGTGTGAGTCCTGTCTCCACCGCGTCCCTACTGACACGTACCCCCCCTCTGAACTATCTCAAAATTGAACGTATCAATACGATGGTGGTAAGATCAGATCTCTTCCGTGTGTACCTTCAAGTTTCAAACCGGTCTTGACGTTGATGCGCTGCGAACGTCCAGCTGTATTGAGCAACGTGTCTACAGCATGTCGGCACTTGCTGCAACTTTAACCCTTTCTTGTTTCCACATCCACAACCTCAACCGTCGACAACTTTGAATCAAATATTGATTTCTCAATGGCTCGCAAGCAATCGAAGAAATATCATCTCTTTGGATCTACAAAGCTACCTGGCTCTGCATCTAACTTTGTCTCGGTAAGCAACTAATTTCCCTGCGGGTGATCATAGTCGGCGATCCACAAAGAAACAGCCGCAAGAGCCGCCTCAGACTCCCGCTCGCGACGTAGCCTCGATTTCCGGGACGTCGGGAAGTTTCTCCCGGAGGGCGCTCGCAAGTGTGAAGCACATCTGCCATCGGTCGAACCAAGGTTCCGTCACAGCAGAAACCGCTAATGCGGATGCCGTTGGGGGTGCGCATGCGCAATGAGAACAAAACCAAGTGGCTCTAACTCAGGATGTGTGTCGTCTGTCTTATCCCATTGTTGCGATGACCTTGAGTACTTGTGTTGGACAGACTCAAGGGCCAAACGACAACTCAGAAATAGGACCGGTACCGGCTACGCATGACAGGAATGCCGATACTATTGCCGTTCGGCGACAGCAAAGGTGCTGTTGAACCTGCCAATGGCGCTAGTGCCACACTCAGTCCGGTCTCGGTATTGGTCGGCAGTGAAGTCGACGCTGCTCAATAGGCCCTGGATGGCATGACGCCCATACCAGGGATGGGTCAGACGGCTACTGAACTCGTTACACAGGCTGATACTGCGGTTGCAAGTATCCCAAACTTCAGTAACACGTACCTCCAGCCTCTCAAGACCTTTAACTCCGTCGTTACTACTATCGCCCAGGTACGTGCATTGTCGTATGGTCATTCACGGGCTCTGATGTAAATGCGCAGGTTCACCCCTTTGCCCAGATTGCTCTGGGGATCTTAACCGCGGCTGCTTAGGTACGTTCACATCGTGGTGATACGCGCTGCTCACCTCACACCGCCCCCCACAGTCGCTTATCAATCAAGCTAACCTGGACAACGTGGTGTCCAACCTCCTTGATACAGTCAGAACAGTCTATGGATTTCTTCTAGCGGACGATACCATCCGAAATATCGATAGTATGAAGGCAACTCTAGGGAAAATTGCACAGGTGATAAGTGATGCAACCCAGTTTATCAAGAATTATTCGGAGACGAAGAGCTTCTGTATGTTGGTCCTACTTTTTGTTGAAAAGTTGATTGATTCAGCTGTTCTCAGGGCAGAGATTGGGAAAAAACATAGTGTCTGAGGCGCGGACCACGACTGATGGTTATATTAAGGTGCTGAACGACCTGATGCAACAGTACCGGGACCGTGCGGTCCGGGATATTCACACCAACGCACACCATGTGCATGAAGACCTGAACCCTGCGCGTGGAGAACTTGACCTCGTACGCGGAGATATGAGCCTCGAAGGGATGGCTCATGCAGGGGGTGCGGGGGTCGGTAAGACGAAGAGGTGCCTAGATGGTACCAGAACTGAGATCCTCACGGAGATCGTCGGCTGGATCAACAGCACAGATGAAAATTTCCCACGCATTCTCTGGCTGCACGGGCAGGCCGGCTGAGGGAAGTCTGCCATCGCGCACACCGTTGCCTTGTGGCTCAAGGATGCCGGTGGGTTCGGGTGTCGAGATAGGCAAGCCGAGCGTCGCGAGGAAAAGATATTTACCACCATTGCGCGTGATCTGGCGGACCGGGACCCTGCGTTTCGGCGAGCTTTGGCCGACGTGCTGGCGAAGGACCATTCGCTCAAGACTACCTCCGATGTCATGCTACAGTGGGAAAAGCTCATTTTGGAGCCGTTGTCGAAGATGTCGAGTCCTACGATTGGAAGCGTGGCCATGGTAATCGATGCGCTGGACGAGAGTGGCCTGGAAGGATCACGGAGACACATCTTGTCGGTGCTTGAGTCACAGGCGGGGGGATCTCCCCCACAATTTCCGTGTCTTCATAACATCCCGCCCCCTGCCTGATATCGAACGTGTGTTGAGAGGCTCTCCACATGTGAAGGCAATTTCCTTGGACGACGTTTCTACAGAATGGACACAACGCGATATCAGGTTAGATGTCTCCAAGCAACTTGGTCACCTTTCAGACATCAGAGAGCCTGAAGTCCGGAGGATTGTCCAGAAGGCGGACTGCCTATTTGAATGGGCTCGTCCGGCGTGCGACTACATCGAGCCGAACAGAGCAGGAGCAACCGTGAAGGAACGCTATGACGATGTAATCTCTTCAGTCCAAAGAGGGAAGAACACTCTTGGATTCGACTTACTCCGCAATCTTGGGTGCTATCCCACAATCTGGGAAAGCCATTGAACGGTACCGCTCTGTGATGCATCAGGTTGTGATGACCCTCGAACCTCTGCCTATGGCAACCTTGAATAAGATGCGTAAACACTTCCCAAACACGCAGGATCACTATGACATTATTCTCATCCTCGAGTTCATGTCCCCATTACTAGGTGGCATCGTTGACAGCCACTTTCCTGTCCGACCCCACCATGCATCCTTTTATGACTTCCTAACTGATCATTCACAGAGTGGGGCCTACTTCATTGACACTTCTTGTTCGTATAACCCTGCTGTTGCCACCTTGTGAATCCTTGGTGAAGAGCTTCAGTTCAACCTTTGTGGATTGGACAGCTCCTACTTGAGCAATGCAGAGGTTACTGATTTACTGCAGAGAATCAGGGAGAACATCTTGCACAGCAAGCATTTTACAATTTTCTTTGTACAAACATAGGGAAAAAAAATCTTTGAAAAGATACTTTGTTTTATCTCATGTTCTCTGCTGAAACATCTGGCAATAATGTTGAATTTTGAAAGGTGTTTCTGACAGAAAACATGACACAGTGGATTTCCAATGTTTTATTGGTGAAAAACAATTACCATGACCCACCACCAAAAACCAAAAACAATCATCAAAAAAATTATCAGTACTGTTTTCTACATGTTATGCAATACATTAATCAAATACTTTACCACAAAATAATTTAAACACACTGCTCATTGAAGAACATGTAATGTTACATAGAACATCAAAAGTAAATGATATATGTTTTGTATGTGATAATAATAAAAACATTTGGCCAAGTCTTTCAATGTTCACCTGAAAAAAAAACAGAACAGCAGTTCAATGTTTTCTCTAAAAACATGACATGCTAAACTACAATTTTTATGTACAAGCCCATGGTACTGAGAGCATAGCCAAATGTTCTAGGTCAAATTACAGTATCTTATCTCCCAGAAAACATGACAAATAAATAATGTATTAAAATATCCTGTTCTACCACAGAATAACTGTGAAGTAGGCATGTTATATGTAGAGGTGCTGTGAAGGTTCTGAGCTGTTTAGGTTCATTTGTGGGCGTGACTGCCTTGTGCACAGATCCAAGTTTGTCTCTCTTTGACATTGTTTCATAGGTGACAAGCTGACCACTCCCTTCCAGTGTGCTTGACTTGGTTTTCCAATCTTTCAGCATCTCTGCCCTAGCTGTGTCATCAGGCCTCTTGCTGCTCTGCTCTGCTGTGCACTTAGTCCCTCAGTAGCTTGTCAGCATCTGAGGTCTATCTACAGATTCCACAATTATATCCTAAAATAAAAGATGAAACACATAAAACAGTACAATGTATCACTGATAAAATGACTCATCTAGTTCTTCCAATGAGGACCATGGTGGGTCTGTCATGCACAAAATATCCTGTTTGACAGTTGTGGACAGACAAACATGACAATTTTACTCATTGAATTATTCCAATGTGGCACAACATTCCAGGGGTGTTACAAATGTATACTAGGCATATTTAGGACATAACAATGCAATCTGCATGAGCCAATTTTTGTTATACTAAGTTTTTGAAATTTTGACCCAAAAATGTGGCCAGCCCCCAAAAGAATTTGTAAAAATCCTGGAAAAAGTGGAATAAGTAGCATTAGCCTAGTACAGTATGATTGCAATGTCAGGGTACAGCTGTCACACTAGTGAGGAGCAGAAAAAATTGAGCAAGTCTGAGGTTTGTGGTCATGTGAATTGCTGATCTTAGACACAGGAATGCCCTTGAAAACCCACTGTAACATGCAACATGGCTGGTCTGCATAACCAGAGCTCAGCTGTTGTTGAAACAGGCAATGTATCATTCCCTGATACACCCAAATCTGACAAGGATCAGCACACAAGCAAATGCATGAGGACATGATCTCATG